ATGTCCCCAACTATAGAGATAACATATATATATATCATTATATGTGTATATATATATATATTAGATATGATATGTGTATATATATAACATAATATGTATATATATATATATATATTGTATGTATATATATATACATTGTATATATGCACCAGGCCCTGCCACCCCCCCCCCCCCTCCCCCCCCATATGGGGATGGGTCCCATATACTGGTCCCATATGAGATCTTCCCCCTCCCCCCCCTGTGGTGTGGTGGGGGTGTGGCACTGTCCCCCTCCCCCCCCTGTGGTGTGGTGGGGGTGTGGTATGGTATGGTGGGTATGTATGGTGTGTATGGTCGGTCTGGTATGGCATGTTTGGAAAGTATGGTATGTTTGGTATGTATGGTAGGTATGGTATGTATGGCATGAGTGGTTGGTATTGTATGGATGGTAGGTATGGTATGTAAGTCTGTTGGATATGGTATGTTTGATATGACAGTATGTATGGTCTGTATGGTATGTATGGTTACTATGTTGGGTATGGAATATGTCCTATCTAAGGTAGGTATGGTATGTATGGCATGTATGCTTGCTATTGTATGTATGCTATTGTATGTATGGTAGGTGTGGTAATTACATTTCATATGTATGGTATGTATGGTATGTATGATAGATATGATAGGTATGGTATGCATGGCATCATTGACATGTATGGTAGGTACGGTATATGTTCAACAGAGGTAGTGTTGTCAGAGTACACAGGTAGTAAACAGGAAGTAGATACAGTAGATACATAGCACATGTATGTATGACTATAGGTAGCACGTAGGTACTTTGAAGGAGTATGTGTGCTACGTAGGTCGCCTAAAAGGTAGCATGTACCTAGTAAATGCGAGGCTGGTAGTCAGAAATGCTGCAAAGACCTAGCAAATACGACGCTGGACCTCAGAAATGCTGCCAATAGCTTGCAAATAGAAGGGAATTGGGGCTACTACCTGGGGACCCAACCCATGGGGGGGGGGGGTGGAGAGACGGAGGACGGGACCATATATATATATACATACGTATGTATACATGGGTTAATATTACAAAAGAAACGGGTTATGAATTCCTTGCCAACTGCGATGCACATCCGACTTACTGCGTTCACGCCATCGTCTATCAGCAAAACGTTGACTGGCACAACTGGGGTCAGGTCAATATTTGATGCTCCTAAAATGTTGGGAAAATGTTGGGAAAATGCCGGGAAAACGTGGGCATGTTGTTTTTCTCTCTGCAAATGTTGGGAAAATCCCATTCCGTCCACTGACTTTATAGAATACAGCCCTAAATTCTCAGCCGCACCCAAAAATGTTGGGCACCACCAAAAATACCGCCAGGTTAGACCCAAGGAATCCACAGGGCAGTGCCTGTTGGTACAACTCTCGTGGGACCCAAGGTTGTTTCAGACCCAGCACCACTTGCTGTAAGCTGCACGACCTTGGTCATCAAATGGCTTTGGTGAAGATCTGGCTCCATCCCGTACCGGTAGGTCATCAAATGGGAAGAAATATGGAAAAATGATGATTGACATGATCTGGTTGGTGGTTGACCTACCCCTCTGAAAAATGATGGAGTTCGTCAGTTGGGATGATTCTTCCCAATATATGGAAGAATAAAAAATGTTCCAAACCACCAACCAGTGATAGGATGTATGATGTAATCCCCGAAATCGGACAGGAGAATTTCTCCAAAAATATGTTGGGTCCTTAAATCTTGATGATTGGACAGACTCAGTTGCTGGCTCCATCAGGAGGTACGGTCGGATGGCCGGTAGCAAAAAGACGTACCTTGCCGGTGGATTTTCAGTGCTTCATCTCTTTTCCAGTGTTTCATGGTCATACTCTAGGGGTATACAATGGTATACACCATTTAGAGACAAACACACGCGTGAAATTTCTGCAAATCACTTGAGATGTCGAATTTCACGAACGTGACCGAACGCGGAATATGTTTGGGATGAGTCCCCCGTCACAAAGAACCATCCGTTTGGTAATACCCTCTGGTAAACTAACAGTTTGCTATTGAAAATTGCGATTTATAGTGGATTTACCCATTAAAAATGGTGCTTTTCCATAGTTAAGTTAGTTTACCAGATGGTAATCTTCCCAAATGAAATGCGTGATTTAAGGGACTTTGCACAGAGACACACGAGGAAGACCTCTGCGATATCCACCTCTTTCAACCCGAATTTTCATGGTTTTAATCCTAAGCCGTCAGTTTCCCTATGACTGTCTGCAGTAGATACAACATGATACAACAATACTATTGGCTAATTGGCTACTCTATGTTTGTCAATATCCTTTTCCCATGATCTGCTGAATCTGCTGTCTTTTAGTGCATAAATCCCCCAAAATCTGTACTCCAACAATAGGTTAACTACGGTTTATGGTGAATATATATATATATATTATTATACCACAAAATGCCGGAAAACTTTTCGGCTCTCAGAAATCTGGCATTCTTCCCATTTCTCCGGAGATTTGCCGATTTTTTTTTGGGGCGCACTGGTCCACCTGGGATAACTCCAAGGCCAACGACTCAATGACCTGCCCACCCCAGGGGAAAACCATAAAGACTGAGACATGGGGGTTATGGGGGGTTCCTAAGTCATGGCGGGTACCAGTTAACCCCCAGTTATCCAAATCATTAGACCGTGACTTTGTTTTGAAACAACCGTGGTGACGACTGGGAAATGTTCATTTTAAGAAATCTGTGATAATATCTGACGCTATGCATGATAGGTGATAATATGTGACCTTCCTCTAGGAAAAAAAAACATTTGAATGATCGCAGACGAATGAACGTCATCACACGGCGAATCCTGGGGGTTGTGGGTATACATATATATATATATACATACCATAGTATCCCCTTTGAATCCCATTAAATCCCACATACATATATATATATATACATATGTACATATACTGTATATATATATATATACATATGCATGCGTATACATATATATATGGTAGATATGAGCAGGCATCACCAAATCTGCCCGGATGGCATCCGAAAAGCGCCTGGCTGGCGTGGTTGCGAATGGGCTCCGAAGGATGCACCAACAGCGGCGCCACCTGTTTTCATCCCGGGCGGTGCCAAAAATCGTTGGAAAATCTTGGGAAATCCATGGGAAAAGCAGGGGAAGATCTGAGAACCATCAGAAGATCATGAATAATTTGGGTAAATCAGAAAGTTGATGTGATTTCCAGTCAGAAGCATCAAATGGCTTGAGATAAACATGTTCCCTTCGTCAACCGAAGGCAGTTGGAATTGAGGCTCTTTCCGAAGAGGCAGCGAAACCCACCACAGCTGGGATCCAAGAATTGAGAAGCGCCCTCCAAAAACCATGGGGAACATCAAGAAAAGACACCTGCCATCACTCATCAAAGAAATAATGTAACCATGTAGTACTTTCTTAGAACATCAAAAGAATAACTATGGATACCAACAACTCATCAAATACACTGCAGTGTACTCAGCTACTTTCAAACAAAAAAAGAACGATGGATACCAATTACCAACAGCTATCACTGAAATTTGCAATCCATTTTCATCGGCTTGCCACGGTTGGCCCATCCCCTTGTGCCTTATTGGCCACGGTCACCAAATTTTGACGTCGCCTGGAAGATTTGCCACTTGGAAAATCCCCAAATCATTGGTAAATCATCGAAGGAGGTGTGCCATCTATACCATAGCCATAAAAAACATCTACACTATATGTATACTATAGCATTTAAAAAGGGAAATGGCATGTATGGATGGTATGTATACGAAATAAATGGTGCCTGGCTATAGCCATCTTATATGTATACTATAGCCATACCATTCGTTTCTATGATCTAAATATATCATTCAGGGTATGATTATTTATGATAAATACTATGGTTTATAATGATCTAAATATAATCTAATTATGGCAAATTATGGCAGGGTATCTTTAGAGACACCAACAGCTGTCCCGCTTGTGCGCCCGGACAGAACTTGCTGCGCTACCAACTTGGTCAGGGCCATTAATGCTGCTTCCACCACACGCTCTTCCTGCGGCATCTGACTCGAAACAAAAAATGGGGAAATAATAGAACTAGATAGTATGTGTTACTTATATATATATATAGTTGCTTATATATATATATACATATATATAGTTGCTTATATATATATATATAGTTACTTATATATTTATATATAAGCATGATCTATATATATATATCATTTAACACGCGCCTGATGCAACCAAAATTGTTATTTCAGCAGAACATGAGAGCCAGGTTGCTGCAGATTCAGCTCCTGTTGGCTTTTCTCCAGTCCCTCACCAGTGGGACTTCATCTTCAGTCCTGATCCAACAGCGCTTGTTCATAGCCTCAGTCGTTGAAAAAACACGACTTGTGAATCTGAATCCCCAAGAAATCTGTTCAGAAACACTTCTATTCAGATTCAGTATTCAGATTTTAGATTCCCCAAAAACAAAACAATACATCTATATAGACTTTAGACTTTAGATGTTTTTGTTTTCCTAATTTTTCCCAGCTGTAAACCTCCATTTCAAATCATTTAGAAATCGGATTTCCCACGTTGACACCGTCGCTGGCCACCCCGGCAGGGCCAAATGATCCCTTCAGTTGACACCTGACGAGGATAGCCATGGTAGGATAAGTGGAAATGAACGCCCCAGCAGTTGGTGCATCACCATGCTATCAATGGGTAAATCCACTATTTCTATGACCATTTTCAATAGCAAACCGTTAAATTACCAGAGGGTATGGTATACTATCTGGTTGGTGGTATACCTACCCCTCTGAAAAATGATGAAGTTCGTCAGTTGGGATGATGACATTCCCAATATATGGAAAAATAAAAGCCATGTTCCAAACCACCAACCAGCTATTGTATACTGTACATAGAAATGATCCCCGATCAGATCGAAGCAGTGAAGACAGCACAGGGCGCACGTGCTGTCTTAAGGCTCGCTCCATCTTTTTTTCTGATGCCATGATGACGCGGAATATTCAAAGTCCAACCGTCCACACTGGCAACTTGCAAGCTCAGTGTGAATAAACGCATCGAAACCAACACTCCAATTTTAATAGACACAGAATGTACAAATGACAATGCTCAGTCTCCAAAATCTGGTGCATTGGCCCTTGTTCCCAAGGTGCCACCAGTGGTAGACTGCCGCTTCAAATTTGCTGCTTCAAAGCTGCCACTGGAAAAGCCTTCACCACAGTCTTTGCAGGCTGCGGCTTGACCTTCACTTCCTTGCCGAACATCATCCTCTTGCCGCCTTTCGTTGCCTTCTTCTTGCGGGTCTTGATCATGCAAAGGCCTGGAAGCGTAAACTTGCCGTTCTTCTTCACCTCCCTGCTGCCAATCTCAGCCAGTGCGTCCAACACCTTTGAGAGTTCACCCTTCTTCAATCCGGCAGCATCCGCCAACTCCGTGGCGAGGGCACCCTTGGACATCAATTTCGCACTCTTCATCGCCTTCATGGTAGCTTTGGCCTTCATCGCTTTCATAGGAGCCATCGCTGGTGAGTCGGGAGCTAGAGCAGCTAGAGGAATCTTGTCACAAACTAGAAGCAGCTTCGGCCAATGAATCCCCATGAGGCTGAAACTCTCTCGCTGGTCAAGTGTCTCCAACAAAACTCCGATCGAAGAAAACAGAAGACTTGGTCAAACTCATCCAGCTGAGGGTCAAAATGAGGTATCCCAATAACTAGATGGTACTAACACCTACCAAAAATCATCGAACATCGCTCCCTTCAGCACCTGTCCCACGCGTCGCGGGAGAAGCGCAGCTTCAGTGCAGAAGGCCGCACGCACCTGGGCTGAATCACCCATGGGTAGATCATAGGCTGAATCACAGCGATGTCATAGGGATATTATAGGGATATAACCTCATGGTATAGGAATATTATGGGGATATGATGGGGATATTGTGGGGATATTATGGAAAATGCTGGGAGAAAAAAAGAAAATATGATTTCTACTTCACCCAAGCATAAATGGTGATGAGCAGAAACTGACCCGCAACGGTGAAGCAAAGCCGGAGACAAGCTTTGGGTTTCCAGAAGAAATGCTATGACATGGTATGACATCAATTGAAAAATCATATGGAGTTTTCCTATTTCGTGGGGGTACCCCCAGTCATCATCCATGTTAACAAGCTAGGATGTTCCATGAAATAAACCATCCATTATAAACTATAAACCATCCATGGGGGTACCCCTAAATCATCCATTATAAACCTTCCATGAAACCATCAAACGCTGCGATGCGCGATGCGGATCCCACATTGACTGTCGAACCCGCATCGCAACTCAGCTGATGGCCAAACAAATTGCCATATGATTGTGGCCTTACAGTTGTTCTCGATCCGCAAGATATTATCATTATCATTCAGTATCATGTTATACATACATACATACATACATACATATATATATATACATATATATGTTATTTACAGTATCTATTTATCTATCTACAATGCATAATACGATCATCCATTCAGGGTCTCCTCCCAAACAAATGCCAAATGCCCTGCCCGTCCCGGCCTCCCAAGCTGGGTCGTTCATGAAGGAAATGAGGTAAGGCAACAGGAAGCTGTGAGTATTTTCTCGGCCGAAGCAATCCGCCAAGACCTCAGTACGCCACAGCTATCTTCACGTCCGAGTTGAAAGATGTTGAAAGATTGTCCGTGCAAGAAAGGTAATCCCAATTATATGGTAATCCAAGAAAGGTAATCCATGAGATAGAATGAGATAAGCTATTTCATATGGTAATCCCAATGTTGTAAGGTTGATGCAAGAAAGGAGATAGAATGAGATAGAAAACATCGTAGAATTATGTAGAATTGGGAGTGACTTGTTGGTTTTGCTTCAAGTTTCTCCAGATCCCCAGGCCAAACCTCAAGGGACCCGACGCACATGTTGCGCAGCAAGGCAATTTTCACCTGCTGCTGGGGTCTGTGGTAGAGCCGGAACATTTTTCATCCGCAAGGACTTTCCAGAAATGGCTGGTCTACAGCCTCCAAAATTGCTGCTTTATGAGTCATTTATCTGGTTGGTGGTATACCTACCAACCTGAAAAATGTGAAAGTCAGTTGGGATGATTATTCCCAATATATGGAAAAATAAAAGCCATGTTCCAAACCACCAACCAGTTATGAGTTTATGACATTCGGTCCAAACCGGCACATTTCTAGTCTTGGGACCATCCCAGCTTGCGTTTTTGGAGCAAGTGGAGCAAGTGGAGACTATATGGAAACCCATATCAAATTGGAGTCACCTTAGAAACAAACAGAGAAACACGATTATGAAACCTTTCCATATTATTGGAAACACTATATTATTAAACTATTGTTGTACCCTCTGGTGAACTAACATTTTGCCATGGAAAATCACCATTTTCTAGCTGGGAAAATCCACTATTTCGACTGGGTCATTTTCCATTGCAAACTGTTAGTTCACCAGAAGGTATTATGATATATTGTGGGTATTGAAACACTATGTGTTTTATACATTTCTCTTTTTTTAAACGGTGCCGAAATGTGTAAAACACGAGCCACGCCTCGCGGCTCACAGAGAGGCTGATCAGCTGATCTTCCTGCATGAAGCCAGAGATGCTGAAAAGATTGCTTCAGTGGCCAAAAAATAGTTTATCCATATATCACATCATATTATAGATCAGATATGTATAGTTTTATATATATATATATCCATATGGTATATTTATTTCTATATATATATAAGATCATATATATATATACACATAACCATCCATAATATCATCCAAAAAATAGCCCAAAGGTTTCTTTGAAAGGCCTTGGGGCGGCCTGATCCTGATCCTGATCCATAAATGTGGTTCCTAAAAATCTATTGTCCAAACCATGTTCCCATGAAACATATGTTGCTAAGTTGGTTTATAAGTATTTAAAGTTTTCGATTTATGGCGATTCTAACAGTTAGATGGGTTTTAATTAACGAATTACAACTATGGGGCACTATGGTTTGGATTGGTAATGTTCCTCCCTAACTTCGAAAACAGGGACCCACTACCAGAAATCCTTACCCTCTGGTAAACGTTTAACAAAAAACTATGGAAAGATCCACCATGCTATCAATGGGTAAATCCACTATTTCAATGGCAATGTTCAATAGCAAGCTGTTAAATTACCAGAGGGTACTTTTGTTTGTGATCATCCCCCCATCCCCCTATTTCTATGGGTCGACGTTCCTCTTGAAGCCTGGGCTGTATCCAAGCTGGGCTGTGATCTGAAAATTGCTGGGATTGAAGGCCTGCTGGGATTGAACATCCAGCTTGAAAGAACTGAATACTTTGAAGCGTCAGCAGTTGACACAACCCCAAAAGAGCCCAAATGTCATACTCTGTCGTACAATGTATATGTTGGCCCACCTAGATGTTTTTGGCTGCCATCTGAATGTCCTAAAAGTTGGGGGATCACCCTGAAACCCTGAATCTTGATGGCAAATCCTCTTGGAAGCTTGACAACTTGAATTTGCTAGTGGCGTCAGCCCAAAACTACTCTTGCATCCTTGAATCACCGTTCAAAAACCTTGAGACAACCCCATCATCGTGGAGGTTTGCTGGGTGCTTATTGATGGGGTACCAAAAGGAACACTGAAATTGTGGTCTAGCACCAAAGTTTCCTCAAAGACTCTAAACCAGACAAGTACCAAATGTCATTTGTATTTAAATGCAAGTGTACATATACATATAATATATTTATATTATATAGTCTATTATGTGTGTATATATATATATTATGTATCATATTGTATATGTATATATATATATATTTAGTGTATATATTATATTATATATATATTGTATATATTATAGTATATTCTACATATATATATATATGTGTGTGTGTATTACATATAATTAATATATATATATTAATTCTATTTTAGTATATTATATATTATTATATCATTCATTATATTATATCAGTATTGTATTGTATTATATTATATTATATTGTATTAAATTATATTATATTATACATACATGCATGCATACATGGATATATATATATATATACATATCACATAATATATATAATATTGTATCATATATCATATATATATATTGTGTATATATATATATTGTATATTATATATATATATATTGTATATTATATATATATTGTATATATATATATATTGTATATTATATATATATTGTATATATGTATGTGTATATATATATATTGTGTATATATATATTGTGTATATATATATACCATAACAAACCATCCTAAACCCTGCGGGGTCGTTTTGAGGTAGCCCAGCCACTGGCCTGGTTGCTCTTCTCCGTAGAATGGGCTGGCAGGAATTCCAAGAGCGCCTGGGCCAGCCCCAAAAAAAGTCTGGGATGCTGATGTTATGGCACGGGTGCACAAGAAACATGGATTCCATGTAGAACTGTGGCAACACAAAACAAGTCTGAGTGCAGAATGTTGGCAGGTGGCGAAATATCACATATATCACATATATCATCACATATATATATATACCACTAATATCAAATATCACATCTTCTTTGCCTATCACAATGACTGCTATGGCGAAAATGATACAACAACCAGCCTTGACAATCTTATTCAAAGCTTCCTCCAGAGTTCCCACATCAAACCTCGCCGGAGCTCGATCGGTAATGTCTGGCGACAGAGACGAGTTTTTTTTTTCGGCGTTGAATGTTGGGATTTTCCAGTGCCATAAACCTACTTTTTCTGATCTATTTGGGGATGGTTTATACATGTTTACACCACTTTCGGCTGTGATTTTGGGGATGGTTTCTTATCAGGTTGACCGGCATTTCAGCAGCAGTTTCGCTGGCAAATCCCAGCGGTTAACTCAGCGCGTGGCAAAACACCCGTGTCGTCCTGTGGAGTGCGAAAAACTGGGGAGTGGTGAATTTGGTGAATATCAAAATAACATAAAATAACTGAAAACCATTGAAAACCCATGAAACCCATTTTCAAATGCTAGAGAAATGTTGGGCGTTTCATGTTGGCCACCCGAGGTCGCATCAAATGACCATGGCACATGAAACATGAAGGATCCACAGCGTGGTCCATCACAGTTACCAGACGCAGCCGATTGGCAGCTCAAAATCAACTGGTGAATCAATGACACAATGATGAACGCGATCCAAGATCTTTCCACCTAACTGATCCAAGCAGAGAAAAAACACGTGCCCCTGAACTTCACCTGAACCTGGCAAGAACCTGAGAAGAGCTTCAGTTTCCTGAGCTCATGAAACTCCACTTGGATCATTCGTCATTTTCCTATGATATCCATGGATCCTATCTGCCGGCCTGGCTCTGTGTAGCTGCCTCAGTGGGATCATCAAAACCATCCAACGGATTCCAACGGGAATATTTTTTGGGCCTTTGGGCAATTCAAATCCCATGTCCAAATCAATTTCAATCGAGATAAATCCATTTCAATCCAGTGAAATATTGATAAATTCCATCTAAATCCACTTAAATCCAGATATTTCCACCCAATTCCCGAAGGAAATTACGTCCATCATTTCACCAAGGGACAGCCAACTGCTGCCCACAGCGCTGCGCGTGCGTGGCCAAGGTCCCCAGGTTACGGGCCACGGACAGCAACACCTGGGAAGCGATGGTGGCCGGAGGGGAAAAAAAAAACATCATTTATTTCGATGATTTCCCCGTGGTAACCTCTATTTCTAGACGATTTTCCATTGTAAATCCCTCTTTTCATGGGAGAGAACATGTGTGTAAAATGTGAAGTGATGACATAGTTCAATCACAGAAATGTGTATATTTAATTCACCTTTTCTAGACATTTAGAATGTGATAACATTATATATATATATACATACATATCTGAAAAATGGTGCAGGATTTTTGGATTATCTGTTGATGTTTGTTGGGGAACATCACTCTTGCGGCAAGCTTTGGAATCATCGATGCAATCAGAAATTTCTGGGAATGTCATACACAAAATGCCAAGCAAAGTTGTAAGCCATCTCCGAGAAAATGCGTCAGCAGATCAACTAGGTCTTACTAGGTGGCTCGGACCACAGGTTCGTTGTTCATGCCACTCATCATCGACATGAGTTGCGGGAAGATGTACCTGGAAGAGGAGACCAGAAAGGAACGCCACAACTGACCCATTCTGGTATGTGGAGGAACTTCAACCTATTCAATATAATATTGAAATTGTTGAAAAAAAACAAAAACAAGGAATACGTTCCCGAAGCAACGACCAACATCGCCCATGTTTGTCCCTTCCGTGGCACTCTGTGAAGAGAGGAGCATGGCTGGATGGCAGTTCTTTCACCTGAGTTCGATCCCCAAGGCCTCTTTGGGGGCACAATGTTTGATTTCATCTGATCGTGTTTGATCTAAATGAAACCGGGAAACAGAAACAAATTGTGTGAAGCAAAAAACAGCTGAGATCAGATCGCAGTTATGTGCCCTATCACAACAGGCGATCCAACCAACCAATAAAACATTGGAGATATCACCTCTCAACGCTGGGAGTTGGAGATGGGGTCCAAACCTGTGCCAGCGCGGAGCACAAGACATCCACCGAGCGTGCTTTCACCTTTTTTTTCGCGCGGCCGGGAATCGGACATTGGGAAGGTCAAAATGTTGCTGGCTCTTTATCTGCTAAATTTAAGGTGAGCATTGAGAATTTGGTGAGCATTGACAAATTGAGATATCATTTCATGGATGAATTTATAAAACTGCCTGGAGGCCTGGTTTCTTCTTCGGATTCCATTCTAATCTTAAGCCGTTCATCAAATCAACCGGCATCTGGCTGTGCAAATCACAAATTGGGGGATCTGTGGAAATCCCGAAGCTGGAGACCATACGATGGCCACAAATTGGGGGGTATTGTTGCTGATCTCCGACTGTCCATGAATTGTGTCCCATTGTCTGCCCTTAAGATCTGTGGCTTCCTTCCCATATTGGCGAAAAAATCCTGGCGAGCTGCTCTGGCAACCGGATCCGTCATCAGCACGTGGCTGTAGGGGATGATTTGCTCCAATAACGTCTCCTAAATCGCAAAAAAAAACATGGGCGATTTAGAGTCCCCAAGGCCCCAGGGCCCCAGGTTGGGTTCCTGAAAAGCAACATGGCGCATGGCAAGGGTACGCAAGACTTCGGATTCAATCTTATTGGGAACACTTCCAGATTTGGAAAACCGTTTGAGACTACTTTTCAGTGTGTGTGCTTCCAAAGGTTGGTGTACTGGGCATACTGTTTTCTTGAAATGGTCCAATATCGAGGCAAAAATGGGATCTTCTGCACCTTGACGGGGCAAATGTTGGCAGGGACATCCGAAATAAATTGGATTGTCACTCATCTGGTCATTTTGCGCTGACTGGCTATGCAAGTTGAATCTCGAAATTGTTGCCCTTTGAAGTCTCTAGCTTGAATACCTGATTCCTAGCATGCGTGCTCTATATCGGATATCGATAGCAGTATGCACAAATTTGTTGTATCGCCTCTGTATGTCTTTGAATCGCCCGAGAATGCCCTCAAATCATCTTGGAAATCATGTTTCACATCGGAAACGTCAGCGTATTTGAGAACAAAAAGTGACATCTCATTAGCGATTTATAGAACCAAAGGATATGTTTCACGGAGCAGTTCTAGAGTTTTAATCCACATTTCTAGAGTTTTAATCCACATTGGACCCTAATTTGTTGGCAGATAAATCCCCCTATTTGGGCCCATACCCAACCCCTCTCCTGTGAAGAAAGAGGCACCATCAATTGCAACATGTCCAGGCACGCATGGCGTGCCCTGCGGTGACAGCATGGATGATGATTATCATTGTCGTTTATTATTATCATCATCATTACTACTACTGTTACTACTATACTACTATACTACTATATCATAATTACTATGGTCATTGGGATTATTGTTGTTATATATAATATATTATAACTGTTATTGTTGTTGCTATCATTATTGATATTGTTAGTATCATTGCTATTCTTATTATTATTGTTTTTATAATTATTGCTGTTGTTGTTGCTGTTGCTGCTGCTGTTGTTGCTGCTGTTGTCGTTGTCGTTGTCGTTGTCGTTGTCGTCGTCGTCGTCGTCGTCGTCGTCGTCGTCGTCGTTGTTGTTGTTGTTCATGTTCTCATCAGCATCAGCATCATCATCACCATCATCACCATTTTGGTACATCTCAAATCCTCGTAGTTTTGGAGATTCATCCCTTTATGCCGATGCTCCGAACAGTGGTCCGATCAGTGGCAGCTAAATCCCCATAGTGTGCTGGTTGAATCCAGATGCTTAGCACTACATCTGCGTTGTTGTTGCTTGAATACTTACCCTCCGATAAGCTAACGTAGCTATTGAAAATGGCCATAGAAATAGTTGGTTTACCCATTAAAAAGGGTGAATTTCCATAGTTATGTTAGCTTACCAGAGGGTATTTGTGTTGGTCTTTTCCCAATTATCATGATAAATTGTTGGTGCCATACCCGATGAATTCAAACATAGATATGAAAATCCATGGGATTCAGAAAGCTATCCATCAGTGGTGGATTTCGCCATCGTGGATTTCACCCAATCAGAATCCCAATGGATTTGTTTTCGCCGAAACCCATGGTAGATGAAACGCATCCCCGTTTTTGGTTTCAAAAATGTTTTTTCTTCCCGGAATTTGTCATATGAATGAACATATTCACCATTTTACCATGGTAAAAACCATGTGTGAGATTAAAAATCACCATTTTACCCATGGTAAAAACATGTATTCACCATTTTACCATGTCATATTCACCCCTTCTCCTCATTCTGTGACAGTAAATTGCCCGAGGCCAACTGTCACAGAATGATCATCCAAATACCTGGCCTTAACTTACCCCAATTTCTCGGCGAAATCCCCAATTTGTTGGTCGCAAATCACAAAAAATTGCTGGTCCATGGTTATAGTTATTGTTAAAAAAACACTATAAACTATAGCTACAACATGCTACTATAACAGTTATAACATGTTGTAACAGTTATATATAGTTATAATGAGTTATAATAGTTATAAACTATTCTTGTTGGTAACCACATCCAATAACTATTTCTTCGCGCCTGGGAGTCAGCACATGCTGGACACAGGATGTGACTAAGCCACAGATGATGCCCAGCGCCTTCCGAGCTGACCATGGAAAAACGTGTTGAATGTGGGAGTTGACACATCAGATTTTTTCCCCGATGAAAAACCACGAGAAATTCGGTGGAATTCGCATTAGAAATGACTTCACCATGCAAAATGAGGCGTTGGTCCGTAAAATTATGACAGGTTTGTCAGAAATTGGGTCTAGCCTGCCAGTTTGTGGAAGTTCAACCAAGAATTTTTGGCATTCACCCTATGAATCATGGAAATGGTGTTGACAAAAACTGAGAATACTATGAATTTTCGCCAACTTGCCATCAAAACATTGCGGGCGAATGGTGATCAACCATGATATTTTTGGGCATAACCTGGTGGTTTCCCAAATGCAGCTGCAATCAACACGCCCATTTTGCCTCGCCTCCTGGTGGCGAAATCCAACTTGGTGGTGTCAACCCCCAAGAATCCCAGGGTGTTTTTTCATGGAAAATCGCCATGGTGAAACCACCAGATCATGGGAAAGCCTATTCCGCCTATTCCCCTTACCCCCCAAACCTGACCTCAGCATCTTGTCCTGGGAATGGCTTGGTGGTTGGCTTGTAACAAGCCCTTAAAAAGATGACAAGTTATACAAGTTGCTGATCTTATTTCATGATCTTTCCATTAAAAATCAAACCCCTCCAATTCAACAACGATTCATTGGTTTGATCCGGGATTGACGTCGATTGGTCCGGGATTCCGATGGATTCCACAGATTTGTGTTGTGGAAAAATGTGGTTAAAGCGTCATGGCAGAGAGGTATGATATGACGATTACTTATATAGTACACGTTCAGAGTGTTCGATTAGTGACATGTGTGTGTCATTTTAGAGAGACATCAAATGCACCTTTAAAAAAAGGCAGCCATCTACTGTCCCGATCTTTACGTCTGCCTCAAAGCTATTTGTTGCATGTCAATCATGCTAGGATGCCTCCGTTTGAAAATGCATCAATGGATGCACGATCACCACCCTTTTAAGGAGGGGGGACGCTCAAAATGCAAGCTTGCAATAAGACGTTGTTTTGGGGGGGGGGGACCTATGAAAATGTATGCTTACAATTTTTTTTTGTTCATCGTCTTTATTGCAAGATTGCATTTTGATAGGTTCGTAGATTGCAATTATGTGCCCCCACGTTTTACCGACTTGCAATTATTTTCCAGGGGGGGCGTCCAATATTGCAAGTTGCATTTTACGGAAACAAATGTAAGAACATGGAAAAAAATGCAAGAACAATAGTCTGGAGGTCTGCAAATAGCTGCAGAATTGCATAAAATCATAATTGCAATCTGTATCCCTAGAGGGCCTCAATTGCCTGTTATTTTCAATGAATTCTACACTTTTTCATCATTTACACATAGATTTATAGAAGGTATATTATTCCTTGCAAATTATTGGAAAATCCTTGAAATTCAATAAATGTAAAAATAGATGTTGGAGGTCTTCAAATTTGCCTCCTGTTGATGCACGTATCTGACTCCCTATCTGTGTAGCTACCTACCTGCCATCCATTCGCATATCTGAACTTCAACCAACGTTGCCCGAGTACAATTTAACCTAGGTCATGACATACTCCAAGAAAGAGAACAGAAGAATCGCAATAAATACTACCTTAGGAGTTTGCTATAGGAGTGTAATGACTACCTACAGACCTGGCCTCCACAATTTAACGTCGGTGGCTTGCACTTGTGTATTAACCTATCCTACTGGAGGCCTGGCTGGAACTGGTTGTCAAACTCTGACACAGGGGAACCACAGCTTCTGGTCATCTTGTTGAATACACCAACACAAGTCCATCAACACCAACAAATTACAATTGTATACAATCCTTACTGAACCATCAACTTTGGTGAAATCAAATTTCGGACGATGTAATATACTGTAGAAAAAAACACGCTACAAAATCAACAGAACTAGTCACTAGTCCATCCAACCCCTCTGCCGTGTCGTTTCACGCCCTTTTTTTCACCTCCGCGCTCGCTTGCGCGTCACTGGAGGCTCTGGCTCATCGTTCGCAGAGGAGGGCAAGTCCTCTTCGGGTAACCTGGGTACTTCAGCCCACAGCTCAGTACCATCATCGTCAGGTACCCGGGGAACTTCAGCCCAGGCATTTGTTGATGCCCCTTTCAAATCTTTTAAGCTGGATAGATGAGATGCTTGCTTGGATTGCTTGGATTGCTTGGATTGCTTGGATTGCTTGGATGTCGATTTCACCTTTTTGATGAAATATGGACATGGCGGCACCTTAAACTCGGGACCATCCACAGGAATGGGTGCTCTTTGGCACTGCTGCAAGGACTCAAATTTCCGGAGCGCGAAGCGCGGGACGTCCGCCAGGCGCAGCTGGTCGCCGTCCTTTAACTCGCGCATGGCGCCCTTGGGCAGGCGATGCTCGTTGACCCAGGTGCCATTTTTGGAGCTGTCTGAAATGAAGAGCCGAATCCCAGCCGCCCGGCTCTGCATCAACTGCAACTCCGCATGAGAATTGGAGACTCCAGCCATCTCATCCGTGACGTACAAGTCACATTTCCGATTTTTGCCCACGGTGATGATGGAGGGCCCCCAGGGAACAATCCTTAAGACCTCCCCCAACTTGGCCCGTTCCCCAGGTCTCAAGGGAAACAGCTCGAAGACGGGCCCTGGACCATCGCCCCCCGGGGCCCCCGGGCCACCCGGGCCACCCGGCTCCGTCAGATCTTTGGCTTGGCAGCTCCATGGCGTCGTGACGCCCCGGAGCGCCTTGCCCAAGAGGTTGGCGTAGGATCCGTAGACCACGCGGATCAGAGAGAGATCCTTGTGACCTGGTGAATGGGAACCCCGGGAACCCCGGGAACCCCGGGAAGCCCCCAAGAAAATGCCACAAGATGGGGGGCAATTGGGGATCATCCCATCATGATCCCACTTTTGGATCAAAAATCAAAAGATCTTTGAAGCCATCAACCAGTGACTCTTGTACAAGCACCTTCCGCTCAGCTTTTTGTAGGCTGCATATGCACCACTGCTGTCCGCAAATCGCACGACGAGCTGCGTGATCCCAGAGTGAGAAGCGACCAAATCAACTTCCAGTACCTCCCCGAAAATCCGCGCAAACTCGTGCCTGAGCCACCCACTTGCAAGAAACATGAGGCAGGCGAGCCATCATCGACCCATTTTCACAGTGGAACAAAAAGATTTGAAACCAAACGATGATCGTCATCAAAAAATATGTTTACGCCGGAACGTTAAAAGTAAAACCACCAACCAGATTCGGACTGGTGGTTGAAACGCCCATCCCAAACACATGCTCCTCATTGGGGAATGCCCTCCGAAAATTGCTTAAGAATCACACATATTTGAAACATGTTGAAACCATGAACCAGAAATGATTTGATCTCACCATTCTTCATTGGATATACCGTGCTTACCATGTCTTACCCCCATGTTCCCCATTTTTGCTAATGACCAAAGCCCATTTCAGTGCTGAAATCATCACCAACCCCCAGGCTGGCCAGGGACCAATGTGAGCCTGGCATGCACTTGGCTGCCTTGTTCACCTCTTTCGTGGCCCATTTACTGGGAATCTCCAAGCTCATGCCGTCCATGTCCAACCTGGCCATGGGAAAACCACAGATCCCACTGGGACCATTTTGGACTCAAGAAACTCTTCGTTAGGGATTCATCTGATTCAACACCATCGCTTCAACGGGATCTCAACGGATTTCAATGGTCAACCAGTTCAACCCGCCCTTTCTTCCACCCATCCAGCCTCATGGGGTTCCAACAGCTCTTCAGGCGCGGCACCAGGCGGCTGGAGCCCGCATCAATGGTATCCCTCCAGGTGGCGGTGGCCGCTCCACTGAGCAGCTTCCGCGGCCGCCAGCTATCCCAGATCCGCTGACAGTCCTCCGCCGAGGCCAAAAGACACACGAAGAGACGGTGCAGCTGGAGGAAATGTTCGTCCACGATACCTGGCAACGCAGGGAACTTCGGTTGAGCTTGGAGGCCAGGTTGTTTGGTACAGGGACCGATAGACCCGCAAAAAATGGGGGGAATACATCAGTTTGTTAGCAAACACTAAATGTGGAAAGTTCGATTCTGAGGTTGGTACTTTTAGTGGCTTGAACTGTTGAATTGAACCTTTGTAGGCTCAAAAATGCCCTTTGTGTATGTTGATATGGGGAATATATGGGGATATTTCATAGAACCCACAAATGATGGCTACCTGTTTCGGATTTTTTCCTGGATGAGAAACTCCAAGAAAGTGACTGTAAAAGGTAGGAATATTGTTGATTTGGTGTTTATAGGGGATAAAAGCAAGAAAAATTGGGCATGTGAACTATGTGAAACAGCAAAACATCTCGAAAATCATGTTTTTTTCCATTTTTTTTCCACGTTTTTTTCCCATGTTTCACAGGTGCGATGAGCTAAAATCAGGACCTAAGCAACGACCTTCCAGCTACAACGGTTAGATTCTAACCTGGCCCATCTGCGAGATGGTTGGGAGATGATGGGTACCGATATTATTTGTTGAAAAATAATGGTACCCATGGTTATATAATACTAAAAATGGACTCAAATCCTAAAATCTGTGGTCCTCTGAGCCTCTGAGTCTTGAACATTTTGACGCATCCCCAATTGAATTCTTTCTGACCGTGACTTTGTTTCAAGATGTTTCACGTACAGGTATTGATTCATCTGTCATAAAGATTTACGCTATCTCATCCCCCTCACTGTGGTGGCTAAGGAAACTGCTTGAACCCCCTCCTTGGAATTACCATGATCACGTATCACCCAATATTTCTGAACATTGCGAAACTGTGGTTCTCTCCCACTTCTTTGGTGGTATCAAAAACAAAACTCAGAACTCACCAAGCAACTCACCACGGCCTCCTCTCCCAGTTGCTCACAGAGCAGTTCTTTCATCTCCCTCATCAGAGGGGCCAGCCTAAGGTCGTCCATCTCAATCCGCATATCTGCCCAGATCACTGCCACCACCCCCACCGCCTCCTTCCGCCAGGTGGCCCAGCGTCGTTCGTACTTCAACGTGGGACGCTCCGGCGGCGCCTCGGATGGCAGCTGGGCACCCAGATCTCCAGCTGCAACCGTTGGCCCCGGCTTCGCGGCAGATGGAAAGGGCGGCTTCGCCGGCGCGCCGCGCGCCTTCGCGGTGGCCCCGGCCGCGGCCAGCCTCTTCAAACGTCTCGCGGCCGCATCGGTGGCATCGGTGGCATCGGCATCGGGGTTGGGAACCAGGGCCAAGTGTTTGGGCGCATGGGTGACAGATGGCCGAAGGGTGCGGGTGCTCATCAAGTCAGATCTTGAGCCCATTTTGAACAACGGTGCAGGATCCTGGCCTTGAAACATCTGGAAACCAAAGCCTTGAGGCTTTTGGGTGGACAGAGATGCCTTTACTCCACGAAGTGCACAGAAAAATTGCGATTTCAAGTAGGAAGTTCATGCAAGGCCATCTCTGTCTGTTCCACAATGTTCCATCTTAGTCTTCCGATTCTTTGGTAGGATACTGTTTGACGATTTCCACTATCTCATTGATTCCATGTTCCATCTCAAAGCCTGTCCGCGCAGCGTAGCAGCGTCCTGTGGATGAACTGCTACCTGGAATCTGTGACCTAAGCGAGGGCAATCTCCTCATCTTGTCACTGGATCGGCTTCTACATCGACCTGAGAAATCATAGTGTCATAGTAGGCTTTTTCATGAAATTCAATGGGGGACATGTTCTACCTGCTTTCCAACCTGCGATTCTCAGTGTTGACCCCGAACAAATCCCAAGTTCGCAAGGGACTTCCGTACATCACTGGGCCTTCACTATCCCAATGGTGGGGGAATAAGCCACATCACCATAGTATACCATAGTCACTTTCGCCAGTCATAAATGGGTAACCCCCATCAACCCCCATCCATATGCTGCAAATGGTGTTTTGGACCAGTTTCTCGCCCTCCATCAGTAGCCCTGGCCCAGATCTGCCCAGGGACCCCCAGGGATCCCGACTCACCGGGTCCGGCACTGTTCTCGCACAATTTCGAGAGGAAGTCCACGTAGATGGAGCTGTCCTCACGGGCTCTTGCGGCTCTTGGACGTGAACAACACTTTTTGGGTGTCCACTTGAAAAACAGGGCATACCTATGGCATACCATGAAAATCCATGAAACACCAAATACACCTACCAATCATCACATGTTATATTCCCATATCTCTCCGTGAAGCCAAACTCAGGGCCCAGTCACGGCATTGTCAGCTTCCCAGTCACCGCAGTCCTGGTTCTCCCCTTCATCGATTTGTCCACTTGAAGCACAGCGCTTGTACCTTGCAACTCGTTCCAGTCTTGTAGGCACGGGCACTCTGTTGCCACATTTGGCAAACTTGCAGAACTCTATCACCCATCTACCCTTTGAGGATTGATTTTAGGAGTCGGAAACGTGGGTCCTTTTTGCGGTTCCCAGATTACATTCTGAAGAAATACATCCTCTTGATCTGATGGATATTTTTGCCACCTGGAATCTGCAAGCTGAGCTCAGCGCTCAGCTTGGGAACATCTAGTTTTGATGTTTACATCCGAACCCTTAGTTCTATTGGAAGATCTAGCATAAAAAAATCCCACTTGGGAGTAGTGATACCAGATGATACCAGAAGAATAGCCCAAATCAAGTATTGTTACAATAGGGCGTTCTTAAAATTGGGGCTCCCGTTTGAACCATGGGTTTCAATATTAGAATGCTCTAATAAGCTGGATGATTTGGGGGTACCCTGACTCAACGGAAACTGTCATGTCCATCTAATATATCAGATGTGGGATATGATTTAGATTATATCCCAATAATTTCGAATATATCATCATATTCCAGAATCCATATGAAATTATATGAATATGAATCCATATGAATCCATATATCATATACAGTATCTAGTAACTAGTGCCAAGTTTCTCTCAAACTTCCCCCAAATTCCTCTCATTCGTGGGATGCCCGATTAAGGTCACCCTTCTTCCCAGAGGTCAAAGATGGTGCTGGTGAAGGTGCAACACACGGCCTTTCTCCAGTGGTGGGCTCGGGGTGGAAAGAATGGTTGGTTTTTTGTGGCTAATGGGATTTAATTGGATTTCATGGGATTTAATCAACTATCAATGGTGAAAATCATGATTTTCATGGGATTTCATGGGATTTATTAGGATATATCATGGGATACCCTCTGGTAATTTGTTACGGTTTAGCTATTGAAAATGGCCCAGTCGAAATAGTGGATTTACCCATTGATAGCATGGTGATTTTCCGTAGTTATGTGGCTGTTTACCAGAGGGTAATCAATAACTGGTTGGTGGTATACCTACCCCTCTGAAAAATATGAAAGTCAGTGGGATGATTATTCCCAATATATTGAAAATAGTCCAAACCACCAACTAGATAATGATGATAGTGGTGATATTAGTAATATCAATGATAATAATATATAACTTTTTAATAACAATGATTTCAATAACAATAATATCAATAAACTACATTGTAATAACAATCATATCAACAATCATAATGATGATAATGGTGATGATAACAGTGATAGTAATAATGAGTGTAGTTCTGATAATATGGAGCATAATGATGACAAAAATAATATATATATATATAATATTCACATGAATAATAATGATGATGCTAATAATAATAACATAACATACCTACTTTGGCCATCGGGTTGAGACACTTGAATACGTAGCGTTTTATTCCAGACTGGATCTAGAATCTAGACCCAGTCTCTGGGTTCTGGAAGTTCCAGTACCCTCAAAATTGATTCATCTGGGACAAAAAAAAAAAAGGTTTCATCACCTGTTCCGTGTTTGCGCACCTGACCTGACCAACTCAGCAGCCCTCATGACATCCACTGGCTCACCCTGACCCACACAACGGCTCCACTTTCTCATTGGCTCCACATGTGGCTTCGGCACACGGATTAAAACGGCGTGAAAGAAACGCGTCCGTTTTGGCATCCCCCAGGACATTGCAAGGGGGGGGGGTCTGGGTCGGTTGGATCTCTGAACGACTGCCGCGATCTGGGGCCTGAGATAGTGGATATACTGTGGGTAAAACAAGGCCACCAATTTGGGAATGGCAACCACACCACCTTAATCAAAATGGTGATGACTGGGGGATGATTTCTGATTGTTTAACAAGCCACATTACACTGGATATTGTTCATATGGTCCACACTCTTGGCACCAACTAACCCATGATTGCAGATGCACATTGACCAAAGGCTGAATTTCCATCGCCCAGCTTTAAAGCTGACGACATGGCCGGCTTTCTCGAACACATCGCACACCGGACGCGCTGTTTCAGCATCGATTCCTACCACTACATTGTGCTACCGGTGATGCTTCCGAAATCCCAGCTGGAGCACCAAGGTTGAGGTTTCTGGGATAAGAAATGTCCATCAGTTCATTTCTATAGAAGTATGGAAAAAGCATGAAAAAGCTGATCATTCCGGTGTTTCATGAAATGTTGACAGGTTGTTCCATCCATATTATCCGCTGGGGATTTCTGACGCTTGAGCTTTCTCTCAGCATTCTTCGAAGGCCCACGTTGCTCGGGGTGGTCGTTCGTCTGCCTGTATCAGACTCAGAAGTCTCTGCATGTCCTTGGCCGGAAGTGAATCAATGGATAAAATCCACAGGAAACCATCATCCCATGGATCTTCTAGATGAAACACTGCTTGTTAAATATTAATGGTTAATATTTCAATGGATGATGTTTATGTATCCCCAATTCTAGGGATTGCCTGTTTTATTTCTCCCGTCATCTAAGACCGGAGCGATGTTGTTTGGATGCGACCGACATAGAATTCCGCGAGCGACATTAGCCGATGTAGCCACTTAATAAACACCATTAAAATCATGACCTTCACTAACCTGAAATAAGGCTATTTGGGGATGATTTTCCTTACTAACCATGATTGTTGAACATCTTGATGTAGTGAGAATGTGTCCACATCCCCTCCAATCAGATGGCTAACTGTTGCGAGTTGAAGACGAAATCGAAGCAAAGTAGATCACCAGATCGGGATTTGTGAAGGTAAAGTTCCAGGAAAAGTTCCAGGAAATCAGTGCCACTATGGTCAGATGTTCCTGTCAATCCATGATTTCACCCGACTCACAGTGACTCACATCGACTATCGCCGCCTCGGGGGAAAGCGGTGCCGAACAGAAATTCTGTTGGGTCACCTAAAGGGTCACCGCAATTCTCAACATACCACAAAAAAGCGCTGATATCCAATTGGCAAAGTCCACCCAGCCAATATCACTAGTAATCCATGAGCCACAAATGTGAACTAATGATCCAATGTATCACCCAGAGCTTCCCCATCCATTAAGAAACAAAACAAACTGCTCCCATTCCAACCCCCTCGAAGACATCTGCTACCAAAGAGCTGCTTCCGTGTTGCCCTCCTCCGGCACGTCCACATTTTTTCTCAGCTCTTTCAGGCGATGACCTTGGTGAGATCCGGATTTCTTCGCATGACCTGAGTATTACTAGTATAAAGTACAGGAATATACAGTAATTCCTGATAAAATATGATAAAATATGATAAAATTACCTGATAGTACAGTAATAAAAAAGTATAGGACTATATGAATCTTTTTGCATTACCTGATAAATCTGATAGTACAGGACCAGTGAAAAGGGGGACATTGTTTTCTTGTGAGGACCTCAAGATGTATCCAATTCCAAAGTCGTGAATCCAGAGTTAGATTGCTTCCCTTGACTCCCATGCTTTCGGAAACCAACCCTGAACTTCGGCATTTTGAAATGGTCCCCCCATTGGACACCGCACAGATTCCATCGCCCTTAGCAACCTCTCCTCTCAACCTCTGCTGTCCCGGGACGCATATCTGAAATCTTGGCCAAACTCTCCTTCAACTTTGGCGTTTCTTCGGCCTGAGCCGCCCCGAAAAGGAGTCCATCGCCACACATTGACAGGGCTGCGGTCGCAGCTGCTTTCAATGCTGGCGACATTCCAACCAAAATTGAAAAGTCCAACCGATTTTTTTCATATGCAAACCAGCAACAGTTGGCACAAAAAACATGGAAGAGTATGGAAGAGTCAGCGACCAGTGAAGGATCACAATCTGGATATATCTGGATATGTGCTAGTATGATCACTACAGTCACTACAGGGTATCAGGTCACCTCACCAAAACCAACTTTGCTCAAGCTGAATGGTCCCAATGGTCCCAAGGGTCCCAATGGTCCATGGCTTCCGCAAAGTCTTAAATAACCAAATGTTTCATCATTTATATCTTCACTGGTGATGTAACTGGTGAATACGACTGATATTTGTTTCATTTATCTCATAATTTCCACCAAAATCTTTCCATTATAGTCATTAAATCACCAGTTAAACCAGTTGAATCACCATGAAATACACCTCCAACTGATCATTCCAGATCGCCCAAAAAAGTTGTGCAACCGCGCCTCAAGCCTCCGTGCAGAGACCGGATCGACACTGGGTGCGGTGTAGAGCGCGTTGATCTTCTGAATCGCCTCTGATTCTTAGAAGTTGGTGACTCAAAACTGGTTGGATCGCTGGTAAAACATGCGGAGTTTTTTAGAAGTTGGTCAAGTTTCTCGATTTTTTGTTGGATTGGTTGCACAGGTCATGTTTAACTGTTTTAAGTTGGGTGTCGAAATCTTCATGTCTTGGAGATCGAAATCAGCCCTTGACCAACTGGAAAATGGTTACCACCGGTGCTTCTGAGCTCTGCCCAAGTTGGGTCCGTGCCCCTTCGCTTGTGTCGAAAACTTTATCCATCCAATTCTTGAGGTTGCTGGCTGCAGCTGAGCTAGGCCAAAAAAACTGGAGGCGAATCAAGTTTGAATCAGGATTGTTTTTTCAGACTCATACCAAAAACCAAGCGAAATGAAAAATGGCATCCATTATGTTGAGGTTTTATAGTTTCATCACTCAAAAAATGTTGGAATGTGGATGGGGAATATGAACATCGACCACTAAATCCCTTAATCCCCGGTATATTGGGATGAATGACTCACCAATATAACCCTATAAAATCACCTGCTAGGAAAAAACATGAGCCAATTAACACCACTAAAGTAAGGAAAAACAAGTTTAAAACAAAAATAAACAACTATGTAATATAACCTTTGTTCACAATACTACTAATATATTTGGGATTTACTCCATATGTACATATAAATATATAGGTCATATCAGAATCATATTATAGTGTGCAGCATATATTCAGGACCTGTATCCCAGTAAATTGGGATCTGCTAACCAATATGTACCAATCACACAGCACAATATAAGCCATACAAACCCTAATTTAAAAAAAAAAAACGTTAAACAGAAGTAACACCATTTTCAAAAAAACAACTAAGAACCACTAAGAAAGAAAAACCATTCCAAAATCCAATGATTTCCAATCAGAAACCACCTAAACCAATGATTTCCATGTTTTTCACAAGGGAAATTCGCACCTTGGGAGTCTTCAAGAGGTGATTGTAGCGACACGCCGCGTGCACAGCGGCGCCATAGGGTGCAATGGCTGCGGCGCCCGTGGTGATGGCGGCGATGGAGCCGGCGCAAAGGGCGTTGACGTCCAAAAGGTCCTACCAAAGATGATATGGGGAAATGACCCTCTGGTAAACTAACAGAACTACTGAAAATCACCATGTTTAATAGGTAAATCAACTAGAAATGGCAATTGTCCATTGTTAGTTTATCGGAGGGTTTCCTAAGTCATGGGGGTACCCCCAGTCATCATCCATTTGAATAGAATTTTCCATTATTTGGGGATTTTCCAGCAAGCCATGTTTGAAACCTCCATGTATGAAAGCCAAAATGAATGCCGACTTGACCACTTTTTTCGTAGGTAACCATGTTTTACCATTGATTTACCATAAAATATGGTGATACCTCTGGTTATGTGACATAGCGAACTGGAAAATCACCATCTTTATAGCTAGGTAAATCATCATTTTGTATCATCGAACTAAATGGGCCATGGTTTCCATAGCTATGTTAAATAACCAGAGGGTGTCCGATCTAGGCCAAAAATTGGAATTCGAGGGATCTTATCAAATCTTCCGATCAACATGCAAAAAATGTGGGAAACGAATGGTTTCCGATCCGGAAAATGATCTGCAAATGGTGGGTTAAACCCACATCTATGTTAGTTTAAAAAGGAAGGTATCATGATTTATCCGGCCAGCCGAATCACTTTATTAAAGGGATGTGATCAGAGTGCTTGTGAAAATTGGGAACATTGGGAATGGGAGAGTTTAGCATAGTCTTATGATATTATATCATATGTTTCATATGTTTATTGTTTTGTGATATTATATCATATGTTGATCATGTGTGTATCATCTGTTTATCATATGGGGGGGTGTTCTTTAAATGGTGGATCCCCAAAACCATTGGTTTCAGTACGAAACTTGTCTAATTCTGTTTTGGGGTACCCCTATTTTAGGAACCTGCATATCTTATCCATCAAATTTGAGGAGTTATCATCATTTATCCGCCAAAAAAATGTTGTGCTTCATTTAAAAGCTTGGAGTTGTGCAGCCAAAATGCGGATTCGGCAACAACAACAACAACAAGTGGAATTGAAACGATAGGAGTTGCTGATTCAGCCAACAAAAATGGTGTGTGGCCAACAAAACTTGGAATTCTTGGCACCCAAGATTTGGAGAATCCATCCAAAATTGGGATCCATCTGCAGATCCTCTAAGCGACTGAAGAAAAACATCATATCTAAGGTCTAGCGCGGATGTCAGCCAACAATGGGACGTAAAAACCAAGAAATGATTTCGGAAAAAAGTAGCTGATGGGGTCTTAGATGCAAAAAAGAACCCCCAAAAAAAATGGAAAAACCTCACTGGATTCCACCAATGGTTGATTAACTGGTGAGTTTTTGGTACAACAAATTACCGCAAAACCAGCAGTGAATCAACCATTGGTGGAATAGAATCAGTGGGTGCACGTCTATCTTAGAAAGGTGCAAAACTACAAACAGCACAACTCTAAGATAGAATCAGCAGTCTTGAGTTGTTCACCTTTCTATCAGCTCCTGAAACCACACCGATGTTGATGGGGTATATGGAATATATTGGAATATTATACTGTAATCATTTTGGATATATTTATGTAAAGAATGCCTAAGTTGGTGAACCATCTGCTTCGCAGATTAACTCATCAACATGTCATGCAAAACCCCCCATGATGTCTCGAGTTTGATCGAGAAAAAAAAAAACGGCGTCAGTAAAGAAGTGGTACGCCAAGGTCAACGAAATATCTGTTGGTTAAATCATTGAAATCCACCAATGTTCATCGTTAAATCCATCAAACAGTTGAGTTTTCCATGGTTTTTTTTTTGGTTGAATCCACCATGTTTCCCCTCATCTCCTGGCAATGGACCACAATGAGGTTCACAAAGGTGACCACCTGACTCATGTAGGCCACAGCCCCGCCGATGTCAACAGTACAGAGAGCCTGGCATTGGAAGACGTCAGACCACGAAGCATGAAAAACATATTACAAATTTACGCGCGGCAAATATGTCGCAAGCCTTTTCAATGATACATTAATACGTTCAAGTTAGACAAAGAATATGTCTAATGATTTTAATAGATGAATATAGATGATATATATATATATACGTAATCAATGATATGTGTTGGAAGTAGAAAATCATTGTCTTTTGTTGCCAACAAAAACACAGTTTTCTGATGTTATGCTTCTGTCTGCTCAACACTTGTCAAATCTTCAACGGTTCTAAACAACCCAAGTTGCAAGCGTAGCCTACGTGCACCCTGAAGAGAGAGAGAGAGAGAGAGATACTCCGGCAGCTCATCAAAGTATGTACTTTGACCTTCATAAAAATATTGAGATCTATTGAGATATATTATATAAGATAATATGTCTGAATATATCTCTTTTACTATTAATATATTATGCGCAGTGCCACCATTGTCTCCCCCCAAGAAATGGGTTGCTTTGGTTCTTGAGGATCCAAACTTGCAACCAACAAAAAAACCCTCTCGAAATTTAGCATAGCCAGCATAACTATCGAACATGGCCCATTTGTAGATGATTTACCTAGGACCTATCATGTTTTTTTTTGAATGTCCATCGCTGTTTTCAATGACCAGTGTCCCACCCCACCTCTGGAATGCCTTTGAGCACGTTCAACGGTGTTCGGAAGGTGCTCTTTTTGCATTTGTTGACATTCACCGCTTTGTTGATGGCAATGCCCAAATTGGCCTCATTGCACCCAGTATCTCAAGAACTTGCACATCTTGCTGACGAAAAATGGCGGTCATATCGGTTTTTTGCCCTCATACGAAAAATGGCGAACAACTGCCTAATCCCATCATTTGCCAGAACAAAAAAAGGACCGAAAAAATCGGATGGGCGTCGCCCGATCCCCAAATTTACGGTATCGTCCAGGTAGCAATGTTGGCGGCCACCATTCCCACATCCACACCGCATTGCACGCCATTTCCCACGGTGCCCTCGCCAATCAGCAGCCGTCGGTAGGGGGGTTTCGTCTGATCTCCAAGGACACTGATCTTGCTAGTGCTCAAGGTTGGAGGAGTTGGAGTGCCTCAGCAAAAACGAGGTTCAAGTAGTAAGGAAACTAAGGAAACTAAGGAAACTAGTACAGTATCTAATCATCTTCCATGGTTTCCCAGTCTAAGATTTCTGATCTGGGATTTTGGATGATTTTGGAGTAAATTCCAGGCGGGCTGGGTTTAAGGGAGAGCAAGCACCATCCTTCTGATCACAACCTTCCTTTTGAAGCAAGGGAGGACTTACTCACCAACAGTTCACACATTCTAAGCCTCTAAGCCCCATGAAATCCTCTCCCGAACCCCTTAGGATGATCCTAATGATTGTGGCCACACAGCTCGGCCCCAGCTCCGCCCAAGTCGCAGGTGGCCGCACCCAGGGAAGCGCCAGCAGCAATCTCTCCCATGGCAGAGACCAATCCGGTGACTCCAGCAGAACAGACCTGGTGTCTGAAACCAAGAATCAGCGTGATCAGACATTCATCAGACATTCATCAGACATTCAAAACATGGAAGAACTGGAAGAACTGGAAGAACTGGAACGCTCAACTCAGCTATCCAAAGGCATTTCTTATAGTCATCTCAATCCAAGGAGCTGCGTCCACATTGGTGCTAAGAGCACAGTTGGATGCCGCCAAGGCCAGTTTCGTGGCCAAATTGCCCACCCACGCCACCAGGATCGCTCCATTCACCTGGCAGGCCAGCTCCGACTCGCCATCCCGTGGCGGCGGACAGGTGCGAATGATGGCGTTCAGGTCGTCTCCCATGCCCACGGCGGAGACGAAAGCTTCCAGGACATTGAAGGAACATTCCTCTGGCCCCATGGTTTTCATGGTTTTTGGTGATTTTTGGGATCAAAACCCTGTTTTTTTGGAGGATTCCATGTTTTTTTAAAGATATGATGCGGTAAAAATGGAAGATGGATCAAAACTTGCCCGTGGTTGGATTATAATATATATATATAGCAATATATAAACATATATATATATAGCAATATATAAACATATATATATATATAGCAATATAGCCATTGGATTCGCTTTTTTAAATGGTGTTGGATCAATGAATGATATCCCAAACCTGGGGAGTTTAGGAAACGAAGATTCCATCTCTTTTTGGAGATTCGATGCATGTTGATGTCGGTTTTGCTGGGGAAATGGTGTTGAAATACCCTCTGTTTGTTTGACCTAACTGTGGAAAATCACCATTCTGAAAAGGCAAAAATCATCATAAATCATCTATACATGGGCCATTTTCCATAGCTATGTTAGATAACTCTTAGATTACCGGAGGGTATGTTGGTCATCAACACTTTTTCCCATAAACCGAGGTGCCGCATTGGCAGCAATCCTGGTCTTCTCCTTGGCTGGGCAGATCAAACTATTACCTTCTGGTTATGACTAACAGTTTGCCATGGAAAGATCCACCATTTTTATAAAAGGTAAACCATCTATTTCTATGGGCCATCTATACCATGGCTATGTTAGTCATAACCAGAGGGTATCTATAGTGCTGCCTGGCGATGTCCAGCATCGCCAATCTGCCATAATCTGCCAATTCTGGAATCCCAGTTCTTGGTATCATCCATAGTCCTCTGGTCGTTCAAAAGCTCCAAATCCCATTCGAGATCTCCCATATGGGTGTGTCTGAAAATAGTGTACTCCTAAACCCAATGGTTAATGATCATTATCCCTATTAAATGGCTATAATTGGGAATATACCCTATTTTCAGACAAACCCATCTCTGTTCGACCTGTCCATTCATGACATGTTGACCCATGCCCCATGTCATCCCGCTGCCATCCCAGCTGCGCCGCTGCGGAACTTCTTCAGAGCTTTGATGGTGGCCAGGGTATCCAACTTTCCTGAAACTAAGGTCATTTCCGGTGTAAAACTGGTCAACTCCCCAACCAAATGGGGATGTGAATTAACATCTGGGTTTATCATGTCACTTTATTTATCATGTTAGTTTATGGTTTAGCTGAGCTTAGTTGAGTTTACTTAGGTTTAGTTGACATGTTGGCTGCCATCCCAACAAACACCCAGGCTTGGAAGACTACTTTCCAACCGCAAAGACAGGGCTACTCTCGGGGTACAGCACCGCATTTGGCCACTCCCTCGTTGAGGTTTGTGGAAATTGTGACAGGAGGCCACGGCAAGCTTTGGGTCACGGCGAAAGAAGATGCCCAGATTTTTTCAGCTTTCGAAGCCGGTGGGTTTTGACCCATGCGGCGGGAACTTTGGTATCGGTAAATTGGTTCATCCCAACGACGTGCTGTGAAGTAAAATAGTAAAATGAATGAGTGGTATGTTGACTGCTCTGTTGAAACAGTTGAAATTTCAACATCAGCACTGATTTCTTCCCATCAGCAACGTCAAAAACGGCGGCGAAATGTTTCGGTGCCAGCTACATCCTTAAGATGCCATCCCATCAAATCCAAGAGGCGAACGTGGTGCTTCTCCCACTTCTTGCGCAGATCCTGACCAGCCTGGAAATGATGGATGGATTTCTGAAGCTCCAGCTACAGCTATGAAATTACCAGATTGGGTGGCATCTGGAGGGAGAATGGGATTAAAAACTGAGCTACCTTTTGGAGGAGTTCCTTGTGATGTGCCTGTGAAGTCTTGCCTGCGAGAAACTCGACAAACATCAATTGGCTGACATTTCGGATGGTCTTGGCGGTATCAAAACCATTGTTTCTGGCATGGGACATGGCATGGCTGTGGTACCAAAATGTGCTATTCCTACTATTATGTGTATGACAGTCGCAAGAACGATCATCATCATCATCATCATCATCATCACCATCATCACCATCATCATCATCATCATCATCATTATCATCACCATCACAAAGAAGATACCACAAATTGGACAGGACTAGCGATTTCACAATGATAGCAACACCCAATTTGTATTTCAAACGGCCCTTCCGTATTTTTCAAAACGCCTTCACCATGGTTTTCATCACCGTGTCGTCCGCCACACTTTGGTTCTTGTTCATCTTCAGGAGCTTGGAGGTAGCCGCTTGGATAGCACTATCCACCTGTTTTTGGGCCAGGGCAATGTTGGCCGGTGTCCAAGGTGGTCCCCGCGTCCACCAAACGAAAGTGTTAAGCAACAATAACAATTCTGGATTAGACTATGATATAAAAATGACCACAGTAATAGTAATAATAATAATAAATAATAATAATAGTAAAGAATAAAGAATTATAAATAGTAATAACAAATAAACAATAATAAATAATAATAGGTAATAATAGGTAATAGGAAGTAATAAACATAATAATATTGCTAATGAAGCAACACAAATAACAACAATAACAACAATAGAAAAAATAGTAATAATGGCAAGAATGGCACATAATCCTAATCATAATAATTATATACTATAGTAACAGCATCAATAATACCAAGAATGGCAAATGTATAGTAATAATAGTAATAACTCCTGGCCTCCACTGACGCCTTCTGCTGTAGCGCTGCTAAATCGCTGCAGCCGTCCTTTGCGACACCGCGGAAGACGGCGCCAACCAACGCCAGCAACGTCAGGACTGCCGCGATGCTCGCCACCTTCCTTGGAGAAAGCGGGAAAGGTATGGCGAAACTACCGATTTGGGGGCACAAGTGGTTTTTTTTTACTGGGAACATGAAGTTAATTGCGGTTGTTTTTAGTCCATCCGGTTCTAATTGGGGGGATAGGGAACTATTAGGATCCAATACCTCAAGTTCACCCCGCTATTCCAGGTGAAATCACACGTCAATTCCACCTTTTCCAAATCTCTGTGCGGGTCACTGTTTTTCACAACTTCCAAGAGTTGGATGCCAACTTTGGTGTTTTTTCCTACTTGAAACTGCAGCACAACCTGAGAAATGTTGAAATCGGATCAGTGGGATGCCACCAAAGCAGCGCATCATCGAAGCCCATCAAAATCCCATCTCCATCTCCAACCTCTGCAGCCATGGCGCCATATCTTTGACCAACCCCTGCGGGCTTCCCTTTCCTCATCTTCGACGTCCACCCGCACAAAGGCGCCAGACATTGCAGCCGGCTGACGGCAGCACAAAAGAAACTGGGGTAGGAATGGTCCGGCTTTACCTTGAGGACTTGGAAAAGGCCACGGCATTTGAAGCTTCGGAAGGGGATCTATCGATGTTTCGGAAGGAATCTAAAAGGTGGAAGGGTGATTGTTTTTTGCCAAATGTTCGTGAATCTGCTCACTTTTTTGTGAGTCTCGTTGGTGCTTGCACACCCCTACAATGCCTACAGGACTGCTGGCTACCCAGATTTGCCACTGTACTCCATGAATTCCACTGCCTTTCATCAGTCTGCATACCCAAAACGGATCAGAGCAATGATCCCAGTCTCAAGATGAGTGGATGCCTCCGAAAAATTCACATGTCTGTTGACATATCCAGGAATAAAAAACCCCAGCAGATCCAATCTTTGAACCCACCAGCCTCATTGACCAGTGGCTGAGTCAGAGACCTCACGGAAAAAAGTCCAACTCGAGGAATCTGGTGCTCAAAATCTGCGGGAAAAAAAAAACAGCGACCCGTTCGAACGGTTGTGAAAATTTTGGGGGTAACATCATCTTTATTACCCTCTGGTAATTTAACATAGCTATGGAAATCACCATTTTCAATGGGTAAATCCACTATAAATGGCCATTTTCAATAGCTATGTTAGTTTACCAGAGGGTAGTGGCAATGGGGCCATCTATGGATCTATGGAGAAATTATCCTGCCACTTCTCAAGCGGGCACCACACTTGCCAGACTTGGTGATGGCTAATTGTAATTATTACTATGATTCTGATGGGATATGACGTCATTGTTATGATTCCATAATAATGTTAGAGTTACTATTGTTACTATTGTTACGATTGTATTACTAGTATTACTATCATTGCTATCATTACTTTTTTTATGCTATTTAACTACGATGTTCATAAAAAATAGCTGCTAATTCTATGTCTGGCTATCTGAGAATGATCAATTCTGCGGGATTACCCCAGGACCTCTCCTCAGAGCTGCGCCTTCCCTCAGAACTTGGCAACTCCTGGTGGGTCTCCTGCTGGGTCGATCGACCAGATACCAACCACCAAATCAAATTATGGCACTGATATGGTCGACCTAGACACCAAACAAAGGTGGCATCTTAATTTATGGTCTATACTATACCAAATCGGCTATAAATCAGCTATAAAAGATATGAGTCTGTCGCAAACTTGGACCCCGAAAAAACCAAACCACCTCCCAAAATGCCAAAAACTAGACCATTTTGCTACTGATTTGCAGTAGTCTGAGTTGCAGTGGTCCTTCTGTGGTTCGGTCTCCAGTGACTCCAGTGCCTGCGACAAAAATGATGACCAGATCAAGGTTGAGCCGATAAACTTCCTACCCTGGTTGATTGGTTCATGGAAGGATAACTACACCGAATAAAAAATGGGGATTGTGATAACCCACAGTAAACCTGTCAACCTGTCACTTTGCTGAAGATATCGGAGTTCCATTGTTTTCAATAGACATAGCCCTTGTTCAACTTCACCATATCCACCCAGTGAGATGTTTCCCAGCATCCCTCCAACCTAGATCCAAAATGGTGGGGTACCCCATGGAAAAGTTGGATAGGAAAGCTTCATAAAGCTTCAATTTTGGAGGATTCACCCAAAAAGATCACCTCAAACGCTTCGGGCTTCAACTGCGACGCAGCCTGGGTCAACATGGGAAAAACATGAAGACGCTTGATATTTTCATGGAAACGGGATATCAATGGAAGAATATCTTCCAGAATATCAATAGTTGGTGATTTTTGTTTTTGTTCTCCAAAGTGAAGCTTAGTCTGAACTGCCATGGATAGCATTCCAAACCTCTCGAAATGTCATGGGAACCTCTCAGTTCCATACCTGCAAGCCATGGCTCACAATACTGTGCCTGGCCGTGTATGGTCCCAAATGGTTTGAAGATTTGGGACCTAAAAGCCAGACTTCTTTGGCATTTTTGAACAATCTATCTATCTATCTATCGATCTATCTATCTATCGATCTAGCTGTCTCTCTATCTATCGGTCTATCTGTCTATCTCTATCTATCTATCTATCTATCTGTCTGTCTGTCTGTCTATCTATCTACCTGTCTGTCTGTCTATCTATCTATCTGTCTGTCTGTCTATCTATCTATCTATCGATCTATCTATCTATCTATTTATCTATCAATATGTATATATGGATCTATGTATCTATGTATCTATGCATCTATGGATCTATGGATCTATGTATCTATGTATCTATGCATCTATGGATCTATGGATCTATGGATCTATGTATCTATGTATCTGTGCATCTATGGATCTATGGATCTATGTGTCTATATATGTATCTATGTACAGTATCTACGTACGTACGTACGTTTGTCTGTCTGTCTGTCTGTCTGTCTGTTTGTCTGTCTGTCTGGCTGGCTGTCTGCATGCATGCATGCATGTGCATTATATATATAATTAGTATTATTATTATGATTATTACTATTATTATTATCATTGTTGTTGTTGTTGTTGTTGTTGTCATTGTTATTGTTATTATTATTATCATTATTATATATCATTATCATTATTATTATTATTGTTGTTGTTATTGTTGTTATTGTTATTATTGGTATTATTATTATCATTATCATTATTATTAGTAGTAGTATTATTATTATGTACATATACATTGACCCAGAATTTCAGGAAAATAACACAACAAATTGGAGCCGCTAGGCTGTCAGAACGAAGAGATGAAGCTATCCTGGTGCAGTTCCTTCAAACGCTACAACATACTATTTCACTATCTCTAACCTCAAAATGTGATTTTTCGGATTAGTGTTTTCCACAGATCAACATGGGTGTGGGTCATTTTGACCTTGTGCCACAATTTTCGCATCACAAGAACGAACGGAATGAACTGGGATGTTCACGATGCTTATCTAAGACCATCTAAGACCATGTTTGGGGCATTTGGTTTTCGAAAGAATTGACCAAAAAAAAAAGTCACGCCACGTCGCCACGTTTTGTGTTCCAATTCCCAGCGCCATTTGCTCAGTCCCCTGGCATCACACTCTCCAGATTTGTGGCGTTGGACTCCACATGTTTCTGCCAGGCCTCGTTTGTGGCGTTGTCGAACCCATCATTTCACGGAAAATAACCCATCAGACAGCTGGTTCATGGGGGTCCCCATCTGTTTTCCCATATGTTTTCCCATTCAGCAACCGTTTTCTGGAAATTGGAGGACCTAAGGTTCCAGCTCTCCAAACATTTGCGTCATCTTCTTTTCCTGGATCTGGTTGCGCCAACGATTGCACAGCGTTACATCCGTGGACCCGCAACGATTCTGTTCATCCATTTGGGTGAAACAACTTCGAGCCACAGATGGGCAACCAACAAAAAATGGACATCCACAAGCCAACTGGAAGTTTTAAGGGGAAAATCAACGAGAAATGTAGGTTTTCATAGGAAAATCAACGAGAAATTTTGGGGAAAGAGCGTTTTCACCAGCTTCGAACTCAGGATCCCAGTCCTCTGAAACCCAGGTAGCCTCCCGGTCACCGATGAAAACCAACATCACTTTCCGCATGAAATGGGGTATCAAAACTGGTGTGATATGGAATGGAATGGAATGGAATGGAGAATCAAGAGACTTCATTGTCATGATATTTCACCATTTTTTTGCAGCACAGTCTTCAGGAGCCCCAAAACCATCCGTTACCTGCCTCCAATGGGTCTCGCTCCAGACGTCAACCTGGATGACCCAGCTAGTTGGAGAGTAACCAACTGCTAGCGTAACCTATCTGTAACCTGTCTGTAACCTTCATCACCTTACCAACTTCCGTAAGCCATAGGCCTTATGATGGCCTCATAGCCACACTTTAATGGTGATGAATTTCGGTGAGTTCCAAGTTCCAAGTTCCATGGATACCACTCCCATCACTGGGACACCCTGCCAGACCAGTGAAGCAAAGTTCCGTCTCAGCAGTGCCTCAAAAATGGCGCCAAAACTCGGGTCTTTCGTGGGATGGAAAACAGGGGATATCCTCGAACGTTAAATTGCCAGCTGTTTTTGTTGGCAAAGCGTTCACTGGCCTAACCCAGCGAACTTTGGCTGAAATGAACTGATTTTTTTTGTGAAAACGACTGAACTTCGATGGAAATCCATACTCAGCCATCCAGTTTTCGAGGCCCTGATGGCATTGTCCCCTTAATCCGTAGATCAATGGAGAGCCCAAGTGCGGCACGCACTAAGCGCCCGGCCACCCGCATGTCCGGCTGGTGATACAAGGGATGCAACATTAAGACCTTGCTGGGTGCAGCCACTGGGCTGTTGCTTATTGTGGGGTACCATTTTAGCAGCCAATGACATCACATTGACATCACTATTTTGCTGGAACATTCCAGTTTTCAACCAGGGTTTATGTGGGGTTGACATTGCTAGACATACAAAAAAACAGCCATTTTGGTGGATCAACATAATCTACAGTTGGGTTGGTTTTGAAAATATGGTAAGAAAGTCTAAAGTAGTTCTCCAAAAATCTATGACACCTATCAGCTGTTCCCATTCTTTGTTCGCCATAAACCAATATAAATCCTATGGTCCGCTGAGAACCCCCACGGAGAGTGGAAAAAGACATCGGCAAAATGATCTGGGCAGGATCCGCTCACACCTCAAGCGACTGATGGCCAACTCAAGCCATCAGATGATCATCATCCATGGCCATCCATGGCCATCCATGGCCAACATGGATCAGGAGTGGCCACTTCTTCCTTCGTTCCCAAAAAAAAATCGTGCCAAAACCAAGGTGCTGAAGTTCTGTGGTATCACCCTTGATATCACACAGGGTTCGCTTCGCGGTTCGCTGAGCTTCCAAACCATTCTCTCAGGTATTCGATGGCCGACTTTCCTGGCGTCTGGTATTCGATGCTTCTTTCTGCAATCTTTCAGGTGATGGAAAAGTAAAAATATGTAAAAATCCTATTAAAATGTGCTACACATTGCTAAACATTCCTGTTCTATCTGTTCTATCCTTTTTAAAGGATACCCTCTGGTAAACATACAAAAAGCTATTGAAAATGGCCCATAGAAATAGTGGATTTACCCATTGAAAATGGTGATTTTCCATGGTTTTTTGTATGTTTACCAGGCCGGGTATCTATCCAGGACTCGCCCCGTCTCCGTGAAAAAATCGGTGTCGGACGTCTGGCAGGATCTCGGCTCAACATCGAGTTGATCAAATCCTGCCGTTGCGGCAACCACACCATGTTTGATGGTCTATACCATACCCCATAAAAATGGTGATGACTGGGGGATGGGATGGTTTATTAATGGCATTGTTTTAACCACGTGAGTCGATCAGCCATGATTAGCCATGATTAGCCCACATGTTTCATCATGTTTCATCATGTTTCATCATGTTTCTGGATGAAGCACATGAATTCACGGCTCGCAAAAATGTCACCAAGGGGAAGCTTTCAGACTTTCCGGCGGGACGTTGGCAAGTTCCGTCAAGACCCGCCGGAGTGCCCTTTTTCCCAGCCACTCTCCTGCATGTCACTGTCCAAACCAGACAATTTCTCCTGGGCTCAGTGTCACCCCGTTCCAACTTCAAATGACTTCAAGTTGGGGCTTCACCATTATTTCATGAAAAAAATCACTGTAGTACATATGTCACATCATTTTTCCCATGAGTTCTGTGAAAAATTGCCCAAAACTCCACCGCTGCCAACGGTCGAGGCGCTCGTAAGTCGAAAGCGCCTTGCCGATAAGCCCTCAGTTGGGGCCTGGGCGGATTGCTGTTGATGGGGGAATCATGCAGAAATCCCATGGTCAAAACAGGCACCGTGGTGTTACCTGGGACCCAAAACATCCCAAATTTCCCATGTAAAAACAACAAACAGTTACCCAAAATGGGATAGGTAAAAAAACAACATCATTTACCCTTAAAACATGGGGTTTTCTGGTTTTTACCTATCCCAAAACATCCCAAAATTCAAAAAAAGGTGTCAAATCAGAAAATGAACCCTAAACCCAAATGGATCCATTAAGTTGAATTTGGGGGTGGCAGCTAGCTGAGTTCGTTTTCCACCGCGCTGTGGTTTTGATCCAGAGATGTCTTTGATCTGGCTACTGGCTATGGATCAAAACCTGAAAAAAAAAGCCGGTAGTTCACACCAAAATAGATGGTAGTTATGGATGTTCATGTCCTCAGTCACATTGCAAGTTAGAGGTTTTGACATAACGCCATCTATGTACAAAGCCACTCTCGTGTCAGTGACGAATGTAGACGTAGGGCAGATAACCCTCCTGGCAACTGCCAGGTTCTGGAACCGTGACATTCACAGCGACAAATGTACCAAACTAAGCTGTGTTACAAGTGTGGAAACTTCAATAGGGATACCCTAAATCAAAGAAATGAAATATAGATGGATTTTCCATTTATGATAACGATCATCCATTTTTTTCGATGGATTTTCCATGAAACCATCCAGTGAGGCTGCCTCTCGCCAGTCCACCTCAACCAGCACTTCACCACGCCTGCACAGCAACCAGCACTTGAATCAAGGGATCCCCAAGGGATCCCAATATCCAGAAATGGCTTTACGGTTTACCAGGTAATACCACATTTTTACAAATTCACCACCATTTTTGGTCGAAAAAAATTGAAAAGTCCTGCAGTCCTGCTAGTTGGTCAGGAATAAAAATGGACGTTGGGAGGTTGGAGTCGGTTCAGTGGTGCTCAACCATCCTATTGAAAGCCATATTGAAAGCCATATTGATGTGTGATTACGCTACAACTATGCGCATATATATATATATATATCATATATGACTATCCCAGTTGAAGTGTCATAGTTCGTATAGCTATCACTAGAACATGTTCCAACTGGTCCAAGTACAGTAATTATATACCCTCCGGTAATTTAAGGTAGCTATGGGAAATGGCCCATTTATGTCAATGATTATTCAAAAGGGTGATCAATCAAAGCCACAACTTTCTTTACCAGAGGGTAAAAACTGATTCAGCCCATTATCACTCATATATAACTATAGCTCAATTGTCATAGAGTTATCACTTAAATACGTTCCAACTATATAGAGTAGTTCATAGTAGTTGAATGTGTCTGAAAATAGGCCAACTACCCGGACCCAAATGGTCGAGTCTTTTCTATGGTCATTTGAGTGGGAAAATGGTGATTAAATATGGTGCTTCACCATGATTAACCGTCAATTTTTTTTGGGTACCCTCCAGACAAACCACCATCCTTTCGACACTGAAAAGCCTCATCGTCAAGCTTGCCAGGCTACTCACCTGGCACCACTTCGAAAAAACCTGTGACGGCCTTGACAACTTGATTTTCAGGATATGATTCTGCTGTTTATATGTGAAAATTGGCCGAATGATCCCGCAAAAAGCACGGTGATTCCAGGGGTTTCTTTTTTGGGGAGATCATACGTGATTCCAGACCCGGAACGGGATCATTTGCCGAGACTGGAATGCTCAAAACACCACTGTCATTCCATGCAATGCTTGGCGAAGAACGTGATTCCACAATGGATTGGAACAATCCCTTGTTGAGCCACCATCAGTGGTACCCTAATACCCTTCAGTGTGACATGGCTGGGAGATCCCAAATGAAAAAGAGGCGTCCAGGTTGCACCAGAAAGAGTTTCCCAGAGAAAGAGATGTCAAACAACGGCTTTGGGAACTGTGTCGCCACATACTGCGTTCGTATAAAAGCATTGGACAGCAACCGGCAGAGGTGGTTTTCATGTGGTGTGTAGTATATACAGCCAGATGAACCAGTAAGTTTGCGGCCATTTCCAGAACCATCCCCAATTTCGCCGGCAGTTTTTTCCATCCAAAATTTACCATGGAGTTCACCTAAGCGGCTTCAAAACAGCACCTCCAGTTCAGCCAGCGTCACCAGCCGAGCACCTGCACCAGCGTAACCATGAAATGATAGGTATTCCATGATGTTGCCCAAAAAAAGGTGGGAAACCCCCAGGTTTTGATCTTGCCTAGTGGTCAACAAGACAAGAACAAGATGGTCAAAGGGTTTCAGTCCGGTTAAACATCTTTCAACATCCATCACCTGTGGTTAGTTAGTTTTTAGCAAAACCAACCAGACCGTCCTGGATTGATGCTGGATGTAGTTACCACTCATTTATGGCAAATTTGCAGATGGTGGATCCATCCATGACATCAGCTCCCTTTGCTGCAGACCCACGTGCCTTTGGCTGCTCTCTCGGCAAAGGCCTCAACGGAAACAGAAACTGCCATTACCACTGTGCTGGAAAATGTGGGAATGGTTGGAACCCCATAAAAAATGGTGATGACTTTGGGGGATGGTTTACTAAGTTTACTATTTAAGCTTTCCCACAATACATCATATGAGAATCATATGTATTCATATGTCATGTTTCTGGCGATTCATAGCTTCCTTTGCGCAGGATTCGACTCGACTCCAAAAGTGTCCACTTCGCCACCTGCCTTGGTGATAAGGTTGGAGGTTTCAGACGCGAAGCACAGGTTGTTCCAAAACACCTGCACTGGGGAAAATCAGCCCATTATCACTGGGCTTGTCAATGTCCTTCAGTAATTACTTTATATGTATATTTGAGATGTGTATACATATATATATATAATTTATATATATATATAATTTATATATATAATTAATTTATGTATATATACATAGAATTATATAGATCATACAGCAGATAATATGGGCCACAAATGGAAACTGACCCCAACTGCCAGCGCTGCACCAGGTGAGTCCCATCAAAGAGCTCCAGGTGTTCTCGCGCATCGCCCATGCGGAGGGTCTCAGCGTGTGTCGACTCATATATACCATGATATACCCCCAAAATATGGCCAAAAATGTGGTACAGTACAGTACCTCCGTGGTATTCGGATCCTGGAGATCTCCCATTGATCTACGATTGGCTGATCGGATGTCCAATCGGATGTCCAATCGGATTTCCATGGTGTTTTGGAGAGTATCACCCCATCAAATCAAGTTTTGCCACTGATGGGATCAATTGAATCAAGTCAACATCTGGAAGATTCGGCAGCCGGCCACATGCTGCGCATGCTGCGCATGCTGTGCAGCGACCTCCTGCGCCTGAAGATTTCCACAGATCACTTGTGTGACATCGGGCTTTTCCTTCATCCAAATCCTCAGAAAACTATCAAGACTCAAGTGAAAATTGACATGTGTCAAATTCTTAAATCCAAAATTGCCATTCTCCGAATTTTGGCTCCGCCGAAGAAAAAATCTCACCCTGGCGTCGCCTTTTGTAGGGCTGCTAGGTGACGCTCTTCGACCACCTGGGGTGACACTCTTCCCTGGCAAGTCCCCTATTTCTATTGGCGAAAGGATCTGATCTGATCCCCACGGCACCTCAATTCCCCGGCTTTCGTTGAAACCACCCTGGCAGCACATCACACGGCAAAAGCAGCACGGCCTGGGAGTTTTCAGTCGCCATCCCACCTGGTTCAGGGCCCACAGAACGAAATTTCCATGTCCAGAACCTGAGGATCCAAGGCTTATGCGAAACCTCTGCATCTTCCCAGGAAAGATGCACAAAGCAGTCTGCCAGATATTCAATCCATGAATGCTTCCGAAGACATGCGAAACGGAAATGATAGCTACCCTCTGGGAATTCAACATAACATAACTATCTATGGAAAATCACACTAAAAAAATGTTACAGGTGAATCATCGATTTTTTCAATGGGCCATGGCTTCCTTCTTATGCCAAAAATCCAGGTGGACAGCCGCATCCAACACGGGGCCCTGGCCAATGTCCAGAAAAACGCCGCCTTTCGACCATCCCAGGCTCGCCGGTCAGTCAGACTGGATTCACCCTGAAGTCATTTTGGGGGATGTCCCCTACCAAAAAATTGGGCTATCCTCTGGCTATCCTCTGGCTATCCTCTGAAGCTATATATATATACATATATATATATATATTATATATAATTATAATTTATATTTCCTGCCCATGTCACTTATTGTACTTGTTGGCTGTAGGTTGACTTTCAGGACTGAAAACAGTTGTCCCGGAGTTGTCCGTATCCAACTCAATGGCCAGCCGGCCTGGAGCTAGTCTGGAAACCGTATGCATCCCCCGCCTCAGATCATCGATGGACAATCCGCAACCAAAACCAGCCATAGGGCTTTTGGCCAATGCTCCCTCGGAAACTATGGGAAACTACGGGAAACTATGGGAAACTTCGAAATTCCCAAGCTCAGACGTTAGCACCTGACTCCAACAGTCTGAAGAAATGATTCCAGAAAGGGAATCTGCCACCCCATCCTTGCTGGCCAGTTTGACCGATGGATTTGGATAGATTTCTGGTCCCCAAATTTCTTGGATCTCGAATCCAATGTTTGGATCTTTGCATCCGAAGCCCAAAATTCTTTGGGCATTTTAAATCCATCAAAAATATAAAAACCTTGGGGAAATCCATGGGAAATCGCAACATCCGGGCGAAAAAACCGGGTGCCACCCCTCCCTTCGTTTTGTTGAGCTCCGGTGAACGCTGTGATCTCGCCATAGGTCCGCAAGGGGTCGCAGTGATCTACACCTGTGATTAGATGGAAAATGGGAAGGGGACAAAAACGGATTCAAACTTTTTGGACCAAGATTCAGCATGGTTTGCAGTTAATTACACCATCCCTTTTTTGGGGGATGATCAGTCATTTGACCCGTACCCAAATGGTTCTCTCAGCAACAAACATCAGGAAATCAAAATCCAAAGATCTCAGGATTTTTGGTACATGTCAATTGGCATTCGTTGGGATAAAAACATCACATTTCCAGCAGCTAAGTCACAGACTTCCATTTTCCACCCGAAGGGCTGGCAGTTGCCGGTAGGTCCAAATGATGGCCTTCACGGAGTTTGGAGATGACCCCCGTTGAGCTCTCCAAGATCTATTGGTTATATACATATTGGTTGGTGGTTGACCTACCATTGTGGTTAATATATGGTTATTATATTGTTAATGATGGTTAATAATAATCTGGTTGGTGGTTTCAACCAACCCCTCTGAAAAATGATGGAGTGAAAGTCAGTTGGGATGATGACATTCCCAACTGAATGGCAAGTCATAAATTTCCATGGTTCCAAACCACCAACCAGTATATTTCCGCTTTTACAAATTTATATGTTGTTCCTGCTGTTTTGCCAGCGATTTCCTCTTGGTGCCCAACTTCTATCAACTTCGCCACCCGCCCAGAGAGCCCCCACCAGCAATGGCACGGCCAAGCTCATGGTTCGCAGGTTGGGTCCAGGCCAAGCTTCTTGGAGATCCTTTAGGAAGATCCTGCAGGGTCGCTACAGAAAATGTCCCAGTTTTATTGCAGGAAAGCAATGAGTTTTCGGTCATGTTCCAGGATTTTTGTGTAACATACCTATGAGTTTTGACCATCTCTAATTTGGCTGGTGCATTTAAATTGTCCTCCAAGCCAACTCTGGCAATGAGAAATTCAAGAAACCCATCAGCGACCAGTGACCACTACAAGCATTTTCGTGCCAGATTTGATTTCCTACGACGTTTCTGGTCCTAGTGCAACTTTTGGGCCACACCCAAACAGAGAACATCCAATCTTGGGGGGTACATCCCTACTTTAGTTGGTGAAATCATGTTGAATCCTCATTTTTGTTTGCTGGCTAGCCATGATTCACCAGCCCATTGCGGATGTTTCTTTTGGGCAAAACATCTTTCTCTGCAACAACACTTCGAGGTTTCTGCCTCGCTTCCTCCCAGCATCCCCTCTGGGAGCCATTTGTATCACCTCCAGCCGAGCGTCATGGATCATGCATCGGTGATGGGGGAAAAATCCCAAACCACATCATCAGGGAAACAAATGAAGAATGTTGAAACCGCCAAGCCAGAATGACGACGATGATGACGACGATGATGACGATGACGATGACGATGACGATGACGATGACGATGACGATGACGATGATGATGATGATGATGATGACGATGAGGATGAGGAGGATGAGGAGGATGAGGATGATGAGGAGGAGGATGACGATGATGATGAATCCTTGATGTTCCTTGATGTTCCTTGATGTTCCTTGATGTCTTTCCCTGCAAGCCATGCAAATCGACCACATGCTAAGACTCCCCACTGGCTTTCTGCCGCACAGGATGCTTTGCCATGGCACTCAGGGCATCCGAAAATCAATGACCAGCTTGGGGGATCCTGCTGAAGTGAACAGCTGCCATTGACGACTTGTGATATTCACCCAGTCTTCGCCTATGATATGCTTGTGATATGCTTGTGACTCGCTTGTGACTCTGCAAGAAGAAAGACTTCACAGGAAATCGAGTGTTTTTCACCTGCAGCTTTCGCACCCCATGATCTCAAGGGGAAACTAAGGAACAGCACGATGTCAAATTGGCTCACCATCGAAAAATTTCGCCAGAGATTCCACTGACAAATTTCCGCTGGACCTTGGAGACGGCCGTCCGGCCCTCCTGAGGCAGCTGCAAATCCAGAAGCGTTTGGCCATCTTGGAAGAGCTCCGACAAGACCTCGATGGGATCCAGGGGATCCAGGATCTATCACCTATGGATCTATCACGTATAATTTGATCATCAGATCTGTGTTCCCATTCTTTCCAATCTCCAACATCTGTGTATATGAAAGGGATTTTTTTAAAGAAAAAAATTGCCGCCTTGTCTTTGTTGGGCAGTAACTTTCTTTCGGACTGTCTTTCCTGGAAAGTCCCAAGTCGTTTTAAGTCCCAAAAACTGCGGTGACTGACCCAACAACCTGCTTCAGACGAATCTGTTGGATGTTCTGGGATGTCGAATCATTTGTATTTTGTCAACATTCCGTGTTCACCGATGTTTTTTGATGGGTGTTTGATATAAGAAAGATGAAAGGTATCAATGATATCATTCTGGTTTCGTCTTGAACATCCAACTGCTGAACAACGATCTAAGGCATCTAAGGCTCCACACACAGCCCAGAGAAAAGATATCCATGGCTGCCTCCCGAAGCGCGAGATCGACACCCTTACACCCTTTACTGTGCCAAAAGGAAGCCACCAGGGTGATGCAAATGTTGGATAAAATGCTGTGTAAACATCGAAAAAGATGTTGTTTCATCACCCAATCACCGAGGTGATGAAATGAGCCAAGCAACCACCGAAACCCCGAAACCACCCCCACCAGTTCGCGAGAGAAGCGGCCACGCGAAGGACCGGCACCCCCTGGGCAAGCTGGCTTAATCCAGCAACCGGGAAGCAACCAAGAATCCAGGCCAATTTGCTTTCAAAGATCAAGAGGATCTTGGTTTCTTGTTGGTTGTACTACTGAAATAATTAATAGTACTAAGTGTTTCATGATCACTAGTGGTGTTTGTCTTTTTTGAATGCGAATTGCTTGGGACCTGGTGCCAAATGCTTGACGCAAAATGCGCAGGTGTTGAGCTCCAGCAACCATCAAATGGTATGATGTGGTTATGACTAACATAGCCATGGTATAGATCCACCATGCTATTAATAGGTAAACCATCTATAAATGGGCCATCTATTTTCCATGGCTATGTTAAATAACCAGAGGGTATCTGTTTTAGCTCCAGAAACTTCTTCATCGCTTGGTTTTCCCCATTTCTGTTGCAGTACATGTCTTCTTTTTGTCGGAAATCCATGGAAATCCATTATTATCATGTGGTCCCCATTTATATACCCTCTGGTTATTTTACATAGCCATGGAAAATGGCCCATAGAAATAGATGGTTTACCTATTAATAGCATGGTGATTTTCCATGGCTATGTTAAAAAAACAGATGGTAAGAGGGAATATTGAATCCCGTGGCTCCCTCCTAACCACCGAATTTCTTCAGACCCGCCTGAACCCTCGAAGCGTTCCGGAGCCAAGTAGCACCGGTGACCTTTGGACCGAGCCAGTTGTTTCAACTGGCTGCAGCAACTCCCTTCAGTGTGTCTCTTCAGCTTTGCCCAAAATCTGCGCCAGTTTTGGATGTTTTGGTTTTACTGTAGTTATACTTCAAATAGTTCCCATATGTTCCCATGTTCTCCATGGCCAGGCTCCCAGGGTCCATCAGGGTCCCAACATGTCCCAACACAACGTCCGGTCGGGTCCGGTCGGGGTCCCGGCGATTGCGATCTGACTCGAAAAAGAAGGAAAACCTCGTCCAAAGCAGCGGCCGGTCCAACCCACTTAAGGATCATCCGAGGAACTGCAACCAGCAGTTCTCCACAGGGATAACCCACTTCGGGACCGAAGATTCCTCAGCTGATCCTGAAAAATCCAACAACTTCAAGGGGAAAAAGATCGTGTGGGACGACTGTCAGGCAGTTTGATTGAAAATCTTAGAATACGACTTGTACGTTTCTGACCTTTAAATTCCCAGGGCATATTGAGATGGAGCAAGCCCTAAATCAAATAAAATCCCACTGCAGATCTCAAACATTTCTTGAGATTTTCAACAAAAAATGTCCGAGATAAGTGGGACATCCAAAAAAAAATGATATCAAAGCTTTTCGCTGTGGCTTCACAGAATGATCCAGTGGATCTAGGTTTCCACACTCTGTGGGATCGTCCTGGCTGTTTTTGTTGGCATCTAATGTTGGTTTATCTTCACAAAAAAAAAAATGTAATGATAGTATGGACGAAAGAAAACACCAACATTTTTTGGGGGTCATGATGAAAAAAACCCTTGCCACTCAGTTTTGGACATACTTTGACGTGTGGGTCTTCAAGCGATTCAGAATAGTTCTTGAAACTATCCTTCCCAAGATGGACTGATCTTAGTAATCTTAGCAGCCGATGGATAGAAAAACATATATATATATACCGGGGCTATAATAAGCACTATTTTGCGAATTCTAGTTAATATGTAATGAATCATGTCCTATCATATCATGACTGGTTGGTGGTATACCTACCCCTCTGAAAAATGATGGAGTTCGTCAGTTGGGATGATGACATTCACAACATATGGAAAGTCATAAAATTCCATGGTTCCAAACCACCAACCAGTATGGGATGCGGAAATATTATGGGAATGTTATGGGATATCAATAGTATGGGATATCAATATGATGATATCTACCTATCATATCCCCATGATATCCCCATGACTCAGAACTTGGCTGGTTCAACCCACGTTGGCTGGTCCCCATGTCGTCCCAAAGTCCTGCGGCAGCATCAGCGGTTTGAAGGTGCCGAAGTCCGTCAAGATCACGTGCGACCAGGACCTCCAGACGCGACCCCTTCGGCTGGGAAGAGAAAGGGGGAAGAAAATCTGCAGGATTGACATTTTTCCTTTTTTCAGATAGTTAGATAGTTAGTTAGTTAGTTAATTAGATAGATAGATAGATAGGCAGATTGATTGATTGATTCATTGGTTCAATTATTGATTGATATTGATTGAGATTGATTGATTGAATGACTGATTGGTTGGTTGATTGATTGATTGATTGAAAGATTCGTGGATCCGTAGGTAGGTAGATAAATAGATAGATCGATAGATTGATTGATTGATTGAATGAATGGATTGATTGAATGATTGATGGGTTGAGTGATTGATGGGTTGAGTGATTGAACGTTTGATTGATTCATGGACAGGTAGGTAGATACATGGACAGATTGATTGATTCAATGATTGATTAATTGGTTGTTTGATTGAATGATTGATTGATCAAGGGATAAAGAGATAGGTAGATGGATAGAGAGCGTGATAGATAGGTGGATAGATTGATTGATTGGTTGATTGGTTGAATGATCGACCGATTCATGGATAGATAGATAGAATGGAATAGAATAGAATAGAATAGAATAGAATTAGAATAGAATTAGAATAGAATTAGAATAGAATTAGAATAGAATTAGAATAGAATAGAACAGAACAGAATAGAATAGAATTAGAATAGAATTAGAATAGAATTAGAATAGAATTAGAACAGAATTAGAATAGAATTAGAATAGAATTAGAATAGAATTAGAATAGAATTAGAATAGAATTAGAATAGAATTAGAATAGAATTAGAACAGAACAGAATTAGAATAGAATTAGAATAGAATTAGAATAGAAGTAGAATAGAATTAGAATAGAATTAGAATAGAATTAGAATAGAATTAGAATAGAATTAGAATAGAATTAGAATAGAATTAGAATAGAATTAGAATAGAATTAGAATAGAATTAGAATAGAATTAGAATAGAATTAGAATAGAATTAGAATAGAAGTAGAATAGAATTAGAATAGAATTAGAATAGAATTAGAATAGAATTAGAATAGAATTAGAATAGAATTAGAATAGAATTAGAATAGAATTAGAATAGAATTAGAATAGAATTAGAATAGAATTAGAATAGAATTAGAATAGAATTAGAATAGAATTAGAATGGAATGGAATGGAATAGAATGGAATAGAACAGAACAGAACAGAACAGAATAGAATACAATAGATATCTAGCTAGCTAGATAGCTAGCTAGCTAGATAGCTAGCTAGCTAGCTAGATAGCTAGATAGCTAGGTAGGTAGGTAGATAGGTAGATAGGTAGGTAGATAGCTTGAGATATAGGTAGATGCTGTAGATAGATTGGTTGATTGATTGAATGCTGGAGTAATTCATGGATAGATAGGTCGATAGATAGGTAGATTCAGGTAGATATAATGTCTTTTTCCATGATGTGTTCCAAGTCTCCAAGATTAAGGCTCATCTTTCAAGGATTGACGCTTGCAGGGTTCCATGCGTCTGGTTATGTTTGATTCACTGGATACCAAAATGGGTGGTGTCTGAAAAAAAATGGAGGATCCCCAAGTCACCCTCTGGTAATTTAACATAGCTATTGAACATGGCCATTTATAGGTGATTTTCCTATTAAAAATTGTGATTTTCCATGGTCATCCATGACTTGGGAAACCTTCAGATGTGCGGTGGATTGCCAAGTCACGAGATAAAGAAGTTCTCGGTCTTCAAGTCACCATGCGCCACCTGGTCCACGTGATGTTGCCATTTCTTCACCAGCTGGGGAAGCGTCAACCCTGGAGGAATCGATTGAATATGTGTATGTATATATATATATACATAATTATATATATATATAATTATATATAATTATATATAATTATATATAATACACAAACATGATCATGAAAGATGGATATCCATAATTATCCATCATTATTATCCATCATAATTATCCATCATATGAATGATGGTGGATATCAAAGCATTACTATCCATCACTACTATGACTGGATCTCCATCACCTCTGGTTTCATTCCACTGGATCCACAGCTAGAGGCCAACAACTGGGCTCAGAAAAGGTGATTCAGAACGATGCACCAGCTGCATTAAACTTTACCAAAGATATCCGAAATGTCAAAAAAAAATGGTCTCAAAACTTATCACCCAGATGTTTGTTCAAAGCAAACATCCGTGTCCCTCAAAAAATGTTCCGAAATCAGCGGTGATTCCCGGGGCTTGTTGGAAGCTCCACCTCTCCTGCCCTTTTCGGAACCCAAAAAATGGCTGCCAGGCTACGCCCGCAGAGTGGGCTTGGCACACGGCTGCCAGGGCCTGATAGCATGGTGATCCAATAGCATGATGGACTTACCCATTAATGGATAAATATGGGTAAATCCACTATTTCGACTGGGCCATTTTCAATAGGAAAATCCACTATGGAATCAGGGCCCAATGTTTTTTCCTGGTTGGTGGTATACCTACCCCTCTGAAAAATATTAATCAGTTGGGATGATGACATTCCCAACTGGATGGAAAGATATACCAAATGTTCCAAAGATGGGAAACTCATCAACAAAACCTGGGAATTTTTCAGATGCAAACAGCCTTCAAAAAACCAGGCCGTTTTATCGCCGTTTTTATTTGGAAAAAACATGGCTGACGTGGCTCCCAACTGGTTTCCCCAGAGGTTACCCTGTTTTTTTTTCGCCAAAACACCCTGTTTTCTATACAGAATTTCCTGGAAAATTCACCCAATTCGTGAATAGATCCAATACCATTCCACGAGGATATCGCTGGGTATTTCTATAAAATGAAATGAATCTAATGGTTCATGATCTAATACTAAATAATCAAATCCCTTACATGTGGGATTCATGGATTATAATTAACGAATTAATGCCAATCATGTTATCTTGACTATTATTACTAAAACCCAATTGATGGATTAAATTATATTATCAAGGAATTATATTATAATATTTAACTAGTATCTCGAGACGAAACCATAAGTCCCCCAGGACTGGGCATCGAATCTTCCAAGCCTGAAAGGAGAGCCATTTCTTCTCCACAGCCGACAAGAAGGGCCGGGTGTGGATGCGATCGTTGAGATTTCGCCTGGGAAAAAGAAAAAACAGCGAGACGGGATGGTGATTTTATGGTGATTCTATGGCTAATGTTCATAATTTCTGCTCAAAAAAAAAGAATTGTGGCTGTTTCATCTATATGGATCTGATACTTGGATATACTTGGATAATCTGCACCTTTTTGATGTATGGGTCTCGTTGAAGAAAATGATGGGCGAAGATGATCTATAGCATCACTATTGATCCGAAGCAATGGGGTAAGTCGTGGTATACTTCAGATATCACTATTGGTTGAGTGGTTTCGTATCTGATGGTATTTGGATACCCTCTGGTAATTTGCTACATTTAACGTAGCTATGGAAAGATCCACCATTTTTCATGGGAAAATCCACTATTTCTATGGTCATGTTCAATAGCTACGTTAAATTACCAGAGGGTATCTTATCTGAATCAAGATGTGGTTGATATCACTAGTGCTATGGAGCTTTCCTGAAGTGGTGGTACCCCCAGTTCTCATCCAATTTCGACGAAGGGATTTTCCAAGAAACATTGGGGGCGAGCTTGGGGTACCCCCAATAAAAACATGTGGTTGATATCATAATTAAATACCATTGATGGTTTTCACTATTGATACTAATTGATATTACAAAAAACATCAAGTAGCTTTTTGAAGTTGATATCATCAATAGATATCTAAGTACCAATCATTGATATCTAATACCATTGATCTCCTATAGCCACCATACATTGATATCTATACCATGGATCTCCTATAGCATCACTAAGTGGCCAGGCTTCCGAGCACGAAATGCTGCCGCAGCAGCACGGAAGACTGGCCGGAAATCTCCATCGCCTGGGAGGTCGTGATGTCATGGGCTATCCCTGTTCCGGCCAGTAAGTCCCTATGAAATCTCTATGGGTGATCTATTCATGGTGCTAAATTTATAGGGACTGAAGATAGAGATTTCGAATTGGGATTTTTTGAAAAAATGGGATTCGAATGGAAGTGAGTTCTTGGGATTCGATGGTTCTGAATCTCTGAATCTGGATTTAACATGATTTAACCACAAATGGGGATATGAATGGAATTTTAACCTCTGTCCCATTCGAATATACCCACCAACAATGAGCTTGAGCGCGTGATCTATGAAAACAGCTTTGTGGTCAAAAGGAATGGGGGAATCAGTGTGTGACTCCACAGTCATGACTGGTGACTGGTTCAGTTGACACCTCGGCCTAGGTGACTTGAGAGCAGGCGGAGGCGGACGAAAGGTAGTGTAGTGGGAGAGGAGTGGTGTCAAAATGCTGCGCCCCTAAGATGATACACCAAAAACGTTTTTGCGCAGTCTAAGATGATTTTATCCAGAGCATGACTGCATGATACGGTGTCTTGTGCAGCGTGAAATGATGCACGAAAAGGGGTTTATTTAAAACCCCTTTTTAAGACCCCTTGCAGCAACTGTTATTGAGGCTGAAGCATACCAATTATGCTGGACTACAGGGACATCTCCCTCATGGAAAGTGTGCCTCTAATGTGGGGGCCCGTCACCCGTGGGAATTGAACCCATGACCATTTTAGGGGGGGGGGCCTAATTGATATCCAATACATAACGGCGAGAATTCCACGTTTGACCCGGGCTGGCCCCCCAATACCCCCTATGATTGTGCTGAAGCACGGAGAACTCAGGTAGCTGACGCTACCTTTCGTGATTTGTTTGCATGTTCACAAAAGATTTCTCGATTCAGCAACCAAATGGTCGGGGTTTAATTAAAAAAAACATCAAATAATCATCAAATAATCATCATCATAAGGTTTATTAAAAGCTCAACCATTAAATAAGATCCATTTCATGTGCTGAAACGGCACCGCCTGGTACGGCAGAACGTTGGGATGGCGCCAGCTGGAGCGCAAGGCATCGCGCACCTGCCGCGACGGGTGGTGGACGTTTTTGGACGGTTTTTGCTTAGAAAACCCATGGGAAAATTCGACAGATGATGCTGGTTGGTGGTTGAGCAACCCCTCTGAAAGAGGTTTGTGATTGGTATTTATCAGCATATGCTATGATTATGGTACTTCTCAGCATATGATTATGGTACTTATCCAATTTATGGCTGGTTAATAATGGTTAATACATGGTTATTATATGCTTAATGATGGTTAATAATTACTGATTGATATTTCTTATCCAATAGCATAATAGTATAAGTACCATGTGTATATATATATATGGAGGTTTCCTAAAATGGGGGTACCCCTAAATCATCAATGTTATTGCTGGTTGGTGGTATACCTACCCCTCTGAAAAATGATGGGCTTCGTCAGTTGGGATGATGACATTCCCAATATATGCAAAAATAAAAAATGTTCCAAACCGGCATATCGGATGTTGAAATATTATGGGAATGTTATTGATGTTGTCAAACCACTTCGGCTGCTTAAAAACATCAACGAACACAGAAAACATCAACGTGGGATCGTCCCAACTTTCAGAATGGACAGCAAAAAAAACATCAAAAACAGCACCGCACCAATGGATCCTTACGGGGAAATGGTTGACCATCCCAAGACATCCCGAGACATGTCACAGACGGATCCGTCATAGACTCACCTGATGGATCCGTCGCTGCAACTCCTTGAGATCGGGTTGACCATCCCTGCAACGAAACGGAAACCGAAATTTTGGGCAAGGAAATCGGTCATGTGAATTCGACAAAACCATGAAGTACCATGAAGCAAACCATGACGTTAGCATTGAAATAGTCAGTGGTCAGTCTTAGGATTTTTCGGGTCAGTGTTCTCCGTGTTTGACATGCTTTGACCATGTCCGCGGCCTGTGGATGAAGAGCTTCATGACCACATCGCCCTCACTTTCGTGCACGCAGCGCATGACCTTGAACCTCAGACATCACCGATTTTAACCGAAGCGGACGGACGTGCAAGACGGTGCCTGACCAAAGAAAGATCAGTTGGAAATAGTTGGAAGAATAGTCAAAAACTGACACTTGGATACACTTGGAGCATAGCCAACTAGATTAAACAAGGGCTTTTAATGATGTAACTAGCATCCACATGTAACCAGCTGAGTTTCCAGCAACTTGTAGCTGCCCAGGACATCTTGATAAGCGAAGCCCTGGTACCTGATGATCCAGGTCAATCCAGGTCACCTGCTTCAACAAAATGCAGGAAATGTAGCCTCCGAAAATGGAGTTTCATGAGATTCCATGGGATTTCATGGGATTTCATGAGGCTAAAAAAGAGGCTGAATGAGGCTTAAGCTTAGGCTCAATGGATACTGGGATATTGGCAGAATTGTCATAATTCGCTCACCTGAAAATAGCTGAAACATGCGACTTTGGGGATGATTCGCAGCAATCGATCATCATTCCAGTGACGAACCGTGAGGTCACATTCTTAATTCTCCAGATACTATGATCATACCCATCCCAAGCATCTAAGCATTAACTACTTCTGCCAAAATGGGGTTCAAACAAACACTGTGCAGAGCTTTTTGCTCCGTTCCAGTCACGCTGAATGATCCTGCCATGACCAGATTTTCCGCTCTGATAGTGACGAATGGACGGGCCTGTGCATGGTCGCCACGTGTCGCGGAAACTCAACGTAACTCAACTCAGTAAACATCTGGATCCCCAATTGGGTAGAATCCCCTTGAATTCCCAATGAATATCGGATATGTTGTATCCTTTTGTTATCATGAACCATCAAGAACCATCATGAACCAACTATATTTGTTGAAACTGCCCCAAGATTCAGTATATGAATATGAACAACATCCGCGTGGCCACCACCACGTCGCATGCTCGACGTAAGTTCGGCAGTGTCTCAGATGAGGTCGGCGACGTTCATTGGCATCTCATCAATCTGGGTGGAGTAGAACCTTCCAAACTCCGCGTGAGTTGAAGCGATGTTTTCAACGAAACCCCTAACGGTGAGTCGCGGTTTCCCTGGCAATCCGTTTCTCCCGGACCTATCCCAAAATGAAGGAAAACCCTAAAAGATGTCACGTTTTTTCATGAGGAAGATGGGTTTTCTCAACTCTCAACTTTTTGTTGGGGCGGTTTAAGGGATATTCCCAAGTCTTTTCTTACCATTCTGAAAATTCGGATTGTCAGCTAATGTCAGCTATCAACTTTCTCAATTAATGTTGCAGACAATCCAAGTCACTGCTCAATATCTCGCAAGATTCGGATATCATCATTCTTCACCTGGCCATCAGCGGCACGATGGGCAACAATTTTACCCCCAAAGTTTGGTGAACATACCTATCAAAACAAGTTGTGCTCCTTCAACAAAAGAAACCATATGATGCTTTGTGTGACTATAGTTACTTTACTTCAAAGAGTTGACCTTAAAACTGTTTAGAGTTTTTCTGTGAGTTTTTCATGCTTTCTCCTGATGTCCAGCTGACCCCACACCAGCCACCCGCACTGGCCGCCCAGCTGGGTGGCCGTGCAAAGTTGATGGCCACACCCTTGCGGCCGAAACGACCCGACCGGCCGATGCGATGGATGTAGAGCCTGCCCGTCGACTGCTGGAAATGTGGGAAATGACGGCGGCAAACAATGTCAACCATGTATATTCATGTTATGAAACATACAATATCAACGAGAGAAACATACAAAGATGGAAACATACAATATCAATGATAGAAACATACAACATCAAAGATAGCAACATACAACATCAAAGATAGAAACAATACAGCAGGCTAAGAAAACTGTCTGTTTTTTCCATGCCAGATACGATCGAGTCAAGCCGTCTGCACGCAAAGACGTAGAATGGGTTCAAACATGTTGGTTGAACAATGTCAGAGATGAAATGTTTCTCTATACATATATGTATATATATATATGAAAAAATGTTATTATAATTATTATTGTTATTATAATTATTAATATTATTATTATTGTTGTTATTATTATTGTTGTTGTTATTATTATCATTATTATCATCATTATTATTATTATTGTTATATATACATATGTATACATTCAAAAATCAATAAACATACAATATTACTTATATAATATAATCATATACACTATCATATGTTTCATAGGTACTTGCTGGAACTTCACCCTGAACAAAACGTTGTTGCAACCCTTTTTCAGCACTGGGCTGCCATGCTCTCGGTTGTTGGGCAGGTCGTAGCAAATTACCAATGAGACCTGGCTACGTTGGAGAATTCGGGATGTAAAAAGTAAATCTGATTGGTACCCTCTAGTAATTTAACAGTTTGCTATTGAAAATGGCCAGTTATAGTGAGTTTTCCCATTAAAAATTGTGATTTTCCATAGTTATGTTAGTTTACCAGAGGGTACTCTATGCAGTGTACTTTATATCCGAGTGGAGTAAGAGCTTCAAAATCTGGCTGATTCAAGGTCTCTCAACCCCTCGGATGGCAATCTGGCAAAGAAACATGGCACTAAATCCGGGATCTCAATAAAGTCAGAGAATTTGACAAACCATCTGCGTTCACAAAACAGGAACCCCAAGGCTCTGTGTTGAATCCCCGAATATTTGGTCAGTGATATCCACGCCCATGGAGATGGTTGGTTATGTTGGTTTGGTTTCAGCCAGAAAAAAACAAAATATTTAAAAAAAACACCTATATATGTGGATCTAATCAACCAAAACTGGTTGATGGTTTCAACCCCCCTGAAAAATATGAGTTCGTCAGTTGGGGTTATTATTCCCAATAGATGGAAAGTCATAAAATTCATGGTATTCATGTTCCAAACCACCAATCAGAAAATATCCAACATAGCTATTGAAAATTCCATGCTTCCAGTCACCACCAATCAGTGATAAAATTAACCACTATCATTAACCATCATTAACCATCATTATCCCATACTAAACTCACCAATGTTCCAGTCAGCACCAATCAGAAAATGCCATCGCCTGCTGCACATCCAAACCGCGACCCCAGAGATCTGTAGAGATCAAGACGCGGCTGCTGCCGCTGCGGAACCTGGGCGAATGGCTGTTACGGAGGATTTATGGATGATTTGTGGAGGATTTATGGATGATTTGTGGATGATTTATGGATGATTTATGGATGATTTATAGATGATTTGTGGATTTATGGATGATTTGTAGATTTATGGAATCCACCAAACATGTCAGGAAACGAAGTCAAATCATCCGTACATCATCTGTAAATCAGGAAAAACCATATCGGAAGGTGAATCAGGAAATATTTGGTCAAATCTCCAACAAACAACATACAATTAAACATCCAATGAAGCATCTCGCATATACGAAACAGCATAATTTTCCAGCTGGGGGTGTCAGGGATTTTTGAAACCGGGCGGCTGCTGCATGATGGCATCACGCTCCTTCTGTGGCATATCCTCAGTTCCACGGGACGGCTGCTCACGATGGCTGGTGGCTTGTTGAACATCCAACACCAAAAGGGGTTGGTTGCGACCAAAATCCGTGGAAGTTTGATTTTCCATGAATTTCCGAAGAAAATGTGAAAAATTTGGAAGTTGCAAGATTCTCTTGGCCAGAATTCACCTCTTTGGTCGTTGGGCATGCTGTTTCTTCAGCCATAACTGCAGCCATCTGAGAAGCCAACGCCGTGGATAGAGGCCACAGTGAAGTTGGCGTCTCTCATCTTTTGCCTCAAGACGGGGAAACTGGGACACCACCTCCTGTTAACCATACATCATTACAATTGGTCCTATGACAAACACTGGTGAATAGCTTCCCTCTGGTAAACTAACATAACTATTGAAAATGGCCATTTATAGTTGATTTACCCATTAAAAATGGTGATTTTCCATAGCTATGTTAGCCATTACCAGAGGGTATCCCTGTGGCTCATCACAAAATATCGCTAGCCGCGGTAGCCGCTGAGCTGAGTCCAAGGGGCGTCAACCAGTCGACCTTCTGCTTGGTGTTGCAAAAGATGACAGCCTTTTGCAAATGGCTTTCCACGGTTTGGGACTTGGGATATCATGGGATATCTATGTGTATAATATATATATATGTGATATTATATATATATATATATTATATTTTATACTATATATAATATATGTTATATATCTTTATGAAGGTTTCCAAGAACCAACTGAATGAAATTCAGAAGGATTCGAAAGAAGACCCAAGTGGGAAAGTCAAAAGATACGGTCTGGCTTTACAACATGACTTTTCTGATCCCCTCAACTCAAGCGGAGGTTCCCGGTGGAGCCTGCGTGATGGTCAGGGTATCGTAGAGGTCGCAGAGCGTATCGAACTTCCACTGTTCTCGCTCCACGGCCACGAAGAACCTCATAGGTTTTCCGGGCTGATTTTTGAGCAGATGGTCCAAGCACATCCAACCAGTTCCCAATCGCTTTAAGAAGTTCTGGATGACTTCACTGGGATGGAAGTCATGGCCATTTCCCATCCCAAAACAATCCAAGTGGGGGCTCATCCGTTCGGCTTTTCCAAAACAGAAACAGATCGAAAAACCGAAAAAATGACTCCTGCCCTTTCCTGGCGATGTAAGACATGGTTGAAATGAAAAGTTGGTCTAACGATCAACCAATAAATTTTCACCACATCAACCATCCCAAAAAATGCTTGGTCGATCTCTTTTGAAACTCAGAAAAACAAATTTGTTTAGCACCAATCTGCGCAATCTGCCGGGAGGCTGCTTGATACCTTCCAGGGTCAGCTCATCTCGTTTCACCAGGACCTGGAAAGAAAAGGTGATGCCGCGATGCCGCTGATGGTGCCGGTTTTCCAGCCATACTCCCACCGAAGCAGCCCTACAAGGGACAAAGTCTGCACAAAAAACAACAACAACAACCTTGTAATCTCATCGAAAAAAATATAGGTAGATGTGTTGACAGTCAACAACCATAGTTGGGATGGTCTTGCGGCATTGGGTTTACCCCATTAGATGTGTTGACTGCCATTTTTTTCCATTTGGAAATCAGCTCGGTGGTTGATTTTCCGATTTTCCTCTCAGGCTCCAGCTCTGAAGGGATTGTTCATGAACCTCAGGGTAAAATCTGATACCCTCTGGTAAACATACAAAAAACTATGGAAAATCACCATTTTTAATGGGTAAATCCACTATAAATCACCATTTTCAATAGCAAACTGTTAGTTTACCAGAGGGTAAACCTTGACACCTCTGGGCCTCTGGGTCATGTCCCACAATGTGGGATGATTCTGTTCAGAGTCGTGGGATGAGTTGTGGTTGAGTTGATCATGGCCTGGAAGACAATTGTTATGAGGCCTGGAATTTTCACATAGAACCCCTGGAAATTCACAAATGGAAACCCTAAACTGGGCACAGCCAATAGGAAAATTCACTTACTGTAGGGCTCCGCGTTGAGAATTAGAAATTCCTTGTGGGATGATAAAAATCCACCCAGGGGCGCGCTTTTCAGAGGCTACCCCGGAGGCTTCACTTCAACACATCCATTTCCCCAAGAGACTGTGACATGATGGTTTCAAGGGGGATCACGAGATAACCTGAATAACCTGAAGTCTGAAACCCGTGACTTATGCGTCATCTCCAGCACTTCGTGTGGCATGGTCGCGGACACCAGGACCACCTGAAAACTGTGGCGGTGTTTTAACCAATCGGAAAAATCGTGGGGGGTTGAGCACAAAAAATTGCGCTTCGAACGACATCACCAAGGCTGGATGTCAAAGACCTGACTCATCTGGTGACCTCCGTTGAAAAAGGCAGCTTCCAAACCAATCCTACACATTGAAACACTTCAAATGTCCGAAAGCTCTGCTGCACATCCTGAGAGTCTGACATGAGATGGTCTCAAAACTGGAACAATCATCTTCCATATCTTTGAATGGCCATCAAATAAATGGCTAAAGAAATCGAATCTTCATTTGGCAGGAAATAATGATCCTATACTTTGGCATTGCCACGTGATTTTTCGGCATCGACGAGCAATTTTCCCACCAAACATGACCTGCGTCGATGGAGGGAGGTATCGGTAGATGTCATACACCTGGCTGGGAATGGAGTTCTCCTGGGTCCCAGGGATTTTAAGCAACAAAAATTGAAGGATTTCAGCAGCACATATCAGATCTTAGTTCATTCAAGCAACAAAAGCGGTTTTTACTTGACCAACAACATTGGAACCCCAAATCTACAGGGGATAGCTGAGTTCTTACCAAGCAAATCCTGGGAAGTTCCCACAAAAGTTCCCTTTACAAACCAAATTCTGGGACCAAAACATTTACATAATATTAGCTATATTATATATAATTATATAAATTAATTATATATATATTATATATAATTGTATTTATGTATGTATATGGCAATCAAAACCCTGGCACCTTGCTTTTCACATCAGACTTTAGTTGCATTCATGGATGATTCATACCCATAGTTGTGGCATTGTAGGTGTTGACTCATAGCTATGGCATGGAATGAGTCCAAATATTGGTGAAGCTAAGGACTCACAGTTTGAGTAGGAAACGATCAGATTTGGTGCTGCACATGTTTCTGACCAGTGGCCAAAAAAAATTATTGGTCATTGGTGAAAGATCCCGCTGTTGCTGGTTGTATGCTAAGAAACCAACATGTTTACATGATGGCATACTGTGGATGGTTGCGAAATCCTGCATCACCTTGGATGGTTGAAACACCATAAATATTGGGATAAACCATCTATTAACTGGTGCAGGATTTCGCAACCATCCACCGTATGATGACACAATGCGCAGAGAAGTATGCCCAATGTTCATGTCAGTCACCCTAACGTTTGGATCCTGAACAGGCCTCAGTGCTACTGTACTTTTTTTTGTTTCAGATGGGATTGGAAAAAGTATTGGATCAATCATTATTAATCATTGGGTTGGTTTAAGGGGGACAAAATACACGAAACGATGTTTCTTTTTCCCAGTAAATATAGAGGTGTCTTGTCAGTTGCTCCTGATTTATCAATCCATTGAATCAAAATAAGACTCACCAAATTCTTTCGATGTCCGTTCCACTCATGACATGCCAGTGGACAGCAAAGTGATTTTTCATCTTTGTCACCATCACGAATGTGGAATGTGGAGTGGGACGAAACAAATGTTGATCCAACCTCTTCCCTTCTCAACCACGAACCACCCAACCAACACCCCACGATTCCCACCTGCTCTTTGAAGCCACGGTTCAACATCTCATCCGCCTCATCCAGGACCAACATCTTGATCTCGGCGCAGTTCGAATTTTTTTCGGGTCATGCGGGGACTAAGGGAACAAGGTCGCAGATGTCTATGCACGATATGTCTAATACAGTAGATATATGTAGATATCTATACGGGATGTGTATGTGTGTGTGTGTACGTATATGTCTATATATGTTGTACTGTTGTACTGGCAAGATTGTTTTCGCGTGTCTTTTTGTCAATTTAGTCGGCAAAAAGTGAAGACACGATGAGCCAGTCCTGTATGAGTCTAAGAGCCATACATCCCCCAGGAGCCAGTCATGTTTATTACCAAAGGGGATGGTCAAAGATGTCTGTTTGATGCAGGATGTACATCCCCAGCCTGTTCCGCAAATGCTGCAGATGAACTTGGCAAAATCAAGTTCAAACTCCCGAGAAGAAGAATCCCCCATACCAATGGACCCAAAAAAACAAACCCTGCGGCCCTGCGGTTAATATACCTGAGTCTCTATTATTATTAACCATCAATTATTAACCATAGACCATCAAAAAACTCATACGAATTTTGCCGCTTTTTTCCCTTCTCAGCAAGGCTTTTGCTTGGCTGGAGCCGTGTGCCAAACACTCACAGAGTAGCAGGCGGTGAGCAGCAGCAAGGAGCCATCGTACAGCGCATGGCCTTCCCACTGGAATGGCCATGATCTTGATGACACAAAATACCGGAAATCCTTGGAAACCGTTTGGAATCTTCGCTGCCCAAAAAAACTCCTTTGGAAAACCGGAAACCTCCGCGCCTCCAAAATCTTTCACGAAAGCTTCGCAGAGCATCATCTCAGAGAAAACGACGGGCATCAGCAAAAGCACGCCTGGCGGCAGAAAATTAAACGCATTTATACTATGTACTGATGAGTTAGGACTTGTGGCCTCTGATGAGATAAAACTTGCTTGGGGCTAGTCCTATCTCATGTGTCCACTGTTTGAAGCGCTTATGGGGCATTGGTTAGAATAGCCACATGAGCTAGGAGTTTCGGTACCTGGGATTTGCCAAAACTCCCAACTCATGTGCGCTGAACCCGCTCTGAGACCTGAATGCAAATCTCAAAAAACACTTTGGTAAATGATCGGGACTTCATGTTTTGTGACAGCAGCAAAGGCTGATGAGATAGAAAATTACAATGGTTCTAAAATCCACAAGTCCTATCTCACATGCGTTCAGTGGTGCATCTTTTTGCGTAGTTGCACCCATGTGCCAGTTAGATTTCCCAGGTCAAATCCCCACAAGTCCTATCTCACCTGCTTTTAGTGGTCAGTGTTTTTCCCTTGCTGCACCCATGTGCCAGTTAGATTTGGCACCTTCAAAGGGCAAAAACCATACTTTACTCATGAGATAGGAAATCAAAACAACTCGACTTTCCGACATCTCCTATCTCACTTGCAGGTAGTATAGATTGTTTTGTAATACTCAAAAAATGGATTTCCTGGCCAACCAGGTTTGTTGACCAAAGGGTCTTCCCCATTTTTGCTGCTTAGACTCCCATCTTTATTGGTGATGTATTGTCATTTGAGATGTTTTTTTACCAACTGATAACCCCTATTTCTAGATTGGATATTTCCCACCAAGAGTGGGCATTCCCGTTCCCATTCATCCTACTGACGATTTTCCATTGGTTATCGGTGGTTGGTTAATAGAAGCCCATCAATAGCCATCAAACACAAGAACGAGTATGATTGGTTATCCATATCCAAAAATTGGGCAGAGGTCCCATTCCCAATCATTCCTCCTAAACGGATCCATTAAGGGTTTTTTTATGCCCCACTAATCCCCAAAAAACACCGAAAAATAGCCCAATAAAGCCCCAAAATACCCCAATCATCCCAAAAGAACACCATCAAAATAGCCTATACCTAGATAATAATCTCCAAATAACCTTCAAATAATCTGATCCAGTGTTTTTCTTAGCGAGTTCTATGATGGTTTCCAGGTTCCCCATCACCGGCGCACCCACGCTGATCACCGGCCATCCATCACGAAGTCGCAGGGCCTTACGGCGCTGCCCAGAGGAGATCACCGATGTTGATGGGATTTCATGGATCTTTGGTGGAAAAGCATGGGATTGAATGGGGATATTCTGGGATATGGAGATGTACATATATGTATATAATATATATATAGAGAGAGAGAGATAGAAAAGAAAGAAAGAAAGAAAGAAGGAAGGAAGGATCGATAGATTAGATTAGATTTGATTTGATTTGATTAGATTTGATTTGATTTGATTAGATTAGATGAGATGAGATTAGATTAGATTAGATTTAGATTTAGATTTAGATTCGATTAGATTAGATTAGGATACATTAGATTAGATTAGGATAGATTAGATTAGATTAGATCAGATTAGATTAGATAAGATTGATAAGGTAAGAAAGATAAGATAAGATTAGATAAGATTAGATTAGATAAGATTAGATAAGATTAGATTAGATTAGATTAGATTAGATAGATTAGATAAGATTAGATTAGATAGATTAGATAGATTAGATAGATTAGATAGATTAGATAGATTAGATAGATTAGATAGATTAGATAGATTAGATAGATTAGATAGATTAGATAGGATAGATAGATTAGATAGATTAGATAGATTAGATAGATTAGATAGATTAGATAGATTAGATAGATTAGATAGATTAGATCGATTAGATAGATTAGATAGATAAAATAGATTAGATAGATTAGATAGATTAGATAGATTAGATAGATTAGATAGATTAGATAGATTAGATAGATTAGATAGGTTAGATAGATTAGATAGATTAGATAGATTAGATAGATTAGATCGATTAGATCGATTAGATCGATTAGATCGATTAGATCGATTAGATCGATTAGATCGATTAGATCGATTAGATCGATTAGATAGATTAGATAGATTAGATAGATTAGATAGATTAGATAGATTAGATAGATTAGATAGATTAGATAGATTAGATAGATTAGATAGATTGATAGATTAGATAGATTAGATAGATTAGATAGATTAGATAGATTAGATAGATTAGATAGATTAGATAGATTAGATAGATTAGATAGATTCGATAGATTAGATAGATTAGATAGATTCGATAGATTAGATAGATTAGATAGATTAGATAGATTAGATAGATTAGATAGATTAGATAGATTAGATAGATTAGATAGATTAGATAGATTAGATAGATTAGATAGATTAGATAGATTAGATAGATTAGATAGATTAGATAGATAGATAGATAGATAGATAGGTAGGTAGGTAGGTAGGTAGATAGGTAGATAGATAGATAGATATAACCAACCATAAGTGTATGGGTGTGTCTGAAAATGGGGTATACTCCCCAGTTATGGCCATTTAACAAGGAAAATGATGATTCACCATAGGATTTGGGGGACCCTATTTTCAGACAAAGCCACACCAAGAAACTTGGTCTTGACCATTAGAAAGAATCTGATTTAGAACATCAAAAAATACAATGCCTTTCGTTGATAATGTTGATATGCAAAAAATAAACATGATGCGATATTTGCTGTTTATCAGCAAGAAATTGGGTCCTACCAGCAACAACTGTGGATGTTTGGTTGGAAAAATCACAGCATTCTTGTTCAAAATCACAAGAAAAACTCTGGATTTCTTTTTGAAAAAGGGTTATATAGATTGCCGGAGGGTATAGCAACCGTTTTTTTTTGTGGTAAGTAGCAACCACCAGTGGTGCAACAAATGTTTTCACTGTAGCAACCAGGTTTCACCATGTTCACATCTTTGGCTTTCCCGGCCTCGTTGGGGCTGATGAGGATCAACCGCGGAATGCAAATCCAAAGGTTCAGCACCTGCAACCCTGTTGAACATCTCAAAAAAATCAGCCCATTCACATCCTGAAATAACAAAACATGTGTGTATGTATATATATATATATCAAAACTATATATTAATATATATATATATATGTGTGCATCATCTGTTGTTGAAAACTCACCTGCTCTCTGGTATTGACATGTTTCTTTACAACGGTTCCGGCACTGGCTTGAAAACACCGAAACCATTGTTGGCAGCTCCTTGCCATCAAGGCTCAAGTTGCACAGCGCCAAAGGCAAACTGCAAGGGCACATACAACACGAAGAGCAACATGGACCTCAGGAACCAGTATCTTTCAGTTGTGTTTTTTCTGTCCAATTCGACGGATGTTGTTTTTTTCCAATCTTTCGGGGGCCAAACAAATTCCACAGGGGTCTATTCTGGACATCCTCATAGTCCATGGGCTGCGATCTCTCCAGCCAAGAGCACACTCCGTGAATCAGCAGGCACAGCCACACAGGCACACCGTGAACATAGCCTGCCACAAAAACGTCACTGCCATGGTCACTCACCTCCTGAAACTTGGAATTCTTGGACAAAAGCTGCCGATTTCTCATCATTCTTGGCCCCAACCAATCCTGCTTTGCACAAACAGAGCCCCCCTTATTGCCCTTACTGCACTGCTAGTGAATGCAGTTGAAACAATGTTGGATCTCACAGCTTGGATGATCAAAGCTGTCAAAATGGGGGAAATTTTCCAACGAGTCTGGTTTGATAACCAGCAGCTATCCCGGGTATCCCTCATGTTTGTTGCTTCCAATCCTATCTTCAATGTCTTCCTAACTCGACGCTTAAATTTGCCATACTTCTATAAGTTGGTTTATAATCCCATTAACTATAGATATATCTACCATAAGTCCTAGTTATTAGAGTTATAAACCAACTTAGCTATCTTGGGGGCACCACCTTCTAGGTATCCTGCGCCCCAGCCTACCGGTACCCACTAACCACATGAGGTTCACCCACAGAGTTGGATGATTCTCCCAGCCATGACACAAAGGAGGGTAACCCACTCATCAACCAACTGCTCATTAAGCATACGGCAATAAGAACCATCAAATATGAAGTAATCTAGTATTTAAAATCCAAACTCATGATCCTATATATTTTTTTTGTTGTTTTTGTTTGGGTGTTTCCTATGTCCCATGTCGCACCTACGAAGGGTCCAATGGCCAGAAAACTCGCCAGCGCCAGCAGCACGGCCAGCGCCAGCAGTGGCGGCGCCCGCTGCGGCCGCAGCTGGTCCAGCACCTCGGCGTCGAAGCCGCCGAAGAAGCCTCGGGACCAGCGGGGAACCATCGACACACGATGGTGCCCCAGTTCGGATAACTTGGTTTCTAGTCGTCCAATAACTATGGGTTTTTTTAACCCATGAAAAAATAAGGTTACCATAACTATAGTAAATAAGTCCAATAACTATTAGTAACTATGGTTTTTGTTGTTGGTGATATATCAATAGTTAATGGGATTATAACCTATTTATAACTGGGGAGATTCACCATCGCTGTCATCTCCCGAGATATGATAAAGATATCAATGATATCTTGGTGTATCATGGTTATGATATGAATGATCACAGCCCACCATCATCATCTTGGTGTGATATCAATGATAAGGTGATGATGAAGACGAAGAATAAGAATTGTAGTAACTTTAGTAATAATGATACTAGTGATGATAATGATAATGATAATATGAATAACAATTATCACGGTGATATCTATCATCAATATTAGTTCATCAACATTTTCAGCATCAATAATCTTGTGATATAAAAAATGGTCGCAGGTACTCTAGTGATACATAGAATGAAGAATGCTTGTGGGATGTCCGACCCACGGGGATGCGGAATTACCATCAATAGTGAGTCATGAACCATGAAGAATGTTGATATTTACAAGTATGTCGCTTTTTGATGGGGGGCACCATGAAAGAATCTTGTGATTTAACCAATGATTTTTTTGGAAATGCGAAATGCACTGTAAGTTTCAAGGAAAATCTGGGATAGATAGTGATACCCCACTTGTGACTGTGGGACTTACCCCCTATAAAACCAACAATGATGTACGTGATGGGGACATACACCATACTCTGATACATGATGGCAAAGTTGTGTGGGGTGGCCAACCAAGAACAAGGATTCAACCCATTTTTCCATTGGTTCTTGATATTTTTGGGTGCCCAAAAAGATGTTCGCAGATGTTTTTATGTAGGTCATATGGGTGATGATATGTTGTTGGATTTTATCTGAGATTTGTTGGACATCTTGAATTTGCGATACTGAAAACGGCTGATCCGAAAAGAGCCGGCTTTTTGCCGCCACAGTTTGAACCATGGGCCCAGGGGCTCAAAATTCCATGCGCAAGTCCATGCAGAACCTCGGAATTTGGGTTTTTTACTGTGGAAAAGTTTCAACCGGAAACCTCAAAACCCAGAGAAAAATGGAAAGCTGTGTGATTCCAACGATTGGAAAAACCCTCATTTGGAAGAAAACTGGGTGAACTGCAATCCGCAGATTTGGGGTATTTTTTGTCTATCAAAATGATGTTCAACTCAGTTCCGAACAAAATCTCCACCCCGACATCCCTAAACAGCATCAAGCTGGCAAGCGGTTAGGCACCGTAAAGAACGACACAAAGATGGCTAGTTGTAGAGGAACAGCGGCTTGACCTAGCCCAAAATGAATGGAACCATCACAAGCAACCCACATCTTTGTTCTCTTTGCATGTGTTTCATCAAATAGTTGTTCTTCAACTGGTTAAGGCCAAAATTTCACCGTCCAAAATGGAAGTATGTTGCCATTTTCGCACTTTTTTAGCATCCCATAAAGCGTTCAAAAATGCAAAAAGAACATGGTTTCAAGTCATTGGAATCTCACCAGCCCAAAATATGAAAATGGGATGCTCCATGATTTATTTCACCATCCATGTTCCAGGATCTTCATTTAAACAAAAAAAATGGAACATTCTGGAGTTTCCCTGTCCAAACTGCCTCTGCTCACCTCGTCCGAACTGCCCTGCCCCGTCGCCTTTCAGGGCACTGGCGGACAGGCGCCGCGCGTTCAGCAGCATCAGCGACAGACCCAGCAGCACGTCCAGGGCGCAGCTCAGGCTGTGGCTATCGATGCCTGGATAGAGATGGCATCAAGATGTATATGTGTATCATACCCAGATATGTATATGTGTGTATGTGTATAATATATATATATATGTGTGTGTGTGCGTGTACAACATATCATGTATATTCCCTCTATATTATATATATTATATATATAAATAGACATGTATGAATATGGTACCTCCCCCGGGGAAAAAAAACTTGGAGGTGGTTGTATATCTGTGTGTATATGTGTTTGTATACTATACGACTATACGTAACAATGAGATGAATATGGGATAGAAATGGGATGAATATGATGGATAAACCCCAAGTTCAACCCTCAAAATGCACACCTCCAGCTTCAAGCAACTTTGGCAAAGTGACAGAAATCAATTCACTCCGGTTGAGCACCTAAAAGACGCAGTCATGGAAGTTTGATTTATGAACCCCGAGAATCATGGTGAAGTCCGCGCCTTGCCCTCCGACCTTCCATTCTGACACACAAAAACCATTCGCATACCTCGGCCGCCAATCATCAATTTGCATATGGAGGCGGGGGAAAAAAAAAAACATCATGGTTGGCAGCGGCTGCAGCCTAAATCATGTTGCACCACTTGACCGGACAGTTGTACATCCACCGGCCCCCTCACAAAACATAACAACATAGTGCTACTGGTATCACCGCGCGCAAGCCAATCACGGCACTTGCGACCACGCTCCAACAGGTCACAGTGTGCACTGGCAAATTGAGAAGTGCTGTGAAACTCTATGTCATTCATGCCATACATATTTTGTGCATATCCTACATGTATACAGTATCCCATTTTAGCATCCAACATCCAACAGCACCCAACCGAAATCCGCCAAGTCTCCAACTACTGGAGCTCCACCTTTCTGTGGAACGTACATCATGAAGCACCACGAAGCAATAGAGGGCCGTCAGCAGTGTCGTGCCCAGCTCCGAGAACCAGGTGAGCCATCCCCACATGGCGAATTGGTGCATGGCTGATGGTGCACTGATGCTGGTTGGAGGAGAAAGCTGGTGGGATATGAAGTGAAATTGTGTAGGTCATGAAATTTTCTAAGGCTCAAAAACATCTGGGTTTTGTAATTTTCGAGATGCCTGCGATCGGGAGCACGAGTTCCGGAAAAACAGATCCCTAAGAATGGTGCCAAGGAATGATGATTGAATATGAGGACCACTGTTGATATGAAATGGTCTGCATCTCAGTAGCCCTGAGCCAGCATTGGGTTGGACGAAACTCCACTTTCTATTCTATTCCTCTTTCGGCCCATGTCGTTCTGCACTTTCCCAGAGAATTCTCACACCCAGCGCCATTTTACACCAGCAACTCCCAGCGCCATGGGCGCTAATGTCGACCTGCACCTTAGACATAGCTCCGCAGGACTGGTACGGCATGATCGCTATGATCATAAGACATCATAAGACTGGTCTTTCATAATCAAATATGATATTCAGGAGGCTGTCATATAACTATGATGAACTCAGGAGGCTTTCATATGACTCGTTCATCTTCACATTAGTCTTCCAATAACTATGATCATAAGACTCAGAGGCTAAGAATGAATGACATTGGACTACTATGAGTTCATCATCAACCATCCTCGACCATGTCGCACCTGGCTTTGCATCAGCTTCCACTACAGGAGAAGTAAGGAATCTCCTGGACAGACATGGCAGATTCGGGGGGTTTCCATCTCGGAGATGCACCGAAAAACGGTGTATCTCCAGTGACAGAGAAGTCCTTTCTCACCCTCCGGTCATCAGTTCCATGGCTGGAAAATCCTCGACGGAAGATTTTGGGAACCCCAATTTTCCCAGCCATGGACTGATGACCAGCCAGGCTATGCTGATTGTAAATTTGCCTCGGCCTTCGATGTTGAACCATCACTGCCTCCTAGTCCTAATGTGTCCCGTTTCTGGATGATTTTCTGTGAAACGGAGCATCCAGAACGTTAAACTGCCGGGATTCATGGTTCGTCCATCTTGCACTATACATACACACAATACATCACAACACATCTTATCAAATGTAATCTGGTTGGTGGTTTTAACCATCTTTTAAAATATCAGTCAATGGGAAGGATTATTCCCAATATACGGAGAAATTTGAAAAAGAAAAAAGAAAAACAGTAATACATATTGTCACAATACATATATCCGGTCTAGTACATATGTCATATAACATCATATGACTATAACACATAGCTCTTCTCTGGCCCTCAGCCTCAGCCCATTCGCATCCTGATGCACCCTCCAATGCATTGCTGCCTGCGTTGATGACACTGTCGCCAGCCTCAAGTGGCCCCGGTGCCAGCCAATGCATTGACAAACTGCCACTGGAATCCTCGTGGCCAACAAGAAATGATGACCCAACGAAACCTCGTGGTGAACGAAAAATGCGAAGTGCGAAGCGCTGACCCCCCGAAAATTGCTCAGTTTCACCAGCAGAGTCCCAGGCAACACACCCAGAAGGGCCAAAATGAAGTCCTGCAGTGGTTGTCCGCCGACCTGGTTTGAAAACCATGGGTTCCGGGGGTCCAACTCCGAAATGACCCCCAAATCCACAGCAAAATCTCCGAAAAAAATGGGGAATTTGGCACCACATCCTAGCCGCGGTACCCTCCGGCAATCAGTCCCATGGCTGGCAAGTCTCCCATTCATAGATGATTTTCCCAAGGAGACCTCCATTTTAGAGGGGAACCCAACCATAAACCATCTCCGGACATGATGTGTGACCATAAATGGGTGGGATTGAAACCATCCCCAGTGATGACATGGTAGGTTTATGGCTTGTCAATTTCACAGGAGACCCACTTTCACTTGGCATCTGCACCAGCATATGATGAAGTGCAGGTGGAAACACCAGGGCCTCGGTCGAAAAAGGATTTCTAAAGCCCGAGGTTTGCCAGTCATACATCGTGTTTTTTCCATTTCCCTTGAAGAAGTTGATCTCATTTCCATCGTTTCCATGATTTCCATCTTCCATCATCATCCAATCCAATTCCAAGGTCTTCTCATCAGCTGAGAAACCAAAGGTGCACAGGCCAATCCACCAACAATGGCCACCAAACTTTCCAATCGCGAGGCACAGGAAATTGCCACCATCCTTGGAGATGCCAATCAGATGAAAACTCCATGATCTTGATGTTACCATAAGTAATTCCCTTTCACCATGTATTTTGCTCTAGACCTTGTGGTATTAACCAGAATCTGGCTAAATTAATGTTAAATTCTAATACTTCACTAAGCTGAAACCAGGCTTTCTTAGAGAATTCGCCTTGCTAACCGACGAAAACTGCTCTTGTAGGGGTGCAACGACCACCGGCCAAGCTGCATGGTGAGCACAACCAGACTGACGCGGAAAGCCTCACTGGCTGCGAAGACCTGGCAGTAGGGATTTCATCAAGCCTGGACCTGGAGGTTATGGAAAGATGGCATGATCATATTCTGCGTATATCTAATAATTACATGTGTGTATATATATATATACATATTTATTATTATATATTTATATATATATATACATATGTAATGTAATGTAATGTATGTAGGTATATATTCTATGCCCCTTGGTGCCGTAATCTTGACCCATGCCCATCAACTGAGGGAAAAGCAAGTTGCTATTGATCCTATGCCCGTTGCAAATAGATTTGATTCCCAGTTCTACAGGTGCGGTCCTCATTTTAATTGATGACACACCAACTACAGATAGACCCACAATGGTGTTTGTTGATGATTAATCCTCCATTTTGTGGGGATCAAAAAATGACCGGCTACCCATCCGAGGAATTGTTCCTAAGGCATCACTGCGGCATCGCACCTCACCGAGCATGGAAGATGTCTTGCCACCTGACCAATGAATCCGATGTCAGATCATACCGAAACTATCAAGCTGACGTAGTGTTAGATCATGAACCTCGGAGTAGCATTGACCACTAAGTCAGCAGCTCCAAGAGAGTACAAGCCGCGCAAGCCGTTTTTTTTGCCCGAAAGCAAGCATCACTAGAATATTCAAAAGTTGGGCCATGGCAATTCCCAGTCAACTTGGCCTAGTGAAACAGTTTGCAAAGTGATCCTCAGGAAAATGGATTCCATCTCCAGCTCACTCTGCCATGGGAAGATTCGGCAGACTCGAGCTGTCCGCAACTCAGCAAAACCACCAGCGCAACTTCCGCGCTAGTCGCGGGAAGCTTCATGCCTGGTTCGTTTGGCCCAATCACTTCGGTGATCCTGAGAATGTTCCCTGGTTCCATGGTATAAATCTCGACTGCCCCATTCGTTGGATCGCTCTGCCTTCGATTCGGCATCATCATTCCAGCGGTCGTTCCAGCGGCGGTTGTTCCACTTCTCCTTTGGCTTGAAGACGGGGCGTTTTCCTGGCTGCCAAATCCCAGAAAATGTCATCCACATGTCATCCGAGTCATCCTGCACAACTCATATCAACTCAATCATTTCACAAAAATGGATAAATCCTGGGACGCTCATCTAGACTTACCCTCCGGTAATCAAACGTGGCTGGAAAATCCCCAATTTCATGGATGGTTTCCTCTTAAAGCCTCCAGTCGATTTTCCATGTACCGCAGCCATCTCATCCAACCCCCATCCCCAAGCCCCATCCCCAAGCCCCATCCCCAAACCCCCAACCCCATCCCAACCCTCATCCCCCCCCCAAGCCCCATCCCCCCATCCCCCCATCCCCCAACTGCTCCTGCTTCCACCTCCTGCGCAATGCGTCGCAAGTCCTCTGGGACCACCTGCCCCGAAGCCTCCAACAAGTCGCAGAGCTCGCCCGCGATCCCAGGCTCCTTGTGCCAATACTCGAAGAAAACCATGGCCTGGTGACGTTTGGAGCACCCAAAGGAAACATTGTCAAAAAAAAAGTGACTTTTCTTGATAGTGAGTTTAATAGTGTTTGATTGATAGTTTGAACATAGTGTTCAAAATTGTGTTTTAAGTTGTGTTTTATTATGTTCAAGTAATGTTTGATAGTGTTATACAAGGAGTGAAATAGTGCTTAATGCTGCAAAATATTGGGATTCAAGCGATTCAAGTAGTCAAATTCTGGGTATGTGTAGCTGATTTAACCAAAAGTAGGGGATATTCATGGATATTAAGCAAAAACAATGCAAACGTTGGGTGCTTACGGGGCTTGCCAAAATTTGGATGATGGTTCAAAAGTTGAATCTCATCCTATGGTTTATCAAAGATGAATGAAGTTGAATGGGGAAAAGTATGTTTTAAACCATGGAGGCTTTGAGGCTCCAAATTTTGAGACAACCTGATGCTTGAGGTAACGACAATCAAAAGCTTGAAGGAATAGCCCTGAAGCAAATGTAAATGTAGCCTAAACCAAGCGGTTCATTTTATATCTCTATATATAATTATGTATATATATATACCGTTTGGAGTGGTTTAGAACTTTAAAAACTGGTGGCTTTGTTGGGTTACCCACACTACCAAGGACGGTATTCCATGCGGGGCTGCAATTTGTGGTGGTGTTGCGGCACGTGTTTTCCACAGACGGAAAATTGAAGAATAATGTTAACGCGTCTCGTTGCATTTTTGTACTTACCTAAGATGGTGAAACCAGCTTTCGAGCCATTCTTCTGACATATTCTCCTCAATTTGCAGGGTTTCGAGCCTTAAACCCAAACCTCTAAATAGACCGACCCTGAATATCCAGAAAATCAACCTGAAACCAACCCTAATTAACCTATGGTAATCCAAACGCCAAGCCTAAATTAAGCGCAAAACCTCTAAATGGACACTATAACTTTGGGCGAACGTTGGCCCCTGGGAACGGTGCCAGATTGGGAAAAAAAACGGCTTTCGGGGGAAGCTTCGCACATCTGGATTGCTGGATCCAAATCTTACCAAGAACTGGGGCGAACCAACTAGGATCCAGCCATCACTCTTATGATCTCTTATGAAGGCAGAAATAGGCATAAATAGCTGTCTATGAATCCATCGAAAATCCCCAACTTGTCGCGGACACTTCGAGCCGAGCCTGTCCATGTCCGTCCTTGCCACGGGCCGTGCGGCCAATCCGATGCACGTAGTCATCGATGGAGCCCATATCGAAGACGATGACATGGGAGACGCTGGGAATGTCAATGCCGCGTCCGATGACATCCTGGTCAACTGAAGCAGGTGAAAAAAAACTCAGCTGAGGCATCCCCCAAGGAGTCAGAAATTTGGGAAAGTCAAAAAGTGCCAAGTTTGAAAGTTGGCAGTGAGTTGTATCCATTGTATCCTCCTATTATAGTGCTAGCCCACCCTTCCTTTCTGCGAGCATCTGTGGCAACCATCAATCGAAACTCGCCGCTGCGAAATTGTTCCAAAGTCCTCAAGCGAGACTCCTGAATCTCAAGCGCTGCAACTTTGATACACCATTAATGACTGCAAGAGTTGAGGATACTATCCCAATAATGTCTGCAACTTCCCCCAATATCCCCAATCAGTTTTCGATCTGGCATTCCACCTGAAACATCTGAAACTAGCTCAATTTTTCAGGATGTTGCAACAATTTCAACCATTCCAGGCCTTGGGGATTGTCCTAAAATAGGTGAGTTGCCCCAGATCATGTCAAGCCCAAGATATGTAATTGCCGATTGCCATACTGTATGGAGTGGGAAAGAACAAACTAACATATCATGTCATTGGTCTTATATCCTGTTATATTATATATATATACATATATATATTTATGTATATTGTATATCTTATCCCATTTTATCCCTCTTGCATATACCCTCTGGTTATGACTAACAGTTCGCCATGGAAAATCCCCATGCTCTTAAGTTCGATAAACCATCTATTTCTATGGACCATCTATACCATGGCGAACTGTTAGTCATAACCAGAGGGTACATAACATATCCCCATTGGTGATAAATCCTCCGTCCTGGCTCTTTCCGCCGTGCATGGCGGTGGCTTTGAAGCCCGCGTCCCAGAGTTTTGTGGCCAGCTCGTCGGCATATTGTTTCTGGGACACGAAGACCAACACCTTGTGCTCTGGACCGTTCCACAAAATTCCTGGAAAATGGCTGAAGATCTGGAAAAATGGCTGAAATATGGCTGAAAGATGCTGAAAGTTCCGGAAACATGCGACAAAATATGCGACAATATGGGAAAAATGGAGATGTAGAAATAGAGAGATTCCATGATGAACCAAGCACAAATTGCTGGATTTGACCATTGTTGGACGCGAATCTTCATCTGGCTCGATGGGAAAAATCGGAGCGAAAAACCAGGGGTGATGATGACCGGTCCCATGAAAAATGACAACATCACCCAACAGATCATTGCGATCCTTGGAAGAAACATCAACTGGCTATCCAAGAGTGATCTTCCAGCGAGCTGGATACCTCGATCTGATTTCATCCAACATCATCCAACATGATCCAACCCAACATTCAGGGCTCCTTGAAGATAGTTATCCAGAAGTTTGCGCTTCTCCGCCACCTGTTTTTCGTAGTCATCGGGAAAATCCACCACTTTGACGGTCTGCACAATGCCATCGCGCGCATGGCGCACGTGCGACTTCTGGTCACTGAGGGAGCCGTGCTCGTCTTGGCCAACGCTGATGCGCACCGGTTGGGCTCCTGGCGGTGACCCTGGAGCTTGGTCATCTTGGAGGCCCCAATGTTGACTCATCTTGAGGGCTCAGAAACATTCAGAAAACCAGTGATTTTTTTGGGGATTTAAGACCTCAGTTTCCCCTGATTGATGTTTTTGTTGGGTGGTCTTCCCCAACCAGGGTGGGATTTCCCCCCACCAAGTCATTCAAATCGACTCCGGAGATCCCCCCATGGTTGGACAGCCATAGTCTTTACAGCTGATGAATCTCCTCATGTTGGGGACCATTAAATCCTATGGGTTGCTGAATAGCCACAGCTTTTGTCAGCGCCATTTTCACATCAGCTTGATTGTTGGAAAAGCCATCAAGTTTGTAGGTTCATATTGTCATATTCCCTGGAAAACCCTAGCTTTTCCATGTCAATAACCCATCATAGATCACATATTCCCTTTTAAACCGAGGTTTTTCGATGTGGATTTGGGATATGGCACTTACCTCCCCAGCCGGCCCAGCCTTGATTGCAGAGCCCGGCGGCCAGCTTCTGCACATCGTGAGACCAGGTAGCCGAGAAAAACAGGACCTGACGCTCAGGACGCACCTCAGCTCGCCGATTGGGGGTCAATTTTGGAAGTCCATTAGAAAATTAGAGGTGATAGTTGACTATCAATTTGTGGATAGTTTGATAGTTGACTGGAAGGTCATTTAAAGTTAAAGTCAGTCATTCTAGTCATTGAAGGTTACTGAACTAGTTGATAGTTGATGACTTTTTCTTCATGGAGGATACCAACCAAGCCCCCCGTGCGGGGCCCCAATCTTTCCAATCGCCTGACTGCTGATGGACTCCACTTCTCCGGCAAATCCCTCCTCAAGCATCCTGACGGACCCAACAAACATGGCTCGCATCCAACAAATCAGCCAGCGACCTTCAAGGTCGCGAAGGTCGCGAAATGTGAATCAAGGAAAAAATCGACAGGAAAATATAGAGGGTAACTAAAATCCAACAAATCTTGAGTCAACATCCATGATGTCTGGTTGATATCATCATGATATTTGTTTTTTTTCGTACTTCCAAACACGAAGGGTTTTTGTAAAACACCAGATTTTTAATTTGAATGCCCAAAAAAATATCCCCATGGTCGCTGGCTAATATCACCATGGTTTTCATACGTGTTGGGGCAAAGCCTGGTCACCAACATTCCGATGTGTTCCCGTGAGTTTCCACATCCAGACCCCAGCCTATCAGCCTCATCGAGCACCAAATAGGTCACGCGCTCCAACGACAGGCTTTTCCTAACGTCCACGACGTGGCTTGCTGGAAAATCCTCCAATTGGTGAATTTTCCCAAGAAGACTTCCATTTATGGAGGAATTTTTGTCATGTTTGATTACCAATGTTGCTACCCCGAATTCTGATGGATTGGTTTTGAGTGGACAAAAACTCAGAAAATGATCATCTGACAGTGCATCTTTAAGTGATCAAAACCATCCAAGTTTTACACCATCCATTTCTTGGATTTCTTGGATTTCTTGGGGTCAAGAATCAACCAAAAAAATGGAACATCCATTGAACTATCCATTTTCAACAAACATTAACAAAATGATACTAATGTTGGATAATGTTGGTTATTGGATAATGTTGGATAATGTTGGATAATGTTGGTTAATGTATCCATTTTCAACAAACATAACAAAAACCACCCCAAAGCATCAGCAAGTTGCGTGACCATAAAGTCGATCAAACGCCCCGGCGTGGCGGCCACGATTTCGCATCCGTACTCCATGTCCTTCAACTGCTGGTACTTTTTGCCTGGAGGAAACTCGTCACTAATAGCTGTATATAGGCTATAGCCCCCACCCAAGGAAGAGGCTGCTGCGTTCGGAAATTTGGTTCTACTCTTGGCCATGGTCATTGCAAATGTGCGTAAGAATGGGGAACAAGGTGGATGGCATTTTGGATGACTGGACAAAGCCTTAAAGCCCTACATACCAAATGTCGAGCGTTTCGGGCTTAACTGGGTTCAAAGAGATCTCCCATCTCCCATGCTCTCCTCTGCCGTAGTCGAAAGTGTGGCGTTTTCCCTTCATCAATCATGGAAATGTTGGCAATTTTTCGCTGATGTTAGCAATTTCCAGGACTCTCCAAAAATTTTAGGGAAGTGTCAGTGGGATCTTTTTTCCATTTGGTCGGATCTTTAAGTCATCCATGATCCCATCACCATGGCTTTAAGTCACCATGGCTGGGTGGCCTCCACCGTACACGGCCGCTGCCCAGACCCCTTCGGGACGCTCCGGGGTCTTGGATCTTTTCAGGACCTGAAGGCTTTTGGACCATTGGACCATCAAAAATGGAGGCTTTTTCTTATGGTGAACCATCAAAAACCATGGGGAGTTACCCATGAAAATCTGGAATATTTGACTATGGAGGGGTAACCAAAAAAAAAAATGAAACACCCAGCGATTTGACGGATTTGAATCATGGAAATTGTGGGGGTTTTCAAGATCTGGGATTGATGTGCCCAGTTGGAACTGGGCTACCTCTATAAAATAGCCAAGGCAAGAGGCTTCGTCGGTTTACAAACGATCAGCTGGGGTACCCCAAATGGGATGGCTTCGCCAATCACAAGGATAATAGCACATTGTAAAACGATCCAATACCCATAATACCCATAATAATTGGAATGGCTTGGAATGAATTGGATGGTCTATTTGGATTGTCTGTTGGATCGAATCTCAGATTTGGAGCTTCTAACCGAGGAGTCCAAGGGATGCGTCAGCCTGTTTTTGTATTTTCTGATACTGTTACCAAAGAAAATGTGACCCTCTGGTTATTTAACATAGCCATGGAAAATCACCATTCTTAATAGCTAAATATAGGTAAATCATCCATAGATGGACCATTTTCCATAGCCACGTTAAATAACCAAAGGGAATATGAAAAAACGGTGGCTATAGGTGATTTCACACTGGTACAGTGTAGCCCACCAATGATTGAATTGAGCAGTTTCCGAAACTCTCTGTCATTCCACTCTGTTGGTTGCTTAAGAACGGGATTCCCAGTTCATGGACTATGATAACCCCCAGTCTGCTTCAGGGAAGTATCACCCCGGGACTAATCATCGACCAATCATCATCTATATATCATCGTATACCAAGATGTTTTTTTTTGCTTGAACATTCACCCCCAAACTAATCATAGCCAGACAAAAATCCCTCCAAAATACCGGTTTTATCACTTCCCAAACGAATCCTCAACGAACCCCATCCCCATCCCCATCCCCATCCATCCCCATCTCCATCCATCCCAGGCCTTATGAGCTTCATCCACAATCTGCACGGCCAGCTCGCGCGTCGGAGCCATGATCAGCGCGATGGGCGTGATGTTTCCGCGGCGGATGGGCGCTTGCGCCACGATGTGGACGATGGCCGGCAGCAGATAGGCCAAAGTCTTGCCACTTCCTCGGAGCGAGTCTTGGAGGATTTCCATGGGAACTGGAAATTGTTAGGATCTAATGAGATTAGACACCAACCATAAATATCCCGGTTTGATGTGACCTAAAAAAAAACGTCATGCTTGACCTCTTTCAGCCACCAACTTTTGATAACTCTTGAGATTTCATTTGGGGTTGAACTTCGAAGTTGGCCCAGCTTCCAGTTTGAGCAATCCCGATGACATCCAGCCCAGACAAGACCAAGGGCAAAGCCTGGGCCTGGATGGGCAGGGGGTTCTTGATGCCATTCCACTGCAGGCCGTCCAAGACCTTGGACAGCAAAGGGTCAACCTTTTTGAATTCCACGATTTCTTTGAAAAAAATGTTGGGAATATACCGTACCACATATACCACATAAATTTGGAAAAGACATGGGGATGGATCATGACCTATTTTATGCCATATGTTTGGGGCATGAACGGATGAACATCCCATAAATCCCGAGACATTCCCATATGAAAAGTCATGCCCCAAATGACCTGAGCGAATCCCAGGCACATAACTGGGCAGCAAGTGGTTCAGCTCATCAAAGGTTGCAGTGGGTGCAGGTAGCACATGCATATCCCCTTTATCCTCAATGCAAATACCTTGGAGTTGCTGAGAGGGGAAAATAAAGGGAAGCTAGCTTCCCAGTAGCTTCTGCAAATGGTGGATTCAACAAGTCGAAAACTCAAAAAACTCAAAAATCCATTTTCAGCAACTCCAGGATACCCATCTGATGCCTCAGATTCTCCGCCCCCGGCAGCTCGGTGTTGCATTGCGGCAGGAAGCAACGTTGGAAAGCGGCACGTTGCTGCCGCCCCCAATCGATCTTCACCAAGGTGTTACTCTGTGGCTCCTCCGTTGTGGCCCCCGTTGCCGTGGGCTGCTCGTGGTTCCGTCCCCATCGGCGATCCCATCGAGGTTCGGCCTGCTCCTCCTCTTGCGGCGCTTGCCCTTGTGCCTTGTCCCGCGACCAGCGTTGCCCGTGTCGCTGCGGTCCATTCTGCGAAGGCTGATTGATCTGATTGGTCTGTTCCGCTGGGTACTGAGCATTTTGCCGTTGCACCTGCTGCTGCAGCAGCAGCTGCTCAAGCTGTTGATGTTGCTGCTGCAGCTGCTGTTGCTGCTGGAACTGCTGTTGGCTCACCATGTACTGCTGCTGTTGGGGCATCTGCTGCAAGAACTGCAGCTGTGCCTGTCGTGCCTGAAACTGCTGCTGCAGTTGCACTGCTTGCTGCGCCATCCCAGGCTGCTCGGATTGGGTCCACATGGCTGGGAAACCCAGGTGGCCACGGCCCGTTGGAAGTGTGTCTAGCAAAGGAAACTGACCATCATAGGCTCTACTGACTGGCACATCTTCATGTTCAGAATCATTACTCTACACACTTCATGATACCTGTGTATGTCATGTGCAGTATGTACATGTGCATATTGTACATACTGGTGCAAACATTTTACATCTCATGTATCTGCATGAAAATCCACGTTGCGTTGGCACTGTTTTTTGTTCTTGTCCGTCAAAATATAAAACTCTCTGAGACTCCAAACCACGAGCACAAGATGCGATCAGGCATGGACTCATTTTCATAGTGGATCTACCCTGTTGGCAAAGCCTAGAAATTTTGTCCTTTGCCTTAGCAAACAGCTGTGTTTCACAGCCCCATCCCAAGGACACCATCCTTACCGGACCGGCCTCGCAAACGGTCCTGTATCGAGATGGCCAGTGGGGATGTGTTTGGTGATATCTTGGGGTTTCTGATCCATCCATGGCGTTGGGTGCTACGTTCATTGATGGCAAGGATGATGATTTCATGAAATTGAGACCCCACTTCCAGAGAAACCCATATAGCTCCCGGGAAGTACCGACCTTTCCAAGTTTTCAATGTCCAAAGCCACAAAAACGGTGCAATGAAAATTTCTGTGGCACCCCGCCTCAATCAACTTGGAAACAGGATGTAGCATCAACGGATACGTGCCTCACGTGGCATTCACGTGGCATGCCTCACGTTTTTCGTGGAAAAGCCGGAGCCAACCCCGGCAGCCAAGCTGCAAATTAGCGCCATGCAAAAGAGGACTTGCGAGGTCAATCCTCGGTTGGTGAAACCACCACGGTCAGCCCTGGATTTTTGTCGTGGTTGGGATGATCATCCCCAATATGGTTCAGTCAGCCATCAGTAAAAGGGGCCTGGATCTATGGTGGCGGATGTGGCAGCTCCACTGGTCACACCAACAGCCAAGAATGCAACAGACCTGAAGTTTTACTCTCCATGAATTGATACAGATATGAAAAGCCAAGGATCCAATTGTCGATTTACTGGAGTGCGCACTGCATCAAACAAAGATCCAAGTGAACATACTCTCCCTGAGGAGGAGTTTCTTCTCCCAGGGAGTCTGTCTACATCTGGGCCAAGAATCTCTTCAGTCCTCCCATGTGAAGATTGAACCTGAACAAACAAGGCTAAGCAAATGTAGCCCATTGCTGTCGACCCGTTCCATCGCAAAAGTTTCAGCTGCCAAGAAAAACAACAACGAATAGTTGACAGGAAGGCCAATCTAAAGTTTCACACGAATTTGTCAGATACTTTGGATCGGTGTATCTGCAAAAAACACTTCCAAAACCACAAGTGCGACCTAGTTTTGCAACGCAAGTTGTGACGAAATCCACCCAGCTGTTCGTCAACGTTTCGGTTCCAAACATTTTTTCGATCGAGGTGCAAGATCACGGTGCGTGTGGTGGGCCCAAAAGAGACATAGGCAACGCTGGCGAACAGAATGAAGAAGGAACACCTCAGGCGCAAACCATACGGAAAGATATCGGTGCATCATTCGCAAAAAAAACGCAAAAAAGGTTGATGGTTCAACCAGATTTGCGGGGATTAGGTAGTTAGATGTAGTGAGTAGCTAATGTCCGACTGTTTGTGGTTTCTCATCATAACTGTCCCAATATCCAATATCCAATCGCGCCAAAGGGCAAGCCAGCCAAAGTCCAGGACATTGTGCCTGTCCCGACGTAAAAAAGGAAAGACCAAGTCAAAAAGTTGCCCTGGTCGTATGGCTAGACATGAAGAAACTGAGACACATGCGCTGCATAAAGGGGCCATGACTGGATCCGATTTTTGGTGACTTGAAACGCAAGTCTTCTTAAGGTGCAAACTCAACATATGTGGGATTCCTAAAATGGGGGATCCCCAGTCGTCACCATAGGTTTCACTACTAAGTCATGGTCTAATGAGTCTAATCACTTAGGATTTGGGGTACCCCAATGACTTCGGAAACTTCCATATGCATGAAGGGACAGCGCGCTTACCGGCCTTTGAATTCTTTCCGCATCTTGGGATGTGTTCCCTCGTACATCGGCAGCACCAAGCCAATGCCTGGCAGTCTTCATAGCTGTGCCCAACCCCAAGATTTGTGTCTCAAAATCAGCAACCAAAAAAAAAAAACATGGATGAAGATCTCAGTCTTCATAGTCTTCTGATTGGGCCATTTTAAGGAGTTTCCGAAGCCCATGCTGAAGGTCAACCCTCAACCTGAGTCATCCTTTGCGCTCGCACAGCCTTCAAAGGCAAAAGCTGCAGTCCCCAAACAGAGGGGATAACCTCAGATCACCAGTGTGGATGATCATGCTGCTCTCCGATTGGAAAAAAGATATATGGCAACCATCTGGTTGGTGGTTTCAACCAACCCCTCTGAAAAATGAATGACTTCGTCAGTTGGGATGATTATTCCATTCCCAATATATGGAAAGTCAATCCAAAGCCAAATTCCATGGTTCCAGTCACCACCAACCAGTGATGATTAACCATCATTAACCATCATTATCCCATTCCAAATCACCAACCAGCCATGAGTTCCAGTCATCCAATCCATCCATTTCTCCCACCAAGTAGCTGTCCATCTTCATCAGGGGAACTTCCCATGGGATCCTCAGCAGCGAAGCTATATATATATATATATGTCAATGGTTATCCCCGGAATTTCCCCAAAAAAAAATAGGGAGTTGTTACGAACATGTCAAAAACGGGATATCGTTCTGTTCTATCGTTTTGGGGGATAACCATATCCCATAGGATCCATGTATGGTATATATGCTAACATTGGGGGTATATTGATGGTAAATGTTACCATATTGAGCATACATGGATCCTATGGGATATTTATATATATATATATTATAAATATATCATGTTCCCCAACATTTCCCATGGTTTCCAAGCAGGTCCAAGCATCACATCATGCAAGCGCGGCACTGCGGCCGCTAGGATCACCTCAATGTGTAAAAAGATCCGGTGCTGTGGGGAGAACTGGGGATAAAACCCACCAGAATTCGTGGATGTTTTTACGATGTATATATATATATCCTATGTAAAATGTATGATATAATGATTGGGCGGAATAACTAGTATAATCTGAAGAAATAAAAGATTGAAAAAAAAAACAGTGAAAACAAGTGGATTTACTCTAGCAATTTGGCTCGGTTCAAGATGTGGCCTTTTTCCTATGAAAAAAACTCACACTGCCAAGCATCAATCAGTCCCAGAAGGATGCAAGCATCTGCCAGCAGATTCAAGGTAGAGAAATGCCTTAGAAGCTGGTGATACAGTGAGCAAATCGGATCGTTCTCCCAAAACCACGGATTTTAAGGGCGAAACTTTTGCTCCACTTGGAGACCAAGGTCGAAGTCATTTCCTCTGGGAGACAGAAGCGTTTTATGGTGAGTCCAAAAACCATATAAACCAATATCAATCATAGGAATGTTGTCATTTTTCATGTTTTCAAAAAAAATGCATTGGTGTTGGAGGGCACTCATAGCTTTTTAGAAACACTCAACTCTTTCCAAGAAGTTGTATCAAAATTGGTCCCGTGGATTAAACCCATTCCAATTTAGCCAGGTCGCTTGAGGCTCCGGATGAGTGCTAGGGGTGTCCACAGCATCGCCAAAAGCAGGCCTCAAGGAGGGAAGAAAAATCTCCGGGCGATTGGGGATAGGTCCCGGATGGGGCTGTTGGAAATGTGGGTGTCTACATAGGCTGTTGAAATGAATATAGCCTCTGGTTATGACTAACATAGCCATGGTATAGATGGCCCATAGAAATAGATGTTTTTTGATGATTTACCTATTCAAAATGGTGATTCTCCATAGCTACGTTAAATAACCAAAGGGATCCAAAGGGTAAATGCGCCATAGTTTGTATTAGTTTGTCTAATTTGCCCAAGCTGGCCATTGATGTGATATTGCTAGATCATTTTTTTACTGGGTGTACATGTTACAAATGGCCAGAAGGAAGAATTCTCATCAAGATTTGGGATGTTCACCGAGTGACAAAGTGAGCGCTGCGACATGACGTGCTGACCTCAAGAGCGCAAATGGGATATGAAAAGAGCACCAGGCGTGGGTGGCTACATCTTTGCACCAGAAATGGATCACCTTTCCTTTGCAAACCATATTTTTTCTGGAAAAAACTTCTGGTGATTTTCCTTAAACCATCTGGTTTTCTGGTGCAAAGATGGTCCAAAAATGGATCCATCTGGTGCCGAGCCGCAGCCCGCCAATGTGCCCAGCACCTCCGAGACGTTGGCGCTCACAAAGACGAAGTACGTGGAGCAAAATCCTCGAAAATCTGAGCGAAAAAGCCAGGATGCCAGGAACAAAACATACCAAAACCATATGGCTATGGATCAATACCTATTGATACCATTTTTAGTGGGATGAACATCCATTTACCAGCTATTTTGATGTTCACCAGGGGTACAAGGTTTTGACCCATCCCCATATCACCAACAGAAATGGTGATCTTTGGCCATGGCGAATCTGGAGAAATCATGAGAAATCCACCACCAGATGGGATATCGATCAACAATGGGTTAGCCACTAGCCGGCAACTTCCAGCAACTTCCAGTCACGCCAGTCACGGCCAGGAATCCCAGTTGCGACACACAAATCGAGAGCTCCACCTTAGATTCGATCATGGTCGCCAAGTGCAAGTCGGGAGCCAAACATCACGAGAGAAGCATAGGAGTCATGCCAAAATCACTGGCATGTGAATGATATTTAATTGAACATAATTCATATGCTGATATCCTGTTTCTGTATGCCTCTGCATCTGAAGGCAATTCGGTCAAAGGCGCCAGCACACGACCAAGTCTGCCAAAGGCCTCTTCGCCCATATCGCCGTAGGAAGGCACTGTGAGTTTCGACAGGCCATGCTCCATATACTGCTGCTGCCGCATGCTCGTCTCTGTCATACGCTTCACTTGCACTGTTTCAGCCTCGGCTCAAGGGCTTGGATCAAATGTCGGGATTGGTAGATCTGTGATTCTGTACCACGAATCAAATGTATCATGTCAGCTTTCCAATGGTTTCCAATTTTCGAGCTCCAGATGTCCCCTATCTGAAGAGAACCTTCCTCGCCAGGCTACGCAATCGATGAGTTTCTTCATGGACACTGTGAAGAGAAAGCAGACTGCTGCCTTGGAAGCACAGCACGGCATGTTTCGTGGCGTTTTCGTCATAGAAATGGGAGGATATCTCTAAAAAATGATCTCTCTAAAAAAAGTTTTTTTGGGATCATATGGTACCCCAAATACCGAATGTTTGGATGATTCTGATGATTCTTGGAATTGCCCCACTTTGGATTTTGGGGCGTCCATCATTGAGTTCTACCCAACCCAACCCAACCAACCCGCCGCCGCCAGCGAGTCTCCAAGGTGACCATGCCCAAGACCAGGCCGCCGTTCAGGAAGCTTCGCGGGAGGTACAATACGGCTGCACCAGCAAAGCCCTTCCTCCAAAAGGGGTGAAACCAGCTGAAACCACTGGAAATTGCTGAAACAACCATGGAATTGGGATTTCTGAAGCGGAATAGGATTCGGACCGTGGAAATGATGGTGAAAACTAACAGCTGGGTTTGAGTTTGGGTGGGCTGGTTTCAAAACTTGTTTCAACTGGAAAGGTGTGGCGACAAGATCGACAAGATCGACAAGATCGAGATCGACAAGTCTCAAGATCATGAGCACCAGGTGGTACTGTTCAGCAATTCCTTCTTTGCCAACCTTGGCTGGGTCAAGTTTGCCATTGGGCCTTGGGCCTTGGGCCTTGGGCCTTGGGCCTTGGCTTCGATAGTGTGGATATCAGTGGATCAAAATCACGGGACTGGGGTAAGTTTGGAAGCTCCTGATTTTGACCCCCAAATGGCTCAATGTCTTAGAACTTGGTGGACTTCTCGCGAAAAACGCCGTTGCAACAACGGCACGCATCCTGGAGGTTTTGGAGCCTCAATATGTCATGGATCCAAGGGGGTCATCTTGCTATTGGACCATCGAATTTTTGGGGGACCGAAAAGAAATGTGACGCCCCGGGCCCCCCAATCCGCGACTTTTTGCCGCACTCGACTCGCCGTAGAGACTTTCAAAGAGGACCTCCACCAACCCCCACATCCACGCAGAAGAATTGTCCCAAACATTCGAATGTTCCAAGTGAGTCTTTTTGTATCAACTGCCAACTGCCCAAAAGAAACTGGCCCTCCTAGTGTTGTCACCCTCAAGATTAGCTCCTCTTACATGCTGCAAATCATCACAGGTTGGAAGCCCCCCTGCCGTGGAAGTGTTTCCACACTGGGACGTTACACAGTGATTTTTTCCTGATGATGACTTGTGCTACAGCACATCCTAGGAATATATGCTTGAGTTGAGAGAACAGAATTTGCATCACGACCATCATTGAAACTGTCTGCTCCGTTTACCGGCTATGTTGGTTACCAGAGTGTGCTTATTCTGCTGTAGGCAGTTCATGTGAACCCCCATGATTCTCTTTCAAGTTTTGGGTCCGGGAACACTCAATGCTCCTGGCCCATTGAAACGTGGACAGTGGAGGCGTCAGTCGTGCCGCGTTGCGACTGAAAACTGGAAAAAAATGATCTACTTGTACTACCGCTGCGATTCACGCCGTCCCACTGGATGTTGCAACTGCTACTAGTTTAGACTTTTGGACTATGATACGGCTATGATACTATGACCTGAAATGTGGAGAACATTTTCGTTGCACCAGATGAGAGAAATGTCCATCCAAATCCAAAGAAGAACTGGGAAAGAAGGTCGGATAAAAACATGCCAGTGCTGCAGGTTCCACATCCTTTCCAAACTCTGCTCACAACAGTATCAGTTTTTCATAGTTTTTCACGAGCGATATGCAGCTCCGAGGAACTACCCGTCCGCAGCATGCTGTCAGCATATGGAGATGAAACCAAAGAGCGAAGTAAATCAAAAAGGAGTCATTGAGTTTCGGTATATGCTGCTAACTTGCACCTTATACACGGGACCGGAATAAGCAAGGTGGAAGCCAAACAACCCGAAAATTGCCAGAGCAAATTGAAAATAAGAGGAGAATACAAGCTGTCTCGGAGAACAGTCCCGGTTTTCGCACAGTATCAGTATCTGTCAGTTTTTTGTTATCCTTCTGTTTCCACAAATTTCTTCATTTGTTGGTCACGGTCAGGGACACCCAACGTGAACTCGTGCGGATTGATCACCACCCGAACGTCCGATTGACTCAGGAGGTGAGAGCCTCAGCGCGAGGAGGGGTTTCACGTCGGCCATGTCATGGCCATGTCGTCGTATATCTTATCATTAGTTTATCAATACAGAATAATGGTTAAACTATGTTGAACTGTTGAACTTATCATTAGTTTAATGATATGACATTGTATTTCTGTATATCCCCATGAAATGTTGACTCATCAGCCAACAGGAATCTTCCCATCAATATCGCAATATCTATCTCTCACTCCCCCAAAACATCTCCCAGGAAATTGCCCAAAATCCCCCATATTTTTCCCAGTGACATCAGTTCCACCATCAGTTCCCGCCACCATTTGACCAAGCAGCCAGGCCCGCCGCCTGTTGTCCCATCATCCCCGCAACCCCGAAGAAGTAGCCGATCAGCGCCGCAGGGCCAATCGCCTTCAGATACCATCCGAAGGAGACTTTCTCTTCCTGACATGGCGACCATGACGACCATGGCACCATGGGATACCATGGGATACCATGGGACCAGGAGAAAATCTGGGAAAATGTGGAAATTCCTGGTGGGAAACACCCTGAATTCGATGAAAATATGAAGTGAACTCGGAAAAGATGGAAGAAAATGATGACAGTTTGTGGGGAGGACTGGCGAAACCATGCGAAAGCCATGGGAAAATCGGGAGTGAACTCATGTTAATTCAGTTTTGGGGGGGAAGTGAACTCTGAAAGAAACGGGGAATTCACTTGCGAAACCCTGAATGTAAAGCCAAGAAGACGGGGAGTGAACTGAGAAAATTAGGAATTAATCCATCTTCAGATGCTGAATTTTGACTTCGAAAATGGGAAAATTTCTGAGTGCCAGCGGCAGTTGATGAGCGGATGGTCAGGAGATTCCAGTAAGGGCTGGCCAAATGGCGATGGATATTTGGTCTGGAAAGTTTAACCAAGTTCCCTAATTTCTTGGCTGGTCTCCTGTACCTAATTCCACCAAAAATCCGCTATCAAGTGTGAGGACGAGTTTAAAAATGTTTCATCCTTAGCCCATCCTCGACCCCCAGTCCGATACGGCTATGGTTCAAATTCTGGTCCCCCTGGTGAACAGCAAGAATAGCTGGAATTTCTCGATGTACATTGATGTTCATCGCGCCAAGTATGCTACTTCACAGGTGTTGATTGAAAATATCCCAAGTGACATCACCAAAGTTCAAAGAATATCCCAAAAAAACAAATTCAAAAAGAGGTTCACAATAAATAAATTTATTTAAAAAAAAAACTCACCCATCCACCCATCATTTCTGGTGATATGTCCAACCATCCCATGATCCGCCAGGACGCCATTCCCATGAAGGCCACCCCCGCGGCGGAGCCGATGACCAACAAGGAGCCACCGGTGGCTGCGCAGTAGGTGATCAAGTTCCACAATGCATCCTGAAACCCAAACGCCACTGCCATTCTGAGAAAAATTGAGCTTCGGGAGATTTCGGGACTTCTTTTTGGTGATTTTATGGGATAATGTGGTATAGTCTGGGGATTATTGTGAATAAGATGGGATCAGATTGGGAATATATGGGGATTCTATGGGGATATAAATTCTCAAAATTATGATGTGCCAACACTGCAGAACCATCCAGCTTATTCTGTCTATTCTGGCTCCAGAATTCTCAGTACCATGGGATTCCTGAGATCCAAAACTGCTTAGGTCTGTGTCTGTTTTTTTGGTACCGCGTTTTCCTCAAGAATATGTGAAGTAATGTCCAAGATTACCCCATGATGGAAACAAAAGATTCCGACGCACCAGAAAAGCCATCATGAGTGGGGAAAAAACTGGTGTTTTTTTCCAAAGGTGCTGCTGATGTTTCTGGCGCCATCAGAAATCTGCCTACCATCTTTCGGACAACTGGAACTCCAAGGTCCAAAATGTCCAAGGCGCATCGGGGGGGTGCTGGGTGAGGTCATACATGCCCTGAGAGGCAGCCACCAAGGGCACCTCAAGGTGACTGCCAAGATCATCCACCCAATGGTGGTTTTTTGGTGCACCCAATTTCTTCAACAACATCTTCACTTGTATGGGATTATATGGGATTATATGGGATTATATATGGATAAGCCATATTTTTCTTGTGCCCAATTCTTGAGATACTGATCAGATACTGCATAAACCCGATGATTGCGCCATCTTGGGATGTGGCCCATTCTGCTGTGCGGTAGAGACCAGGCACGTTGTCCACGACTGCTGAGGCGAAGCCAAGCAAAATGGCCACCTGAGAAATTCCCCCAAAATGGGATAAACACGAACGATGTTTTAAAAATGGGATACCATAGAATTCAATGAAATCCAAAAAATGACATAGGTCGAAAATGGCATATACATATACAGTATATTATATAATATGTATAAATATATAATATGTAATGTGTATATATATAAATATATACATATGAGTAGATGAATGGGCTACGCATGATAGAATTATAGTAAGTCATAGATGACATCCCACATCGCAAGTTGGAGCGTCTGGATCCCCTTGGGGGGATCCCCTTTTTGGGGATCCATCGGATGAACTGAAATTTTCCACCAAAATAGTGTTGTTGAAGCACTATTTTAAGCGTTCAAAAAACCAATAAAAAATGAAAAAAAAGTGTTTTGTTCCCCATGTTTTTAGCAGAAACGATCCAAAAACCCAAAATTGGTGTTTTTTGAATCCGAGTACCACGGAGTCTGCAGGGCAAATCTCGCTGAGTTTCTCGGCCAGGGCCTCAAATGGATGGCTTCCAACGGAAAAAAATATGGGTGTTTGCTTTAAAATAGTACCCCCAAAGCCAATCTGGTTGGTGGTTTCAACCTACCCCTCTGAAAAATGATGGACTGAAAGTCAGTTGGGGTTATGACATTCCCAATATGATGGGAAAGTCAATCCAAATTCCATGGTTCCAGTCAGCACCAACCAGCAATGGTTCAATGGTCAATCATCATGTTCCTATGAAATGGCTGGAAGAATTTCGCCCATGTACCCCATTTCCAAAAAAACACCAGTAAAAAAAAATGATGATGGAAATCGGACCCATCAACGGAGGTCCAAAAAGCTGGGAAAATCCATCGAAGTGCTGCGGTTGGTTGTCCAGCCAGATGACTGATTGCCGGAGGCTATCATGCTCTTCATTGGGTGATAAAAACATGATTATCTACAATCAGTTATGATTATCATAAGTTTAGTGGATCGTTAGTTGATTATTTGTCTATTATGAGTTTAGTGGATTATCCTCTGGTAAACTAACATAACTATGGGAAATCACCATTTTCAATGGGAAAATCCATTATGAATGGGCCACTTTCAATAGCTATGTTAAATTACCAGAGGGTACATTAGATTGTCAACCATCGCCATTTTAGTGGATTACCACAAATGACTTTAGTGGATGAAATCATGTCAAATCATCCACGTAGCTTCTCACGTTCAGTAGGTATCAAAATGGAGTAAACCATGACTGATCTTGGAGCATTGTTAACTCCTTATTTTTGTCAAACGAAACCGGCCATATTTAGGCAAGTTCACATCAGAATCCATTCTATCTCATTTTGAATTCGTTTATCCAATCTGTTGAGGTCAAAACCCAGTGGTGTCATTTAGTAGAAATGAACTGAAAAGAAGCAAACCCCGAAAAAGAGTTTAAAAGTAAACTCCTAACATAGTGAGATTTATCATGATTTATCAGTCAAACCTATCTGAAAAACTGGAGCGGTGTTTTCAAACTTCTCCGATTTCCGGCCTTGAGGATGCCAACTCTCTCAAGGCCACCAACGGCAAAGAGCACACCCAAGAAGAAGAGGGCCTTCGGTGACGCAAATTTTCATCGCCATGTGGGAGAAGTTTTGGGAGAATCTTCATGTGAGGTTTGATACTTGTAGATGTTGATTCTTGCTTAAGGGAAACTAATCTGGGAAGCAAATGAACCAGCAGCTGGGTGGTGTTTGTGGTGAATTGCCTTCAGATTTCATGGCTGCAGCCTTTTTGTAATCCTCACCTTTTGGTTAATGGATGTCATGGTGGAACTCCCCTAGAAACGTCTATGGAACCAACTAGTCTCCAAATGTGGATTTCTCCCCATTTTTACAGATGATATACCCTGAAGTTGGTTCAGATTTCATCTCCCCATTGGGTTTTCACGAAAACCATGGCTCCGACACACGCTCCGATCCAAGGTGCATCTGCCATTTCGATCTTCTGCAGAGCATGGTGCAAGGAGAAGTGGCTGTCATGAGGATGGAGCAGAGAAACGATCAAGGACAGAATACCTGGGATGAAAAAAATCACTGGATGTGTACCAGCTGTATACACTCATCCGCTCTGTGAAACCAATCCCAACAACTCTGGGACCGTATCAGATGCATATTCTAAATGAATTGCTTCTGAGATGATGAGAAGTGACTGAAACATATCAACATTTGATGACCATGAGATGACAGCATCGATGCCACCCAAGATCCCACATTCCCAACCTGCATCAACCTGCAACTTGCAACCCAGAGACCCAGGTTCAACATCATTCCACTCCTCAGGTGGAGGACACAACTGAGCAATCTCATCCAGGTGAGTTTGAAAGAGTCAGCTGAGCGGTGGCAAAAACTTTATTGAATTCTTTTCTACTAAGTTACTACATGTCTTCCGTGCTGCTTCCACGACCACAGTTTGAGCTTCCGCGGGTGACTGGCAAGTTGATTCTGCTTCTGCAAAAGAAGTTCATGAAGATTGTAAGTTGATGCTTCCGCGGTCGGACAATCAGCTTCCGCTCCCGCAAGCACCGCGGACGTGGGTTTCACTTCCGCGGACCCAACTTAGTTTCATCTCCACAAAACTTTCTTTCTTGGAGGTTTTTGACGCTGCTCAGCTGGCTATGCGGCAAAGAGCCGCATCCGAAACTTCCGCCACCAAGCACCGGAAGTATTTCAGCCATGAAGGTTTTACTCGGTTTGACCTGAAAACTGATTTCACTCGCCACGTAGGTTTTAGTTTTCAGGCCATCTGCCAAGATCTGCCAAGATCTGCCAAGGCTCCATGCAGGGCACTGGGTGACTCCGCTGAAGACGGGCACGAAGATCATTCCAGCGAGGCCTCCCCAGAAGACGAAGGACTGTCCCACGGGCGCCTTCTGTTCGCCGCCTTCGGCCTGCGTCGTCGCGGAAGGGCCTTTTTTGGAGGTGAAGCTGGGGAGAAAAGCAGTTTCACGGAATCGATCCGTTGAAATCTAAGTCATTCTAAGTCTATCTTCAAATCTAAGAAGCTATAGCAGCTAGGATCTAAGATCATCTAAGTCTACATCCAGAAGCATTCTATCATGTCTCTCTGTCAGGCCATTCCTCTGCCAACAATCGAGGCACCGGCCTTGGGTCGTTCAAAAGTTCCATCATCCATCTGCATGAGCTCCCATCCAAGGGTGCCAATCAGGCCTAGGTCGGTGTGCCATTGGTTGACTTGGCAATTGCGGTTCCTACCCCATACATCTCCATCCTCCATACCAGACTCCATACCTAAAGTGGAACCCCCTTCTCAATCTCGGAGTTGCAAAGTTTCCCGCATCACTTTGGGCGAATCGGGGCTAATCTTGGGTCAAAACGGTCAAACTTTGGGAAATCTGTAGTCAATCAAGGCAACCTCGCGGCGCGGAAAGCAGCGCCTAGTCCCAGCCAAGAGACACATGATGCTAGGGAAAATGAGATTTCCCAACAGCGGCACGGTGGTCACCTGCGCTCGACAGTCGAGGACCATGATTTCCCATCCCGGAAGATTCCCCGCCTGTCCGCCGATGTACAACATGGTGGTGGTAATATCTCCTTGCCGTGACCCAAGCTGTTGGTGAAAAACAAAACCATACAAAACCTAAAAACCAACCACCGCAGGTATACCCAAGCTACTACCCTGTATACTATTCCACTAAGTGCTGATCGAAACATGTTGAAACCAACGAGTTTTTTGATTCGATTCCCAGCACATGGGTTCTCGTAATTCGCAACCCAGTAGGATTGGGCACGTACCAACTAGGTTGCGCAGTTCATGTAGCAATATGTTTGGGGTAAATATTCCGGAAGATACAAGCATCTTGTGTGCCCTTTACCCGCATGTTTTCCATATTTATCGTTCATATCCCTAGTATATAATCAAAGAATCCCAGATTTGCTGAAGGGAGATCTACCTGAGAGCAGCATCTGAAATGGTTTATCAGCTTATCACCCTTTTCTCCGGAGCTTGGTGCTAGGCTGATGGGCCAATGGGTGTTTCTCATGAATTGGTCCCCATTTCGCCTGTAGCCCCATCGATGGTGGGTACTAGGCTGATTCCCCCACATGTCTTAATTATCATTCTGTCCATGTTCATGTGTAATCCCCGTTTCCCGCTTTTACTAAAACTCCCCTAAATAATAAAAACTACCCCAGATTATTTGTTTTGGGAAAATTCAGATTGGCCAATTTGACTTTTAATTGATTCCCTTCAGAAAACAATTTAAAATTCAAGGTCCATTTGAAGGTTCTACCCCTTAATAATTAAAACTATAGTTAACCCTGGTGAGTTGTTTATTCGAGTCCGATTGTTAAAATCGAACATTTTAGTTGTGTGTTTTTATTACGGTTTTAAACTTAATATTACAGGAAAGCATCGAAACCCATTTTTTGGTAATATGTTAATCAGATTTTAAAAGAAATGTTTAGTTTTTTAATTAATGTGTTTGATTTGATATTAGGGGAAAGCTTCGAAATCCAATTTTTTGCAATATTTCAGCTAGATTTTGAAAAGGAATTTAATCGATTTTGAAATCGACATGTTTAGTTGTTTTAATTCAGAAATTTAATATTAGAGGCCAGCTTCTCCCCCGAATATTAAATACCCCCTAAAAATAAAAACTACCCCTAGGTTTTATTATTTGGGGGGGAGGGGGGGACGTTTAATATTAGGCTGAAGGGATTTAAAAAAATCGACAACCTAAAAACTGGCCAAGTGTTCGTTTCCCAAAAACTCACCAAAAATTTGGATGATTGTAGCGTCCCCTTTCTGGCGAAACCCCAACAGATATCCTGTGAGTTTCTTCGCCAAGGTTCCCATGGGCGTCCACGCACCTCCGGCGTTGGATGCCACGACCACCAGGCCGCCCAACTTCATTCGGAAGGCATCTTCCTACGAAAACCAAGGATTTGGGATGATGATATATTAATTAGGATTTGCTGTGAAAACCAAGGATTTAGCAAACAAAATCGGCATTGAAATAAGACAAATTGAGCGGTGATGAATGAAATTATCAATAAGTTAACTTCAAAAGATCGAAAATCAGTGTTCAACACACACAGGGATGATTTTTCACGGACAGTGTTGGGGAATAGCAGCACGGGGTCAAGTCACAAATGATTGGTTTTCGAGCCTTTTTCCCACCAAAAATGGATAAAAAATCATCTTTTGACTAACAAAACTTATGTTCTACCCATGAAAATTGAGAGTTCAGCCTTGACCCCGTGGCATGGGACGAATAGCCACAACTGCCATGGCCACAACTGCCATGTTCAATTCTGGAGGTCGAAGGTCGATGATCTTGGAAAATCAAAAACTCTTCGAAGTGAAAAAGTTGGAAATCACCCAAAAATCGGGTCATGTCACCACCACATGTGGCTTCGAAAATCTGGTCATCCCCATTTCTTCATGGCCATCGAAGGAATTGATGATGATAGAAATCAACCTGGGAGTACCATATTGTCAAAGAAAAATCCATACATCGATGACGAAAAAAAAGGATGATCTGCTTCAAGTTGAGAGAACGAGAATCTTGACCTTGTAGAATTGATCAAAGATATACCGGCAGACGCTAACATTGCTTATGTGTTTTCTCTGAATCATGATGCCTATGTTGGCTCATGTTGGCTCTTTTTCATGCTGTATAACTCTGATATGCTTGATGAATGGTCAGTGGCTTCATGTACCAACAGCCGAAACAAAAAAGTCCTTCACCAGTTTCTTCAAGAGGGACACCATGACGATGACCACTGTCCTCGGAGACATCAAAAAATCCTGCTCCTCAACCAGTGGACATCTCTAGGTGGGCGGAAATCCCTGCGATTTTTGTCGTTCCGGGATTTTGGATCGGAGCAGTTTTCAGAACTCTGGATCCAGATTTTTTCGCCCAGCGGCAAGTTGTTCAACACAGAGGAGAGCCTGATGCTGGAAACAGTCCCATCCCCATACCCGAAAACACCCCGCCATAATATGGACCCGCAAAGATCGAATAGATCGAATCTAATACGAAACCAGGGCTTCATTTGAAGGGTTCTGAAGATTAGTCTGAAGTGATTACACAAAAAACATCAAAAAACTGTAGTACAGAACCGTGAAAATTGTGTACCATGACATCATCGGCCAAGTCATCCTCCAAATCCAACCACATCGAACTCAATGAGACATGTTCCAGTTCGCAAACTGTTTATCGTTGGTGAGTATCCCATGGATATACCCCATGTTTATATACCATGAAAGTCACCACCAAAAAGTCTATGAGTCTATTCTATGCTTCAACCATGTGGTTCAACTGGTTCAACCACCATTAAACGTACATTAAATCCACTTAAAAAGGTTGTGAACATCTCCATCTCAAGTCAGATATCATAGATATCTCCAAGGAACAAGAAGGTCAAGACGCCGATGATGACCAGCAACTCCTTCTTCTTGGTCGCCTTGATCGACGCGGTGATGATGTCGAATCCCTTGTGCGCATCCATGATCTCCACCACCTCGAAGCCATGGCGAAGCCATGGCATAGTAAGGGATGAAAGGAATGATAAGTCTATACTGTGAGATACATTAATATGAACTAAACTTGGATTATATATGTATAATATTATATATGTATATATAATACGTATTTTTATATATATATGTGGCAGGGACCTTTGGGGTCTATTTCGTTCGTTGGCCTAGAAAGGCATCTTCTTCAATCTAATGAGCGCTACAGCAAACATTTGTATAATCGCGCGAGACTTTCCGAAGCGCTGGACGTTGATCGGAGACAGTAACTGGGATGGGAGGGTGGGACTGTTAAACACATGTACTGGCTTGCTCGTTGCTGCGCCCTTGCTGCAAAGCTCAGATGAAGGGCTGGGCACGCAGAATCTTTTGAAACTGAACATGTTCATCCACAACCTCCTGCAGCGCTCTGCGTGGATATAACGTTTTGGTTTCTTCATCCATGGGTATGGGATGGATCTGTTGCAGCCTCCATTTCCACGGTGGTGACTTCAATGGGCGGGAAGGCTGGGCGGGAAAACTGCTTCAAGTTTGCTGAAAAAGTTCCGCCAAAGGCTGGGCACTTTCTAGTTTTTTCGACGGAACATGTTTAAACACAACCTCCAGCAGCGCTCTGCGTGAGCATGACGTTTTGGTTTCTTCATCCGTGGATATGGGATAGATCTGTTTCAGCCTATGTCCATGGTGGCGACTATGGACGGGAAGGCTGGGCGGAAAACTGCTGCACGCTTGCTGAAAAAGCTCTGCCAAAGGTTGGGCAGACAAAATATCGACTTTTTCAACGGAACATGTTTACCCACAACCTACTGCAGCGCTCTGCGTGAGTATGACATTTTCGTTTCTTCATTCATGGATATGGGATGGGTTGTTTCAGCCTCCATGTCCGTGGTGGCAGCAATCATGGATGGGAGGGCTGGGTGGGAAAACGGACGTGCTGGCTTGTGTGCTGTTGGGCGATTGCTGATGGTTGGGCACGCGAAGCTCCTTGTCAACGCTTCGTTAACCCGACAACGCGGTCCATATTGGAACAAGCCAGGCAACACCAACCACAGGCCCCAATCGTGCCTCCTCGATTGCAGTGAACCCTTGCAAGCCTACCAGGGCACTTGGTGAGACTGTTGCAAAAACTAAACAAGGAAGGTGGCACAGGACTTGCATCGCTTCGGACTTGCAAACACATCTTCAACACACATGTCACATATGCATGAACAGAGGCTTGGACTTTCTTTTCTCCAATCCGATGCACTGCTGCACGCTATCGTCGAAGCCTTTTCGGCTTGACGCCGGAAGATCGCCAATCCGATGCACTGCTGCACGCTATCGTCGAAGCCTTTTCGGCTTGACGCCGGAAGATCGAATCGAGTGCACACGTTTGACAGGTGGACTGTCCTCTTTCCGCGTCTCTTCATGGGGATTGTTTGCTTCCACTTCTGTACCTTTCTGGCTTCCGCTTGCCGCGCCCGATGCAAAGGTACAGGTGCCTTGGCAGACGAGCAACAGTTTTGCCAGGTGGCATCGGTCCAGACATCAGTGGCCACTGCCCGCGCAAGCAGGACAGCTTCTGAAGTCTGCTGCACCGTAGGAAAACACGAGGCGACATGATGGGCGAGCACCTTGCCAAACTGCATAATTTCAAGCTTCAGCCGCAGTGTGCTCTGGTGCAATGAACGGATGGACTTAGTCCACGAATTTATCTCGGCATGAAGGGACTCATTAGAGGACGTGCCGCTTGGCAGCAACCCCCGCTCTAGAGGGGTTAGATCGTGCCGCACACGGAGGTTGTTCATCAGCCATTCCAATCTATCTGGTGCTGTGGCTGCCCAAAGAACCTTCCTAATTTCTTTGTTGGAGCCTGTCACTTTACGGCTCACCTCATGTGGGTACGTTGCACAAAGGGCGGCTAATGCCTCAATGAAGGTGATTCGGCAGAACAAAGGCGAATCTGGATGAAGGTTGTCCAGGATGCGTTTGGCCCTGGTTGCGCCCATGCTGCCGTCAGTGATGAGATGTCGTGCCCGCCCTTCATCGCGAGTCAGGCTTGGCGGTGCGGTGCCAGTGAAGAGGGGCCCCCAAGAGCTGGAACGCATGTTCGGGGCTACCTGGTTCATCTTATGTAGCAAACACCGTAGAACTTTCGATCCAGCCGTCTTCTTCCCCCACTGGGCATATTCGTAGACAATGGCCAGATGAACAGGATCCAAGGAGAGGCAGCTCAGGTTTGGGCAGATCTCTTTCAACTCGCGGAAGAGCTTAGGAGAGGGGTTGTCCGTAGCTAAATATCGAACCTGGAACAATGCCTGGTTGGAGAAAAGATTGCGCAGAGATTCCTTGATCTTTGGTGACTCTTCACTCGGAACAGGAACCATGCCTAAGACGGCACCGGTACGCCCCCTGATAGTCAGCACCCTTCTCAAAGAATGCTCATCATCAAAGCAAGCCGCATTTCGGGTTTGGGCCGATGCTCTATAGTTTGCTTGTCCCTGCACAGTCATGCAGACTTTGAGTGTAGCATCAATGGACAAGCACAAGAATTCCTGACTGTGTTCCAAAGTTTTGAAGATGGAGCTCTTCAAGCTTTGGACTTGATAGGACATGTAGATGTCCTCCACAAGAGGCCACCAATGACGTGTATGGGAAGAGTACAAGTTCCCAAGCATGTTGCCGGCTTCCAAAGCCCGCAAATGTACACGAGGCCAAATGCTCTTGAGCTCAGAAAAGAACTATGAACATCATTCCAAGGCATGGTTGACACCGTAAAAAAAATATGATCCTGCTCTGACACAAGTTAAAACGATGACATTGCACGTGCATGTTCTGCTGCTGCCAAGGAACACTCGAATGGTGCAAGACAATTTCCCTGTAGACCATTTCGGCAAAGGATTTGTCGTAATAGATGTTCAACACTCTGCGGGCAACGATTTGTTCTCCAAGGGCCTTTTGGTTGACATATCTTGGACCGTCTTTCTCTAGCAGCAGGCGTAGGTTCTTGTCAATCAAACTCTTGTTGCGGTCGAGAGGAGGAACCACTTGAGTTCTAAGGAGCATGGCACTGCGAAACAAGTAGTCTGCACCGTTCTCTTTGCGGACAGAATCTGAATCGTGCAAGGCCAAAATCACTTTTAACTGCTTCTTTCCTGAGCACACAAACTGCTTGGCGGCGACATGATGGCGCCTCAGGTGATCAGAGAGCTGGCACAATCGACCAAAAGCTCGGAAAGGGCAGAAAGGGCAACAGTATGCACCGTGCATCTTCCGAATGTTGTTGTGCTCAATTTCTTCCATGAAAGCATGAACTTCCTCCTCCAAGGAATCTTTGATGATGTCTTGGAAAGTGATTTGGCCCTCGTCGTCGATCACGAAGCGGGGCTCTGCTGGCTCTCCGCCCTCGTCATCGTCGTCAGAACTTGCACCGCCTTGCTTATCATCTGAGCTGCCGCCTTGAACATCATGACCCTGTTTGAATTCCCGAAGCTTCTGTCTGCACAGCATCACCTGCGACTCCCAAGTCCTCTTGCTTATCCCCCCATCGCATGGGTTGGGAATCTCACCCAAGAAGTCTGAGGCATGCAATGTATCACAATGATTCCTGAGCATAGATATGTACACCCTCAATCTTTTTTCTACGCGGGTGACCAGCGCAGAATCTTGAATACTCCGCTACCAGCTCCCCTACCAGCTCCGCTACCGACATGCAACAGCAGCAACACCAGCCCCACATCCGATATAATTCGGTGACCGATAAGGCTCCCTTTTCGCAACTTTTTAGGGTGGGTGGGTTCTAGCTTGTAGCCAAAACGACAACTGCCCTAACAGAGCTGTTATACCTCTCTTGTTTGTCGGCCTTTTGGTTTCTCATAGACCATCTCCAGCAGACAGTTCGGCCGTGTTGCCCAAAGCAAACAAAGGCACCATCAAGCAATCAAGCATGTGATTCCCTCCCGCAACACCAGCTAGGAATACTCCGCTACCACCTCCCCTACCACCTCCTCTACCGACATGCAACAGCAGCAACACCAGCCCCACATCCGATATAATTCGGTGACAGATAAGGCTCCCTTTTCGCAACTTTTTAGGCTGGGCGGGTTCCAGCTTGTAGCCAAAACGACAACTGCCCTAACAGAGCTGTTATACCTCTCTTGTTTGTTGGCCTTTTGGTTTCTCATAGACCATCTCCAGCAGACAGTTCGGCCGTGTTGCCCAAAGCAAACAAAGGCACCATCAAGCATGTGATTCCCTCCCGCGAAACCAGCTAGGAATACTCCGCTACCAGCTCCCCTACCAGCTCCGCTACCGACATGCAACAGCAGCAACACCAGCCCCGCATCCGATATAATTCGGTGACAGATAAGGCTCCCTTTTCGCAACTTTTTAGGGTGAGTAGGTTCTAGCTTGTAGCCAAAACGACAACTGCCCTAACAGAGCTGTTATACCTCTCTTGTTTGTCGGTCTATTAGCTTCTCACGCAGCATCCGTCAGTCTAGATTGTACAATGAAACATGAATGGTCCCTGCCAAATCAATAATATGTCATATGTACTATGCCATCATATTTCAAAGGTTTTTTGTTTTAGAAAAAGAACTATATATTATAATATGTTAATGGGAAAAATGCAAGCCAAGAACAAGAATATACAAAAAGGTACAACCAGAAGCTTAAAGAACAAGCTTAAAAATGTTAAAAGGTAAGTCCAGCAAAGCAAATACAAAGGCAAAAGCCAAGAAGCAGGCGCAAAAACGAAGACACAGACGCAAAGGCCCAGAAGCAAGCGCAAAAGCCAAGAGAAAGGCGCAAAGGCCAAGAGACAGGCGCAAAGGCCAAGAAGCAGGCGCAAAAACGAAGAAACAGATGCGAAAGCCAAGAGGCAGGCGCAAAGGCCAAGAGACAGGCGCAAAGGCCAAGAGACAGGCGCAAAGGTCAAGAGACAGGCGCAAAGGCCAAGAGACAGGCGCAAAGGCCAAGAGACAGGCGCAAAGGCCAAGAGACAGGCGCAAAGGCCAAGAGACAGGCGTAAAGGCCAAGAGACAGGCGCAAAGGCCAAGAGACAGGTGCAAAGGCCAAGAGACAGGCGCAAAGGCCAAGAGACAGGCGCAAAGGCCAAGAAGCAGGCGCAAAACCAAGAAACAGCCGCGAAATGTAAGAAGCAGGCGCAAAGGCCAAGAGAAAGGCGCAAAGGCCAAGAGAAAGGCGCAAAGGCCACGAGACAGGCGCAAAGGCCAAGAGACAGGCGCAAAGGCCAAGAGACAGGCGCAAAGGCCAAGAGACAGGCGCAAAGGCCACGAGACAGGCGCAAAGGCCAAGAGACAGGCGCAAAGGCCAAGAGACAGGCGCAAAGGCCAAGAGACAGGCGCAAAGGCCAAGAGACAGGCGCAAAGGCCAAGAGACAGGCGCAAAGGCCAAGAGACAGGCGCAAAGGCCAAAGGCCAAGAGACAGGCGCAAAGGCCAAGAGACAGGCGCAAAGGCCAAGAGACAGGCGCAAAGGCCAAGAGACAGGCGCAAAGGCCAAGAGACAGGCGCAAAGGCCAAGAGACAGGCGGCCAAGAGACAGGCGCAAAGGCCAAGAGACAGGCGCAAAGGCCAAGAAGCAGGCGCAAAACCAAGAAACAGCCGCGAAATGTAATCCTTTTTAATCCGTTTAATCCTTTTAATCCCCCAGAGATCTGGAGTCTAAGGCCCAAGCATTGGATTAAATGATTTAATCCTTTTAATCCTTTTAATCCCCCAAAGGCTCTGGAGGATTAAAAGGATTAAATGCTTGGTCCTACATTGGGGTTCTGGGGGCTCTGGAGGATTAAAAGGACTAAAAGGATTAAAAGGATTAAAAGGATTAAATGATTTAATCCTTTTAATCCTTTTAATCCCCCAAAGGCTCTGGAGGATTAAAAGGATTGAAAGGATTAAAAGGATTAAATGCTTGGTCCTCACATTGGGGTTCTGGGGGCTCTGGAGGATTAAAAGGATTAAAAGGATTAAATGATTTAATCCTTTTAATCCATTTAATACCCCAAAGGCTCTGGAGGATTAAAAGGATTAAATCATTTAATCCTTTTAATCCTCCAAAGCCTCTGGAGGACTAAAAGGATTAAAAGGATTAAATGCTTGGTCCTCACATTGGGGTTCTGGGGGCTCTGGAGGATTAAAAGGATTAAAAGGATTAAAGGATTAAAAGGATTAAATGATTTAATCCTTTTAATCCTTTTAATCCCCCAAAGGCTCTGGAGGATTAAAAGGATTAAAAGGATTAAATCATTTAATCCTTTTAATCCATTTAATCCCCCAAAGGCTCTGGAGGATTAAAAGGATTAAAAGGATTTAATCATTTAATCCTTTTAATCCTTTTAATCCTCCAGAGCCCGCAGAACCCCAATGTGAGGACCAAGCATTTAATCCTTTAATCCCCCAAAGGCTCTGGAGGATTAAAAGGATTAAAAGGATTAAATGCTTGGTCCTCACATTGGGGTTCTGGGGGCTCTGGAGGATTAAAAGGATTAAAAGGATTAAATGATTTAATCCATTTAATCCCCCAAAGGCTCTGGAGGATTAAAAGGATTAAAAGGATTAAATCATTTAATCCTTTTAATCCTTTTAATCCTCCAAAGCCTCTGGAGGACTAAAAGGATTAAAAGGATTAAATGCTTGGTCCTCACATTGGGGTTCTGGGGGCTCTGGAGGATTAAAAGGATTAAAAGGATTAAAGGGATTAAAAAGGATTAAATGATTTAATCCTTTTAATCCTTTTAATCCTTTTAATCCCCCAAAAGCTCTGGAGGATTAAAAGGATTAAAAGGATTAAATCATTTAATCCTTGTAATCCATTTAATCCCCCAAAGGCTCTGAGGATTAAAAGGATTAAAAGGATTAAATCATTTAATCCTTTTAATCCGTTTAATCCCCCAAAGGCTCTGGAGGATTAAAAGGATTAAAAGGATTAAATCATTTAATCCTTTTAATCCTTTTAATCCTTTTAATCCCCCAGAGATCTGGAGTCTAAGGCCCAAGCATTGGATTAAATGATTTAATCCTTTTAATCCTTTTAATCCTCCAAAGCCTCTGGAGGATTAAAAGGATTAAAAGGATTAAAAGGATTAAATGCTTGGTCGTCACATTGGGGTTCTGGGGGCTCTGGAGGATTAAAAGGATTAAAAGGATTAAAAGGATTAAAAGGATTAAAAGGATTAAAAGGATTAAATGATTTAATCCTTTTAATCCTCCAAAGGCTCTGGAGGATTAAAAGGATTAAAAGGATTAAATCATTTAATCCTTTTAATCGATTTAATCCCCCAAAGGCTCTGGAGGATTAAAAGGATTAAAAGGATTTAATCATTTAATCCTTTTAATCCTTTTAATCCTTTTAATCCTTTTAATCCTCCAGAGCCCCCAGAACCCCAATGTGAGGACCAAGCATTTAATCCTTTTAATCCTCCAGAGGCTTTGGAGGATTAAAAGGATTAAAAGGATTAAATGATTTAATCCTTTTAATCCGTTTAATCCCCCAAAGGCTCTGGAGGATTATAAGGATTAAAAGGATTAAATCATTTAATTCTTTAAATCCTCTCAATTTTCCAAAAAGCTTTAAACATTATGAGAATTAACCGGAACAAAATGGTACCTAAAGGGCTCTCGATCATATATATATATGACTTAGACTGTTTGTCTGAAATATGGTTTTATACGCACCTCATGCCATTTTGTTGTCACTTTCCATTCCTGGGTCTCCCCTCTCGTCCCTTCCTGTCTCCATCCAGTGACTTTCCGCCCAAGGCTCTGTCAGAGCACCCACCAAGAAGAAGACCACCTCGCTGACGTCGTGCAAGGTCTCCGCCACAGCCTCCTCGAACTCCTCGCGACGTTGTGAAACGGTGAATCCTAATGGCAATGGAAAGAAAAGACATGGAGATGGTAATTCATATGGCAATTAATATTGATATATAATCTTTTGTCAATATGTGAAATATGGATTAGTATGGATATAATATGGAAAGAGTTAAAATAGCTTTTGAAATGGAAAAGATTTAAAATAGAACTATTTAAATCTATTTAATAGCTAAAGGGTCAACCACCAACCAGCGCTCTGCACCTGACTGGGCATCGTCACTCCGGTGCCAATCAGAGCCCACCTGAATCGGGCGTTGTATCATCCTATCAGGATCCATATCTTCACCAACCTGAATAGTTGGGCCATAAAAGGGGATGATTTCCCTAATCCTAACCATGATTTCCAGTGAGGGAGAACAGTGAGGTCGTTATAATTTACCTAGGCCCTAGATTATATCTGTAACGAACCATGCCATAACGCGAAAAGGGGAAAAACTGAAAAAGATTTTTAAAAATAAAGGCAGCCCCAATTCCGCGCCATTTTTCGGTGTTCGGATTCACTAGTGGATGGAATGAAATGGAACACCTCACCTTTTTGTGACCATCGATCAACCCAACAGAACCACTTTGGTCCTACTTTTGACCTGGGAAGCATCAGTAAGCTGGACCTGTTATCCCATGTTATCCCAAGCCTTCGCTTCGGAAAAAACCTTAAACACCAACATTTCGGAAATCGCCGGGCGACACCATGACACCCAGGATGAGCGCCGTGGCGGTTTTGTGAATTTCAAAGACCTCCTCCAAGACGATGACGCCATAGCCTGCGATGAAGGTCAAGACGATGGGCAAATACCTGGGCTGCGCTTTGCGCTCGACTTGTCGGACACGGTTTTGGATGTCTGACCATCTTTTTTCTGTAAAAATATGTGACACTTGGTAACTTCAAAGGGAATCTCAAATACCAGAGTCAAGGGTCTGAGAATTCAAGGGGAAATCTCTCTCTTTCGTGTGAAAGATAGTGGAATATACAATACATTTCCAGGTTACTAGATTTTTTCGCATCTTTGCAAGCAAAATACGCACCATATGCTAGGTTTGGCTGCCTGTATGACTTGTGGTAAAACATGTCACCACAGTGCATGCATGTGTACTCCGCAGCCCCATTCGAAGTGGCACAAAACAGTGAGTCCGCTTTTCGCATGGTAGCGGAGCTGGTTCCTGACCGATCAGGGCCGGCATCCGCAGACGGTTTACACCGCCCGTAAGAGGCGGGTAACACCGCAAACAGCTGTGCTTGGAGCAGCGTTTGCGCCTCGCCGAGTTCGAGGAGAAGAAGACTGGTAGCTGCGTGTGGAGCAGCACCTGGACCTCTCCGACGAGAGGACAAATCCCCGGCAAGACGGGGAAGGGAAAAGCAAAGGGCCAAGGAAAAGCCCAAGAGAGAACCAGGTCCGCCCGAGCCATAGAGCGGCGGATACTACGTGGGGCAGCAAGGCGTGCAGAAGGCTTGCTGAACACCACTGTGGAAGCAGCCAGCGGTACGACCAACAGGCCGGACCACAACGAGCTGGACTACGTGGAAGGCTTGAGACTTCAGGCCGTTCCAGAACAAGAAGTACCAGAGTTTCTGGACGTGAACAGGACTGTGGTTGGTGGTCTGCCAACACACAGCAAAGCAGGAGGAGCGACCAAGCGCGTGTGGGGCAAGTTCGAGAAGGACTACCCGAGCCTCGCCAAGGTCGTACAGTCTACACCGGGTGGAAAGGCGAGAAAGTCCTTCGCCCAGGAAGAAGGAGGTCGACGAGTAGCACAAGGACTCGTTGCACCTAGGGCACAAGTCGTGCCAACCACACTGCCACCGCCTGAGCAGCGTGGAGAAGAAGTAGGAGAAGAAGAAGAAACACACGCGGCAACCAGCGTGTGGTACTCTGTGGACGAGTTCGGGAACTTCAAGGAGGAGGTCGACGACTCGCCCGAAGAAGAGGAAAGGCCGAAGACCGAGCAAGCGTCTTCAGCGGCAAGTAGCAGCTCAGTGGGTGTCTCCGAAGTCGCCCGAGCTGTTCAGGACCTAGAGCTGAGGAGTCAGAAAGCCTCAGAAGAAAGAAACCCAGAAGGTCGAGAAGAAGGACGGGACTACCAGCGTGAGGAGTTGGAGGACCGTGAAGAGCGGGACTACCAGCGTGAGGAGTTGGAGGACCGTGGAAGCAACTGGAGCGAGACAGCTTCCAGTAGCTCTACAAGCTGGTCGAGGAGCACCTGGAGTAGCAACTGGGGAAGCGACCAGTCGAGGGCTTGGGCCGGACACAGGTGGTCAGAAGGGTATCACCTAGGCTGGCACAGAGGTTGGCATCGAGGCGGGTAATACCGCTGGAACGGTAGGTTCCAGTAGGTACCCCTTGCCTGCCCAATAGGGGCATCTGTACACTAGAAGTGTAAATAGCCTCGTGTACCATAGCCTGTAAAGATGGCAACGGTAGAACAGTTGCAAGCACAGCTCGCGCAAATGCAAGCGCAGCAAAACCAATTGGTGGAAGGTTTGCAACGTGCGAACCAAAGTTTTGAAAGTCAAGCAAGACGGTTGAACGAAACTGAAACGAGACTGCAAGAACAGACGGACAAATTGAACCGGACTGAAACGGAGCTAGCGCAAAGGACACAGGCGCTGGCACAGCAAACAACACAACTTGCCCAGGCTCAGCAAGCACAGGCAAGCAGCACACAACCAGCTGGGGTAGAAATGACAAAACTGATTCACCCTAGCAACGTCCCAAAGCCGCAAGTTTGGGATGGTAAAAGAGAAGGATGGGAAAAGTTTAAACATGTGTTCGTAGCATGGAGTTCCACTGTTCACCCCAAATACCCTGAAATGTTGGAAAAGTTTGGGGAAAGTAAGGATCCCTTGGATGATGCTATGCAAACCCCTGAAGAGGATTTGTTGGCCAAGGCGATGTATACGTTTCTCGTACAGTACTGTCCGGAGCCTACGATGAATGTAGTGGGTCAGGGACTGCACACAGCCAATGGATTTGAGGTTTGGCGCAGACTGGTCAGACTGTCTGAGCCATCGTACAGAACCAAAGCATGGGTTTGGAGAAGACATTTGAGTAACCCCAATTTCCCAAAAGACATAAACAATTGGAGTACTGCACTCCATCAGTGGGAATCAGAACTAAGGGAGTTTGAACGAACCTCCAAGAGTGTTTTCTCAGAAGAGGAAAAGGTCTCGATCTTAGCGCATGTAGCACCTCCAGAGCTTCAGCAAAGCATCTTTATGCACAGCGACGCGTTGGGCACTTACGCGAAGATTCGAGACTACATCGAGCAGTACCTCATCAACAAGAACGTTTGGAAGAGACCGCAAGGATCCCAGTTTGGAATCACTAAGGCGGCAAACAAGGTTGATGATGGAGGACCGGCACCCATGGACATCGGTGCGGTCAAAGGAAAAGGAAAAGATGACAAAGGAAAAGGAAAGAGCAAACACAAAGGTTCTTGGAACAACGACAAAGGTAGCAAAGGTGGAGCAAAAGGCAAAGGTAAAGAAGACAAAGGAAAAGGAAAAGGACACGAAAACAAAGGCACAGGTAAAGGAAAAGGTGATGGAAAACAAGGTGGCAAAGGAAGTCAGGTGAATAATCCTGATGCCGGAAAGAAATGTCACGTATGCCAGAAGTACGGACATGTCGCAAAGAACTGTTGGTGGAAGGTATCATCTGTGGATGAAACCACAACCAACACGGGAAATACCGCCAACAAGACCGAAGGCAACAACAACCAAACGAAACAGAACCCAAACAGTGGAAACGGAGTTGGATCGGTTTCAAACATCAATTTTGGTGAACATGACCGATACTGTTTCACTGTCAGGGATGCTCAGGTCAGTGCATTGTCTGAGAGCGATGAATTCAGATATCTTTTGGTTGACTCAGGAGCATGTGAAAACGTTGCCAAGTATGGGGATTTTGTTGGACCGGTTGATTCCACAAAAGGAAAACCTTTATTTGGTGTTCAAGGGAACCCACTCAAAATATATGGAAAGCAATCTCCCAAAATTGAAGTCGGGAACTTAAAAGGACTGATGGACATGACTGTGACTGACTCAGCGGAGAGTTTGCTGTCAGTTTTCAACATGGTAGAAAAAGGTCATGCCGTGCATTTTGAAAAGAACAACTGTCATTTGGTTACGAACCAGAATGAAAGGATTCCATTGGAATTGCATGGAAAGAGATGGTATTTGAAAGTGAAACATGATCAACAAAGTTCGTCAAGTTCAGGAAACGGAAATTTGAGAACACAAAGAATAGCACCAGTCAAAGGAGTCAGGTTTGAAGAAGAAAAGGAACCTGATACCTGGAGAATGGAGACCAATGAGGAAGGAGAATTCGTGGTTCGTGTGCACAACACAGCACGATTCCAACTATTCAGCCCAGAGCGAATGGCTGATCTTCCTGTTCCAATCAACCGACTACTACCTGGTCGACTTACCAAGATCTATTTCTCCGAAGATGGATCGCATGTGGAAGACCAGAGTTTGTGGACAAGAAAACAGACATCTGCCAAGAACATGGGCAGAGAATGGCTGGGAGAATCGTGGTTTAGATTGAAGCCAGAGACTGAAATTCCTGAAAAGAAGGATGCAGAGATTGAAGAAGCAAAGAAAGTTGAAGGAGTACGTGACCCAGACCAAGACATGGATGAGTTCTTTTTGGATTGGGTGTACGTAGAAGATCGAGTGCAACCAGATCCAATTGATCAAGACCAAGCCGAACGTGAAGTGTTTCGAGAGCAAAGACAGCTTCATGAAGAAGGAGAAGTGAAAGAACAAGCACAGGAGGTAGATGTACCAAAGGCACCGAGTGCACAACAGCGTGAGGAGCACAGACTTCATCATGCAAATTTCGAACCTTGGTGTGAAACTTGCATCAAAGGACAAGGACGAGGTGCACCTCACAGAAGAAGCAAGGAAGACAAGAAAGAACACATCATCTACTCCGACTACATGTTCTTCAGTGTGGATGGTGAGATGGTGAATAGAAGTGAAGGAAAGAAGCAGAAAGGACTGATCACAGTGCTGACGGCAAGTTGCAAGGACAGTCAGTATCCCTTCGCCATGGTGGTCCCATCAAAAGGAGGAGGGTACTACTCAAGGGATGCGTTGGCAGCTTGGATCAGAGATCTGGGATGGAACAAAGTGACAATACAAATAGATCAGGAAAATTCCATGAACAAGTTGTTTGACAGAGTGAGGGATCTCATGCCAGAAAGAGTGGAGATTCGGAAATCACCACGGTATAGCTCACAGTCTCTTGCAGATGGAGAAATGGTGAATGGACTGATAGCTGGAAAGATTCGCACATGGCTGTGTGAGTTGTCTGAAAGCTATGCAACGAAAATTGGAACCGAGCACTACGTGTTCCCATGGATCGTGCGTCACAGCGCATGGACTTTGGCAAGGTTTCATGTCAACAAGAGCAAGACCACAGCGTTTCGTGTGATAAAGGGCAGAGACTACGTGGGTGAGTTGATACCATTTGGAGAGACAGTGATGGGAAAATTTCCAAAGGTGAAAGACAAATCTGCACCTCGATGGACAAAAGGAATCTATGCAGGAAAGAAAGAAAATTCAGATGAGCACATGATGTTGACAAGTGCCGGAGCTATTAGTTTCAGAACAGTCCGAAGATTGCCAGTTGGATCACAGTTCCAAGATGCTGTGATGGAAGTTGCGAGAGGAGTCCCATGGAATACAGTGTTGGGAATCGAGAAAGCAAAGCCGGAGGCAATCTCATCGGAGGTGAAAGCAATTGTGGCACCAGAAATCGAAGGACAGGAAACCTATGATTTCGAGGACAGATCGAAACAAGAAAACGAGCCGATCTTTGATGACAGACCAGAAGCAATGGCGAAAGCAAAGGTGGTTCACATACCACAACCTATTGTACCACCATTGCGGAATGCACCAAGATCAGCTCCAAGTACACCGAAAGGAGGGAAAGCACAGAAGAGCACAAAGAAGGAAGACAAAGCACCAGAGATGCAGGTGGACGATGAAGGAGAGAGAATCGAGATTGAAGAAAAGGATTCCAAGAAGCCACGACTGGCAGAGGGTACAACCTCTAGTGCCGTACCGGGCGACACCGGAATGAATCCAGGACAACCTGAACTGTACCGCATAGACACACCAACAGATGACAACATGAGTGCAGCGGGCACAGCGTCTCAGGACATGGTTTCTGGAGTCAGTAACGGTGAAGTTCCAGATGCGGAAGAAATGAGGAAGAAATACCATATGCCAGTAAACAAGGACCATGTATGGTTTCAGAAGTGGCTAGATGAGAGAAAGGAGCACTTCCAGAGTGAAATGGTGGCAAACATCATGGACTACCTGGACCAAATTGGAGCAGCAGAAGAAGAACAAAAGAAAGCTCGAAAGACGGAGATCAAGAAGCTGAACGAGGACTTTGGAGCATTTACGCCGAGAGACGGAAGATTGATTCCAAAGGAAATAACAGTGTTTGGTCATAAATGGGTAGACAAAGTTAGTGAAGGAATTGCAAAGTCTAGGTTGACATGTCAGGATTTCAAACGAAAGGGACAAGATAGTGACAGAAACACGTCGGAAGCACCAAGCAATTTTTGTCCGACACCACATGGATGTTCCAGAAAATTGTTGGAGTCTACAGTATGGCAACAGGACTACCACGAGTGAAAGCAGATCTCACATCAGCGTTTCTGATTGCCAATGACCAAGGTGACAAGACAGGACAACCTGTGATGATGAAACCACCTAAGGAATGGCTGGAAGACTACGACGATTGGTATTTGTTGCAGCCCAAGGAAGTTCAAGAAGAACTCAAGGACGTTCCTAAGGAACATATCCTGTGGCAAGTGGATGGCAACTTGTACGGACGTCAGTCAGCAGCAGCACAGTACAGAGACAGATTAGAAGAAATAATCACCAAAGAGTTACCACCAGAACAATATGAGTTTCAGCGAGGAGCAATCGATGGATGTGTGTACAAATGTGAGAAAACAGGAACAGTGCTGATTCATCACATAGATGATTTCGACATTTGTGGACCCGAGAAAGTTTTGAATGATTTGCTGATGATTCAATTTCCAAAGAACGGTTGCAAGCTGAAAATGGGAGAGATGGAATACCCGTTTGTAGGAAGTAAAACAACTTCAGAGTTTCTTGGAAGGACCAAGATCAATGTCGAAGAAGCCGTGATCACGAAACCAACCGCGAAACATGTAGAGGTGATACTGAAACAATTGGGTTTGGAAAATGCCAAGCCTGGACCAGTGCCAGGAAAGAAACTTGACCTGACACAGGACAAATTGTTGGACGAGAAACAGAAAGCGATATATGCCAGTTGTGTGGGAAGCGCAATTTACTTATCTCAGGACAGACCAGACATAAAGTTCAGTACCAAGGAATTGGCAAAACGCATTCGGGAACCAAGGGAATGCGACATGGCCAACCTTAAAGTCCTGGGAAGGTATCTTCGAGGAACCACGAACTATGGGCATGTGACAAAGTTGACAGAGGGGATCGACATCCGAGAAGGAATCCCGATGCACTGCTACTGTGACAGTGACTGGGCAGGAGACCAAGAAAGCAGACGTTCCACAAGCGGTGAGGCGATTTTTGTAGGAGGTACACTCGTCGAATCGTCATCGCACACGCAACCAGGAACGCCAGCGACAAGCTCAGCGGAAGCTGAAATAAGGTCCCTGACGCACTGTGCTCAGACTGCAGTATTTGTGCGAAACTTAGCTGAAAAGGATTTTGGAATGAAACTGGACACACCGAGGATTTGGTGTGACTCGTCAGCAGCCATACAAGCTGGAAAGAAAATAGGTGTAGGAAAGATGAGACACATAGCAGTAGGACACCTTTACATACAAGAGTTGGTGAAAACAAAACAAGTGATCATAGGTAAAATCGACGGAACAAAGAATCCCGCAGACATCCTCACAAAACACCTCGCTACAGGTGAACTGGTACGAAACGGATGCGAGTTGATAGGACTCGTGGACCTGACTGAGGATGGACTGGACAAACACGTGTCGAAAACAAACATGAGAACAATAGGTTCTGTGAATGAAAACGAAAACAAACGATGGAAACCGCAAACCGGTTCAAAGCTTAGCGTTCGACAACACGCTTCCGGGGTGAAACGAAATGGAAACCTTGGGGGACACACCTGTGTTGTGGGGCGGCAAAGTCATCATGCCGGGAAACACCGGGATTGAAACGTTAATGCTGTTGTTTCTCATCAGCTTGACTTTCAACCTAGTGAGTGTTTGCGTAGGAGGGACGGCACTTTGCTGTCTGTACAGAGACATAGTACTGTGGCCATGCAAAAGCAAGAAGAAGGCCAAGTACGAGGTGTACTACCTCACAAAGTATGGAGAAAGAGTGCACTCAACGGAACAATGTCCTACGTTGAGTAATAGCACAGATGTGAAGAAATTCAAACCGTGTACAAAGTGTTTCAATGTGGTCTTAGGACCGAAAGATGCGTAACCGAGCCCAATACGCAATGCAGAACGTACAGAAAATAATTCAAATGAAGTTGCACTGTAAGGCGCCATATTTTAAGGAGGGTGCAAGCAAAATACGCACCATATGCTAGGTTTGGCTGCCTGTATGACTTGTGGTAAAACATGTCACCACAGTGCATGCATGTGTACTCCGCAGCCCCATTCGAAGTGGCACAAAACAGTGAGTCCGCTTTTCGCAATCTTGGAATAAATATAATATTTAATATTCACTAATATTCTACAGTCATGGGCTACCCCCAAGTCTCCAGGCCAAGCTGCTCACACTGTTTCCCTTCCACGAAGGGCACCGGCAAGTAACCGTGCTGAATCGCGCACCTGTAGCCGTGCCGAAATCAACGAAGAATCCATGGCCGTGGAAATGTCACAGCGAAATCATCCAACGAATGGTGAAATTCGCTACAGAATAAGCTACAGCCCAACAAATTGCACGGTTTCCTCTGGTGATTTCGTTCGATGATTTACAACTGGTGGTTCTCCAAGGGGCCCAGCGACCCGATGTCTGGGTCTACCCCCATTTCCAGTAGCCAAGATGCATGACCAGAGTCCACAGAGCCAAGCCGAACATCACTGCTGGTAGAACATCCTTGGAAACTGAGATTCCTGAAATGCCCCAAAAAAAATTGATGGGATGATGGGACAGACATGAGAAGAATATGATGTTCAAAGTGTAAATTAGTGTAAATCTCCAGATGCATAAGATCATAAGATGCATTAATCATAATAATCATATATCATAATCAGCTTATACCTGATTACCTTGACCTTCCAAACACCATTGATTGACCATTGACTGTTTGTTGCTGGAACCCCATTGTTTTTCAGGATTTTAGGCCAAGTAACAGCCGTCAAAGCACTTTCGCCGTGCTTGGCTTTGGGGTTTGCCAAGGCTTTGCTAATCGACCGCGCCATCACCTCGCTAAACACCCAGCTTGGTGCATATCTAGGCATGTCTGTTGATAGTCCCAAAAAAATATCCAACTTAAATGAAGGAAATGAAGTACATCCTGTTGCCCTGATTGCCCTGAAACTTTGAACCTGGTTAAGCTGGTCAAGCTGGTCAAGCTGGTCAAGAATGGGGAATCCAAAAACTTCAGCTTGGCCACTAGCCCGTGCCAATCTACAAGAAATGGGAATGGGCCATGGGTCAAATTTAAAGCATCTGGTGATGTTTTGGATCTGAGAACATCCCCATGGGCCCCATGGGCCATGGGTGTTGAAGCCCCATTTTCGCTGCTTCAATAGCCATGGATTTTTCGCTCTACCATCTCAAGATGGTCCTGAGATGCCAATTTCTAAAAACAAAAGGCTCAAGCCATTCCCTCTGGTTATGACTAACATAGCCATGGAAAATCCTCAAAATAAATGGAGGTTTCTAGCTGGGAAAATTCACTATAAATGGGCCATGGCTTCCATGGCTATGTTAAATTACCAGAGGGTAAACAAAATAGATGTTAATATACGTGTTCATCAATTTTCATCATCATCCCTCCTAAAAACAGGCCAAAAACTGAACAGTGCCAGGCACCACGAAGACGACAGGAATAGCCAGCAGGGTGACCATCTTGGCACTTCCACCCTCAGATGGCCCATCCACAATTAATGGTCAGGTGATGGATTCACAGAATTTACGGAGATGCCCCACCTTGTTGGGAAGCACATAATGTCAACCCCAGATGAATAAACCATGGTTTATTAGGGGGTAGCCTCCAAATTGTCACATTTTTGTTGGTACATCACAATGGTACCCCCCCAATGAAAAAACCGCCGGCAAGGGCCTAGGGGTTTTTACTCATCCAGGGTTGACACTAATGGACCACCGGGTAAACCAGTTGGAGTTTGGGATGTTTGATTCTGATGATCAAGCTTTGTCGCCTCCTTTTCCACAGGTGCAGCATCGGTGTACGCAATGGAACCTCGCGAGGCAGCCACTGAACAAAAACTAGAACGACCAGCCACAATAAATCATCCGTAGAATCTGCCAGTTCTACATCCATTAAACATCCATTGATAGATGAATTTTCCCACTCAAACCTCCATTGATCAGGGATTTTCCATGGCCACTTTCAGCCCCACCTCGAGGGGAGATGCCATGAAGTGCAATGCCTAGGAAGACCTGGGAGGCTGATGGAGCTGGAGGCTGCATGGCCAGATTTGGGGAAAAATTCAGGAAATCTGAGGGTAATTTCTCCAGCAATACCCCAGCTAATGCCCATGCACATCCCTATTGACCAGCATAAAAATGGTGTGGCTTCTGAAATGGTACTGCGAGTTGCTAACCTGTTGGTTGTATACATCCCTACTCGTCCATTTGGTGGTTTTTGGTCGGTTTATCTGAGGGTTTTTTTTATCGCATAAAATGGGAAGGTCAAGCCTATTTTTTTATATACCTCGATGCTGAGTTCCGGTCTCCAAAGTCTATCTGCAGTATCTGCATATGTTGGATGGTGGTATCCCCATGTTGGCATCCCCTCCACCAGTTCGCTCCACTGCCGTGCGACCACTGCCAGGCACAGCCGTTCGCTCCAACGGCGTCGGGAGCTACGGACTGGAGGGACAGGCGACATGGCAGTCGCGGTCGGTCTGACCGGTCGGGCTCCGGGCGCTGTAGGGGTCCACGTTGGAGCCAAAACGGCTGGGACAAAAAAAGGACGGATGGTATGATGGTGGTGGATCTGGATGAAGCAAGAAAACTAAAAGATTTAAGTTTAAGAATGTTTAAGATAGTTCATGATATGTCAATGATATTTCACTAACATTGAGGAATTCCAAGCCGCGGAGATCGTTCAGGAATCTAAGATGATGTCAGCAATAAAAAGATGGGGATGTTGAAGTTGTGAAGGTAGGAAGAAGGCCGCAGTTGCAACTGCCTACCTAATTTTTTTTGGACCTTTTTTTTTTGGACCTTTTGTGTGAGAAAACATGTTTTCTCGTAGAATTTGAGGGACTTTTAAAGAGAACAAACAACCATAGTTCAGTCAAGGTGGAAGAACATCCATCCATCCATGAATCCATTTATTTTTTCACCAGAAGTTCACCACATCTTCTGGAAACTCCAAGTAACATAGAAAGGCAAAAGAGGCGATGCCAATCGCACTTCAAAGGTTTCGCTTTGCTGCACACGCATCACATCCTGCGCAGATCGCGGAAGCTCCGAAGAGATTGGATCAACAGCTATTTTTCAGGTACGTCGGACTGGGGTCACCTTTATAAATCACCAATAATGTCAGCAAAGCGATAGGAAATCCACTGGATCCACCATTCCCCAAGTTGACCATTTCCATCCATTTCCATGGGTCATATATCAACATATATCAACCATCAATCCATGTTAGGGTGGTAACCATTATCATCCATAATGGCATTATCATTGTTTTACCAACATGAATCAAATCATCTCCTCCATCAGCGGTCGTGCTCCCGCATCACCGAAAAAGAAGCGCCGGAATCCACCTGTTGCGTTCGATGGGTTGCTCCAAAGCCATCCCAGATACAACATGATACAACGGTGCTACAGGGGTGGCAGAGAGATAGAGATTTAGAATGGCTGCAACATGATGAAATCATGATGAAATCATGATGAATTATGATTGGAGATGCCCAGCTGCAAGATTCGTGTGGTCAAACGGTCAAACCACATCGCAACTGATTTCTGATGTCATCCCCCAGGAATCTAGGAATAGCGCACTTCAAGAGTGTATTCAACAAATGTTCAACAAGACATCATCTTCAACTGACTCATCTCTTAGGGTTTCAGGGGTTAAGTTTCAAGCGGCACCCGCTTGACTTGAACCACCCGCAAGTTCTCGCTCCTTTGTCCTCGCTCTCGCAAGTCATTCAGAAACTCTGCGAAGCAGCTCGCAGCTCACGGGTAAGGTTTCCAAATACAAATCTCCTTGCGTTCGGCACACATGTCCGGATCCTTGATGTAGTTGCAAGACCCTGCATCTTGCGGTTTGATGGATGCGCAATAATACGACACTCGGCCATCGCCCCCATCAGGGCTCAAGTGGTCGTTCTCAGTGTCCTCTTTGCGCAGGGACTGGGTCAAGGAGATCAAAGACATCACGAGAAGCGGAGTGAACCACTTCATGGCGATTTTGACAAACGAGTCGCTCGGAGGTTTTGGGAGACCTAAAGGGCTGGGCTTGAGCAAATGAATGAGGCATTGGTTCATGTGGTTCATGTGGTTCATGTGGTTCATGTGGTCATTATTTCCTGGCCAGAAAGTCATCTAGAGACTTCCCGAAAAACCTTGAAACCCAAACTATAAACAAAACACCACAAACCTGGTGTATCGCTGTGTCTGCTAAATGGCATTTACATACATGTATGATATGTATATGCCATTTAGCAGATCAGATTTTGCATATCTAGCCACGTGTCTGATAGATAGACAAGCAAAATCAGCATCACAGAAATGCCTATGGTACCGACTGGATGTTGTTTTTTAGGCCTGGTTGCGCGATATCGGAAGCTCGTACATCCGCAGTGCTACGACCATGCCTTGGGTCGCTGGGAAAGCTATGGATGGGTAGATTGTAGCTGGGATTCAATATGATTTGGGGATTTCATGGAAACTGATTTGACGGGGATATCCCATGGGATTTGATGGGGATTTCCCATGGGATTTGATGGGGATTTCCATAGGATTTATAATGACGAATCACCAAGAAACTCCGGCCAAACCTTCTCATCCCAAAACTCAACGATGTTTTGATGGGATTTAATGGGATTTAATGGGAATTCATAGGATTTCATGGGAATGAACATCTTCTCACCATATCCTATGAAGGAAGTGTCTCACAATTCGGAACTTCCTTCCACCCCGTGCTTTAAGTGTAAAGCCTTATGTCCCTCATTAGAAAATAGCCATGTATTGGAGTGCCCACCCATATTTTGCGAAACCCATCTATTGATTGTTGTGGGTAAATCTGAAACCCGATTGTGAGCAAATGAATTATACCCCAATTGGGCTATTCATCCGTTGAAAATTCACTTTTCGCCATAAGAATACGTATAAAGTGCGGTACCTCCCATCGGTTTTGATAATTTCATCCATATTCATCCATATTCCTCCAGATTCCTCATGATTATCATGGATTCTCATCATACTCCATGGATATTTCACTCATCATTCGATCAAAATCTCGGTACCTCCAAAATCACTAGGATTTCTCCCAAGCACTGGTGGAAACATTGTCTCGCCACCTGGAGCTTTGAAAACCCATTTGCGGCGAAAATCACCAGCTGCACCGAGTTACCAGGACCCCACCCGAGCCAGGGCGGCGCCGTGCTGCCGCTGCGCCGCCACACCGATGTCGCGGGTGGCATCGCTGTGTTGACTCAGGGTCTGGCGGTCACGTCCGTGACCAAAGTCAGTCACGGGTTGGAAACGGCTTGGAAATTGCGATGTAAAAATCATCCCGTGCCTCAAACTTTGGTTGTTCAGTGGCCATCCATTTTTCGGTGTCAAAGATCCAGGCAGGAAATGCTGGTTCTGTTGGACTGCTAAAAAACCAAGGAGTCTCAAATATCATCACCACTACGAAAAAATGATGAGTGCAGAGTCAACATCTTTTCTATGACCAGCAGGGTTAGAATCAAATTGTGGTCCCAAAAATGAGGTGAATAACAAGTGAAACTACGCAAAACTCAGCAATTCCAATATGTGCTATGTGTTGCCATTGGTCGGCAATGTGGGTGCGTCCCAAAATTGGGGGATTAGCTTAATCTATTTATTGCTATCAATTGTCATATGAGCTTCGCCCAAAAATCTATAATGAAAGCCTAGGTCGCATAACTTTGCTTGCACCAGACCTTACGCCTTACGCCATGCTTACGCGACCATGCATTTGACTTATGCAGTGGGCAGGAACATCAAAAGACTTGCACGAAGCTGACACCAACAGGTTTGATCTTAAGCGCATAGGAACTGCTTATGCCTGAAGAAATGATACCCTCTGGTAATTTAACATAGCCATGGTAAATCACCATTTTTAATAGGTAAACCATCTATAAATGGGCCATTTTCCATGGCTATGTTAAATAACCAGAGGGTAGTGCTTATGCAAGACCTTATGCATTGCTTTTTTACCAAAGGCACAACTCTTCAACAGGCGTAAAAGGAAGTTTCTGACGATGCTCATCTAACGTAGAAAATGATGATGCTCTACTTTCTATGGGGTTCAAATGATTCAAACAACATGTTTGGACAAACCCACGTTGACGGTCAACGTGGACCCCAATCATAACATGGAGACCATGGGGATGTGAACATCCCCATGTTATATAGTATATCTTGGTGATGTCCATGGTTTAGTTGACATGGTTGTAAGCGGGAAACCCACTCATCATCAAAAAATCCTAGCAAAAATGGGATGGCTTTTCCCGCCCATTTGTGGGAATATTGGAGATGGTGTATGGCATTGTCCCACATCCATGTTCACCAACCATGGTACACCGCCACATGGCCTCATAGTCCACCCCTCCCTGCATGGCTGCGGCTTGAGCCAAGCTGGGCGCTGATTTTTTCTGGTCAAATGAATGGGAATATCTGGGAATACCCTCTGGTGAACTAGCATTTAACTATGGAAAAAATCACCATCTTTAATAGGTAAATCAACTATAAATGGGCCATGTTCAATAGCTATGTTAAATTACCAGAGGGTATTTGTTTGTTGCTAAGTTGTTGAGTCGGCAATCCGAATGAACTTGCAATCTGAGGAAAATGCTGTGGTTTGACTTCGAAAGCCAATGCTGGCAACCAAAAATCGATTTTTAGAACCGGAAAGGAACTCAGCCAGTGATTCCCTTGAACCAAACAAGTCGCAACTTTTTTGTTCACAGTTCCTTGTCTGTAAAGATGTTCTGCTGTATCCACTGGCCAAGCCTCGCGGGGGAGAACGGCACCGGATTTGACGATTCGTCGAGGTTTGCGAAGGATGAGAGTCAGCGCTTGCAGCGGACTTCTAGCTGACACAGAGACGGAATATGGATAACCAGAATGAGGAGATGATCATCATAGATGGGCATATCCTTACGGTGCCAATCACATCAGTTGTCTGAAAATAGGGCACCCCCTTTCATAGATTCTCACTGCTATTTCCGTTTAAAAAACACTGCTGGCCTTGGCGGTTTTCAGCCATTTTCACCCATTTTCAGATACACCCATATCTTGGTGACCCATCCCAGCAAACCACCCCCTTTCGCCATGGTCGAGCCTGGAAGGATCCAGAGGCACGGAGTCAGAGGCCGGAGGCGTCAGAGGGCTTTCAGCCATCATGAAATTCCTGGGATGCCAAATGGGGCGAAGATTTTGATGCTTTTAGTCCCCATCACCATGTTTGAAAAATCGAAAACCTGCCACGCTGTTGTGAAAACCTTGGAACATACTCAGGGCTTCCTGCGCACAAATAATCTTGTCAAGTTGCACCCGCATGAGGAGTTCGCATTTTTTCCCACCATCTGCCACAAAGTACATGCCTGTCCCAGCAACTCATGAGATGCCCTTCCGAATATTGCTCGTTTGAGAATGCGAGAAAGAATGCTTGAGACAAATTTGGAATCTCGCAAAAATACCAGTTGGCTGAGGTTGAAATTTGACACACCACGGTGACCAAAACTCCGCGCCCAGGCCTTGTTTTCCTGGATTTCCCAAGTTGAAGACCGCAGCTCCAGTGGGTTTCAGTCGGCCCAGACTGAGGCGTTTCGACCGGCGATGCATTTCTGTGACACCGATGGACCCCAGTGGAAGAAACTAACAGTCACTAACAAAGGTCTCAGGGGAAATCGCTCGGGAATCGTAATTAGCAAAAATCGCCAGCCCATTCCCAAGGCGCAAGAGATGTGGGTTCACAAAAGTGGTATTGATCAAGCCATTTCCATCCATTTCCGCCCAAAAATCTGTGAGAAATGATGAAAACCATGAGATTTTGCAGGGTTTCCCCCCGGGCTTCTCCGCTCCCTGGAACACCACTGGCCAATACGCGGCCACTACGCCACGGCACAAGAGGGCGAGCTGCTGGGTGTCCGGATCAAAGGAACATCCGCTGTACACCACGTCGAAGGTCTTCCCTTCGTCCTTCCTGGCGTGGGCGGCGTGGTTTTACCAGAGAGGAAGGGATCAATTGATACTGCAGCCCTAAGATTTTTTGAAATGAAGGTTCAATAAGGTTCAATTGGTGCTATACTTCAATTGGTACGAAATCAGTTGGTAACACAGAAGATCTCAGTCCGATCTTTCGGTGACAGGAAAGCTTTAACGAGCGCCATTGAGCCAAAAGGACGGCACCTGTGCTTTGCCAAGCTGCCATCTCTGCAGACAGTGGAAAGCATCGCCGCCCAGAAACTCAAACTGTTCTCTTTGGAAACGAAATGGACCACTCGTTTTCAACATGTTCCTGAAGCGCAGGGCAACTCTCGCAGTGAACTGTACACTTTCTCTGGTGATTTTGCCATCTTTTTCCACCCTCATTTTTCCTACAGCCTCATGTTCCAAGTCATTCTTCCGGTTTAAAAAAATGCAACAGTGCCAACATCATTCCAACATCCATCACCATCCATCACCAATAATGTTAGTAAAGCAATATATAGTAAACCTCAATTTTACCATGGCTACTTTTTTTAACCATCAATCCAGATGGGTGGTTACCATCATTGCTTTACAACTAACTAACATGAGTGGATCTTCAGTGGCTGAAAATCCCCAAAAATCACCAGATCGAAAACTCCCGGCTCAAGTCTTTCATTTCACTCAAAACGGGGATACAAAATCCCAATCCCAAAAATCTACCAGATCACCATAGGATGGTGCCCAGTTGTAAGTTTATAAAGCCCATTCACATCCATTCACATCCATTAACTATACGTAGTTACCCTCTGGTAAACATACAAAAAACTATGGAAAATCACCATCTTTAAAAACGCCAAAAAAAAATCAACGAAGTCAATGTGCCATGGTGACTAGCATTGTCCAGTTCGCAGTCATTACAGGAGGCTTTTTCTACCAGATCCCACAGATTCCCACAGATTCCCACAGATTCCCAGTGTCTCCGTGGCCACCTTCACCTTGTCCTCCAGGTCCACGCCTATCACCCGGACCCCCGACGACGGAGCCGCTGCCAGGAGCATGGCGGTCATGACCCCCGAGCCGAAGCCCAGGTCGAAGACGGAGGCACCGGGCCTGGCGCACGTCTTGGGAGAAGAAAAGGGGAAAAACACCTTGGAAAAACTTGGAAAATTCATGATAAGATAAACTTAATGATAAGTTGGGGAAAACTCGGAAAATCAACTTGGACAAACGTTACGTAAAACTTGAAATAGACATCGCCCAAACGTTGGAAAAAAATATGAGATAAACAGAGATGTTGGCGATGATTCCCATCCGATGATCTGGCTGGCGGCGGATGGGAGTGGAGTGGAGTTACGCGACGCGATTCGGCCACTGGAAATGCTATATATGCATACATATACAAAATATGTGTGTATATATATAATCCATTATAATCCAGTAGTTTCACAATTACTACTGTGTTTTTTGGACTTAAGCCTCAAACATGTGTTGGTGGAACATGTGGACTTCACCAGTCGCTTCCCACCTCAAATATGGCGCCAGTCGCTCTAGTGCTGGGATTTGAACGCTCCTGAGATGGAAAGTCGATCCAACGTTGGCAGAGATCAGCATGAGGTCCTAGCCCCTGGGAACGCATAAAAATGAACGGAAAAAATATGGCCTTCGCAAGTCTTGGAACCAAGAGGTATTCACGAGGATATCGGATATCGTAATTCTCGGGTCGGAAATTGACCAAGAATCAAGGCAGAGATGGTGCCTCCACTTCGAGCCCTCTGTGGCATGGGTTGATTGGCCCAAACCTCGGTGGTAGAGCCATTGGCTGATTCAAAAAAAAACACCTTGAATGACTCTTTCAATGGCGGTACCACCCAGTTATGGCCATAGGTTTTTTCTGCGGAAAATGATTTTCCCAACCATCAACATTCCTCTCAATGTTCAGACCAACTCAGATCTCTAAGCCTCTAACCCTCCAATTTTCCATGCTGAAAAACCATGGAAAAACCATGAAAAACCAACCCCAAAGAATTTTTTCCCAGCCCATGTGGCCCATGTGCGACGCCGCGTGGCGCTGGCATCGCCGCCAAATTTCTGGTGCAGGGCCGAAAGCTCGTCCAATGGTAAGGCTCCGCCGGCCGCTGAGAGGAAGGGCTTCTGTCCCAAGCCGCCTAACCGACAGATCCCAGAGATCTCAGAGATCCCAGTGGCCGAGGAAAGTCAACCAACCACCAGATCATTAGAATGTCATTAACATTATGAAGCTCATGATTGGCTTGTTATTTATGGGTTTTTTATGTTTTTTTCCCATCAGGATGAAGCGTTCTTGGGGGAGACAATCCAGTTATCACAGTTTTTAATTCTGCTTAAAACGTGAGAGTAATGATCCTCTAAGCAGTGGCATGTTAGAGGGTTAGTTTCCTGACTGTGGTCTTAGGATTGAGGGATTGGATAGTTCTCTGACCCAAAAAATAACTCCCTGCATGTGCTTGTAATACAGGGAGAAAATAAACATATTGATGTCATAATAACCCGTCCACTTCTATCAAAATCAGCTTCATTGATCAATCCCGGTTAAAAATATCAGTGGGGTCATCATCCCATTTCTATGGTACAGAAAGATATTAGTGAAACCTCCATAAACCTCCAACCATTCAAAGTCTGGTTTTCCTCACCCCTGTTCATCAAATATGGCAGTGAAAAATCTCCCATTTGTAGATCTTGTTTCCATTCGAATGTCCGTGTGGTTCGCGGATTTCCCAGTCAAGGTGCATAATCCCAGCAGCGCAAAGCCCAAGGGCCGCCGCAGCGCATGCAGTCGCACGAAGGACATGGCAGCAGGCGCCATAGTGTGTGTTTCCCTAGCCTCACTTTCTGCAACCGAGGCTGGTCATGTAGATATTCCAATCAGCCATATCCATTTGGGCTGCAAATGATGATCGATTCTGTCAGAATCCAACTGTGCTGTGCTCGATGATCTCCATGCAGCAAGGTCCTTTTTACAATCCCCCCTCCCATGGCATCATGGGATTCATGAAGCCAAAGGGCTCGGCAATTGGCTTGCGGTATTTTACGTTAAAAGCAGACCTGTTCCAGGAGCAAATCAAGAAATCAATAGAAATGATGCGTTTTTTATTCTGCGAACACCCCATCTGTCAACTGCTTTATCCTCCCATCCCCCCCTCCCAGGCTGTCCACCACCGTCATCTTAAGCCCATGCCGGGGCCCGCACGTGTCGAGTGCTGAAGTGTCGCTGTTGGATCATGTGGAAGACTCGACCCGGAGTGCCTGACCTGGCAATCCGGAAGAGTCCTCTGAATCATTTGGGAACTTGGAAAAAAAAATGAAAAAACAGCCTTAAAATCAGAATTTGGCAGAAACTGACACCTGAAAAACCTGTTCAGGTCGTAGGTTTGATTTCATCAAGGAGGTGTTTAAAACATCGCCAGCGCCGAGGAACACAATCTGAACACCCGCTTCGAAGGTGTGGATGTCGTCCGAGACGCGCTTTCCTCCAATGCACACGTGCACCTGGTGGCCATTGGTGGCGCGATGGGAAAGTCATCCATACGAAATCCAAGACATGAAGTCTCCATGGACAGCTGATGACATCGGATTCCACCGGTCCAATTTCTAAAGCCTCAGATCGCACCTGGACGTTGAGATAATCTCCAAGGGCCAGGCAGACCTGGCTGACGTTGATGTTTTGTTGAAACCCAAATCCCATGGATGTCAAGGGAAATTGACAGAAACATCTGGTGATCTACGAGTTCGACTAGTCATTTTAAAAGAACAACATGGTTTCCTGAGTTTCAAACGTGTTTTTTTCCTGTTACCCCAACGACCAAAAGATCGTGAACTTTCGGTGCCGCCTTCTGACTCTGCTCCGCCAGCTCTCGCGTGGGTGACAAGAAGAGAGCCTGATGGCTTGAATTCCAACCAAAATGGGTAGCCATTTAACACCATTTAACCCTTGTTCAACCCATCCAAAAATGTATCAAAATGTGGCTTCAATGGTCTTTTTTACAGCAGCCATTCACTTTCTGGCTGAAAATCGTGCAAAATGGCTGGTTTCGAGCCATCCAAAAACCTATTTTTCGCGACTTCCGAGAAATCCATGTCCGGAGGCTATGGCTCAAACCTTGGGTACCAGAGGAGCCACCAGATGATCATATTCAGTACGACTATCCCAAGTGGAGCCACCAGATGTCTCGGATCAACACTGGTTAGTTGGTGGTGCAATTTCACCATCTTGAAAAATATCAAAATCGTCAATGGGAACAATTGAGTTTCGGATGACATCATATGACATCCCATAGATCAAAAATCTTTGAAACCACCAACCAGAACAAAGCCACCGGCCTCACCGGCCTCACCGGCCTCTCCTCCAGTCGGCTGAGTTCCAGACCTGCGGTTCTCTGGAGCTAGTATCCACCTGGGTGTGCCGTGACGCCGTGACGCCGTGACGCCGTGACGCCGTGCCGTCATTTCGAGATCTTCGATGTGAACATTTTTGGCTGAAAAATGTGAACATCCCAATCTTAAACGATGTGCATGTAGACTATTTATAGACAAGAGATCTTTCTCTTTATATATAGAGTATGTATTATATATATATACTATATCAATGATTAACAGCCCCATTTTCCACCACATTGCCTGGGTTCCCCGACACTCTGCAGGGCTCCAAGGCAGAAGACACAAGTCTTTCCGGTGCCGCTTTGCGACTGCACCTGGGCGCTGTACATCATCCGCGCATCAATCTGGAAAGACACCAACCGACATGACATAGGGAGAAATGGTGCTGAATGGTGCTGAATGGTGCTGAGTTACTTGGAATCTTGCGGCATGTTGATCATTTTCTAGCAGATGTCACCTCCTTTGTTCATTCTCCCAGATCACTGGAGACCTGTGCGCCGGTTGCAGCCGGGCTGCGATGACATCCCGACCTTTGAGAATTGGAAGGATGGCACCTGAGCGCA